AGCATCTCAGAGTGCTGAACAGTGGTAGACACCGGCAACACCAACATCAAAATATAACCCACAAAATACACAGTCAATTCACTTTACAGTATATTCTGTGAAGGGCTTTGGGACGTCTCAAAAACGTGATAAGGCGCTGTATCAAATGCGAGGATTATTATTATTATTATATATTAACAACACCATCAACAATACTAACACCACACAATAACATTAACAACATCAAAAACATCAACATCAACAACATCATCAACAATATTAACACACACACCAGCACCAACAATAACAACAACATCAATAACAGCAACGAAAATAAATACAGCAACGACATCTTGGAAGTTGATCTGCTTGGAAACAGGGAGCCTGTGTAGCCTGGGTAGCTGGGGCTGACGGTCATGGAAATCTCAGCTTGGTTTGGATACTCTTATGCACGGTGATGGGTTTCTGCATGTGTCAGACACCCGGCTGAGCAAAAAAAATGCACGTGTGAGTCTCAACAGCGAGTGTGTGCTGATTGCCGGACAAGGTTTCATTTCAATTCTGCGTGTGCACTGAGCCCTGTGATGTGGAGGATGGCTGTGTACACACCCTGAGCCCTGTGATGTGGGGGGTGGTTGTGTACATGCACTGAGCCTTGTGATGTGGAGGATGGCTGTGTACACACCCTGAGCCCTGTGATGTGGAGGATGGCTGTGTACATGCACTGAGCCCTGTGATGTGGAGGATGGCTGTGTACACACCCTGAGCCCTGTGATGTGGAGGATGGCTGTGTACGTGCACTGAGCCCTGTGATGTGGAGGATGGCTGTGTACGTGCACTGAGCCCTGTGATGTGGAGGATGGCTGTGTACACACCCTGAGCCCTGTGATGAGGAGGATGGCTGTGTACACACCCTGAGCCCTGTGATGTGGAGGATGGCTGTGTACATGCACTGAGCCCTGTGATGTGGAGGATGGCTGTGTACACACCCTGAGCCCTGTGATGTGGAGGATGGCTGTGTACGTGCACTGAGCCCTGTGATGTGGAGGATGGCTGTGAACTGCAGGTGAACTGAGACATATGGCAGTCTCTGAGCCTTGGGCTGTGGATCTGATGTGGTCAGCACAAACCAGCAGGACACATCTGTCACCTGCTAATGGAGACCCATCACCAGCTCTTAAAGGGGACGGTGCTCACTCTCACACTTACTATGGCTGGAGAGGGGGCGGTGGAGGGAGAGGAACTAATACCTTATTTCAGGCCAAGTTGAAATCTAGGGTGAAAACATTCTCTCTCTCACACACACACACACACACACCATCTCTCTCTCTTGGCCTCTCTTTCAGTCTCTGTCTGTTTCTCTCTCTGTTTCTCATTTTCCGGCCTGTTCCATGGTCCCCCGTCCGGCCCAGCCCGGCCCCCCCATCGGCGGTCGGACCTTCGGCGTCTCTGCCTCCACCCTTTTGCAACTCCATCCCAGATTCCCTTGGCCTCGCTCCCTCCCTCGCCTCCTTCAAGGCCCGTCTCAAGACCCTCCTCTTCGACCGCGCCTTCGGCCACCCTCCTACCCCTACGCTCCCCGCCCTCCACCCCTCCTAATACCAATGCCCCCAGCTCGGGTCCCAAATCCCTGACTGTCCAGCGCCTTGGGACGTCCTCCCGACATGAAAGGCGCTGTACAAATGTAATTTGTTGCTGTTGTTGTTAATTCCCTCTGGGTAAGGAAACACTTCCTGGTGTCTGTTCTGAAATTGCCCTTTTGCGACTCTAAACCTGCGTCCTCTTGTTCTGGTCGCCTGAGGTCCCTTCCGGGATGTTTTCTCTCAAGTCTGAAGGGCCTTAGCTTGTCTAATTGTTGCTCACAGTCCTCTATTCCTCTAACACTGGGGATCAGCCTCGCTGCTCCCCTCTGCACTGTCTCCGTCCGAAGCAGGCTTTGACGTATTTTGCAAAACGGCAGGTTCTTTCTCTCCGGGCAGGAGAGGGTTAATCATTTCAGGTGGATTTAAGCACGACTGTGAGCTGAGCGGGGAGAGCGGGGAGAGCGCAGAGTGGGGGAGGAAGCCCAGGATTGGCTGCTTCACATTCTGCCTCCAGAGGTGACCTCTCTGCCTCATTAATCACTCCCTCCCTCCTTCCCTCCCTTTCTCTCTCGCTCACTCCCTCGCTCTCCCCCACGCTCTCTTCCTTGCTCTCTCTCTCTCTCTCTCTTTCTCTCCCTCGTTCTCTCCCTCGCTCTCTCCCTTGCTCTCTCTCTCCCGCCCTCTCTTCCTTGGTTTCTCTTCCCATTCCTTCCTCCTACCACAGCTGTACTGCCGGGGGAGGGGGGGTCAGAGGTGGGGAGGTGGTGGAAGGGTGGGGGAACGCTGATCTAAAAAATAATAATCCTTGTATTCGATAAGAGAAATAACTCCCAGGTCAACGACAGCAGAGGTTAGAGACAGAGGAAAGCTCCCTCTACACTGTCCATCCATACTCCCAGGTCAGCTCAACCCAATGCGTCTGTTTAATTGGATCACGATTGATATAATGGGATCTTTATCGACCTTGAACCACAGGCACAGACTCAACTTAACATCTCATCAGAAAGACGACACCTCCAATTTTGCAGCGCTCCTACAGCACTGCACTGGAGCCTCAGCCCAGACTGTGAGATCACTTAAGGTTGCAGAGAAGCTCCGATGCAGTGCTGGGCTGTTGCATTAACAGAGGTGCTGTCCTTCAGATGAGATGTTAAACCGAGGGGGACGTTAAAGATCCCGTGGCACTATTCGAATAGAGAAGGAAGTTTCTCTCTCCCAGGGTCCTGGCTGACAATCCCCCAGATAAAACCGGTCACTCGCTCCGTGACTGTTTGTGGGACGTCGCTGTGCTCAGATTGTCTGCCCGAGTTCGCCTACAAATACACAGTCGCGACACTTTATAGCGTATCCTGCGAAGCGCTTTGAGACGTCCCCCCCCGAAGAGAAAGACGTGTTATTGGATGCAAGGGTTCGCTCAGAAGCCGGTTGCATGAAGCCCGTTAAGTTGTGGAAAGTGACTGAACCGGTCCCGGTGGACGCGATTCCCTGTCTCTGTTGTGTGAGGTCCGGCTGCCAGGTGTTGTCAGTGGTGAACGGGAAGCAGGAATTCCTTTTCCAGCTGCACACAGTATTGGGAACGTGTTATGACCTGTTTCTGACCTCTCCCCGCCGGCTTCACTGTCTGCGGCTTTATCCTTCCCTTCACAAGAGTTTGTTTCGCCCACACACGCAGCCCCCGTGTTAAAGATCCTGCAACGCTGTTAGAAAAGACAAGGGAGTCTTTCTCCCAGCGTCCTGGCCGACAATCCCCTGGATCAAATTGGTTATATAATAATAATAATAATAATAATAATCCCTGCATTGGTTATAGCTCCTTTCACGTCATGGAAGGTGTCGATCCCTGACTGTCCAGAGCCTTGGGATGTCCTCCTGACATGAAAGGCGCTATACAAATGTAATCGGTCGTTGTTGTTTGTCGTTGTCTCAAAGCGCTTCCCAGAATTTGTTGTAATGCGTAGAGCTGTGGTCGCTCATTCCGTGGCTGTTTGTGGGATGTTCTGCACAAATTGACTGCTGCGTTTGCCTACAAAATACACAGTCACTGCACGTTACATTGAATCCAGGGACGCACTTTGAGACGTCCTCTTGAAGCGAAAGGCCCAGTATGATCTGTAAGGGTTATTAACGCTTATTATTAATATCAAGATCGAGGTCAGACTTGGCTGTGATTTCCCCCAAACTATCAAATCATCTGTTGCCACACTCAAGAACCTGGTAAAGGAATACAATACCAATATCACGCTCACATTGTCAAAGCACTCTCTGGGGGCCCCAAAAATCGGCTCTCGCCAACCTGCGCCTAACACTCTTAGCATCCAAAGGGCGCAACTGGAAAAGCGAAGGGAGTGACAATCCCTACAAAATGCAGTCACTACACGGTCAATGCTGTGAGGCATTTTGTGACGCCCTCCTGACATGAAATGTTCTCTAGTGAGACCGAGCGCTATCGAGGAATCTCACTGATTTCAGTGGCTCTTCAGTTGCTGCTTCGAGGAGTCACTGTGTGTGCATCACACGCACTGGAGACTCGTGGTTTGACCAGGAAGGAGCTGGATGGCCTCTGTTCTCGTGAAGAACACGTGGGGCAGGTTTTAGGTTTGTATGAGATCACAGAATGTCATAAGGCTCAGGTGAAACCCACCTGCTTTCACTGCCTCCACAGGGCCTTTGACCTAATGCCTTATGATTAAACTGGAAGCCATGGGAATACGTGGCCAAATCTTGGATTTAATCAGGAATGTGTATCCCAGCTCCAAGATCCGTGTAATCCGTGGATGGTGGAGTCACTGAGCCCATCCCTCTGATGATGTGCTGTTGGCGGGCTCACCTGGGCACCTCCTGCACTGCACTCACCATCATGGAGATCTCCCTGTGTCTGGGGTGGATTGTGCACCCTCTCCCCGGAGGGATGCACTCTGCTCTCCTAATTCCGGAGAGTGTTAGGCGCAGGTTGGCAAAAGCCAAGGGTTGGAGACCCCAGAGTGTGGGTTGGGGTAACTGCTGGAGTCTAACCAGCTAAACCACGTCGTTTGCCATTGAAAGCACCGTCTGGTTCCACACATACACTTACACACACCCCCACACACACACATACACCCTCACACACGCACACTCCCCCACGCAGCCTCCCTCACACACATACACTCTCAAACACACATCCTCACACACACACACACAGACACACACATACATCGTCACTCACACGCACACAATCTCACACACTCACGCAAACACTCCCTCCAACATACCATCAAACACACACACGCATTGAGTAGGACCACTTCATCTTGAAGTTGCCCTCCTAGTGCTGGCCAGTAGGACACTCTCCGATCACACGCTCCGTCAGTGTTCCAGAGTGCAATTGAGGCTTCTACCCACCAAGAAGGGTGACCCTAGTGAGACCGAGAACTATAGATGGATCTCACCGACTTCAGTGGCTTTGGATTTTCACTGCACGTGTATCGTGGTTTAATCAGGAAGGAACAGGCTGGATTCCATTCTCGTGAGGAATGTGTGGGGCAGGTTTTAGGTTTGCACGAGATTGAGGAAGGTAGTAAGGCTCAGGGGAAACCTGCTTACAATACGTCCATTGCCTCCTCAAGACCTGTGACCTCGTGCCTCATGAATCCCTCACGTTAAAACTGGAAGCCATGGGAATACGTGGCCAAATCTTGGGATTTTATCAGGAGTGTGTATCTCAGTAAGGGTTGATGGTGGAGTCGCTGAGCCCATCCCTCTGGAACGCAGGGTAAGGCAAGGCTGCCCACTGTCACCCTCTCCGTTCGATGTGTTGATCAACGAGGTGTTGGATGGCGTGGAGAGGGAAGGACTCTGTTCCAGGCTTCCTGACAGATCCTCTGTTTGTTGATGATGTGCTCCACTGCACCTCCTGCACTGCACTCACCGTCCCGGAGATCTCCCTGTATCTGGGGGCGGAAAGCAAAGTAAAGTAACGTGACTAACCTCCCCATTTCCTCGTTTACCATCTTAAATTGATGAGGTACCCCTGCAAGTGAGCGTTGTTGTTGCTGTCGCTGTTGCAGTCTTGTGGCGCCGACTCAGTGGAAATAATTTCTCGCTGTTGACCCGCAAAAACCCCTCACCATTTTAAAGACCTCTCGATCTTCTTTGTTCCGCCAGTAAAAAAGACCCTCGGTTCCTCCAATCTCTCCCGATCGACCGAACCACTCATCCCCCAGTAAATCTCCTCTGCAACCCCAGTGTCGCTTTGATGTCTTTCACGAGGTGGGGCGACCAAATCTACACACAATATGCTAACTGTGGTCCAGCTAATGACTTATATACATTTAGCATTACCTCTTGCTTTTCAATTCTATACCCCTCGTGACAAATACCACAAACACACACACACCGCAAACGCCCCCTTGTGGCCAATACCACACACAGACCCACACACACACACACACACACACACGCACGCGCGCGCCCTCGTGACAAACACCACGCAGACCACACAAGTGCCTACTTGTGCTAAAAACAACCGCACGCCACGCACCCGGCAAACACCACGCGCACACACGCGCGCGCGCGCACACGATCACTCACACACACACACACAACACGCTCACTCCTAGCAAACCCCCACACACCGCGCTCCCCTTGTGCCGAAAGCACCACGCATACCCACACACAACCCGTGACAAACACCAGACCCGTCCCGGGCGCGCGTACACGCACCCCCACACGTGCACGCACGCACGCACGACGCACGCACGCACACCCACTCGCACAGACACACGCGCGTGCACGCGCGCGCGCGCACGCGCACACACACGCGCGCGCACACTCGAGCACGCACAAACGTGTACACAGACGACTCAAGCACGCAACACACACCCGCGCGCGCACACACACACACACACATGCACGCACGCACGTGCGCACACCCGCGCATACACTCTCACATACACGCGCGCACACACACACACTCACATACAGACCACAACGCCCTCTTGGGGCAAACACCACACATACACAACCTTGTGCCCAAACCATCACACACACAGATACACACATGTCCTCCCACACTGGGTGTATGACGTCGAGTGAGTCAGGAGTAAGCGTTGATCAGTACTTTATTGCTGTCCAAATAACAAGTAAACTTGTTGTCTTCACCGTCTGAGTGCAGTGATTGTTTTGTACCTTCAGGACCCTCAGTGGTTCCAATTTCCTCCCTGTTCCCCACACTTACCATTTGTCCATTTTCCATATAGATCGTTCCTTGCACCCCTTTCCTTTCACCAGCTCCCTTGCACACCTTCCTCATCCCCTTCTCGCACCCTCTCCATCCCTCACTCCTCCCCCCCACCTCTTGTCTTCTTCAATCAGTCTTGCCGGGTTCTCTATGGCCCCGTCATGTCCATTCCTGCTTTGGCCTTGAACATAAGGTCCTGCTTCTTGTTGGGCCATCTTGCCCATGTCTGTGCGCCATTCTCTGCAGTCTCTCCTTCCCCTTCACAATGTGGAAGCCAATCACAACAACAACAACAACAACAAACTACATGTGTGCAGCGCCTTTCACATCAGGAGGAAGTCCCAAGGCGCTGAACATTCAGGGATCCGCATCCGAGCTGGTGGTTGGGATCAGGAGGGGTGGTGGGTGGGAGCGTGGGGTAGGACGGTGACTGAAGGCACGGTCGAAGAGGAGGGTATTGAGAGGGGTCTTGAAAAGGTTATTCTCCTCTTTTTTCCAGGTTTCCCAGTTGCCTTTGAGGAATTTTGAGAAACAATTAGACCAGCTGCGTCTCTCCAGTCAGAGGAGACAACTCAAGAGATGTCTACATTTTAACTGGAATTGAAAACGTTAACCCAGATCAATGCTTTAGGATGCACCAAAGACAATAGAACAATAGGTTGGTAGTCGATTGGCAGATCGCTTTTCCGGAGGTAATAATGCCTTCAAAAAAAAGAAATAATAATAACGAATGGGTCACTCAATCCATGACTGTTTGTGGGACGCTGCTGTGCTCAATTGGCTGCTGCTTTTCACCCACAAAAATACACAGTCAATTCACTTTATAGTATATTCTGCGAAGCACTTTGAGACGTCTCGAAGACGTGGTAAGGCGCTACATCAAACGCAAAGATTATTATATTAATCAGCTGTGCTTCCTAGTGATCAGGGAGCTAGTCGCTCAGTCATACCCCGTCCTGAGCACCTTCGGGTGAGGACAGGACCAGATTGATGGTGATTTTCTCCCCAGGTTCATCCACACACATGTATTGTTCTGGGCTTAATCCTTCGGGTCAACAGGTTTGAGTGCGGAGTTGGTGTGGTTGAACAAGTAGAAAACTGGGTTTATTTAGCTTTTTGTCGTCTGACCTGTTCCCCAGTCACACGCTGGTGATCACTTAACAGCACAAACACTTAATAAGTGCACAGCGTATTAACCCATTGCTGCCTGGGGCCATCGCATTTGTCAGCTCCCGGTGCAAGTCGCCATTTTCCATTTCTGGTTCGCGAATGTCGAATTGTGGGATTCGGGGAAACAGCGAACCTCTGACCGGCAAAGGCACAAAACAAGCCGGTGATTTTTCAGGCTTTGCCGTTTGGGATTCACAGTTCATTGTTTGTGAATTTTGTGCATCGTTAGTAACAATGAACTTGGACTTGGACCTTATATAGTCTAAACTGACTCTCCGGTGCAGGACTGGGAGAACACCACATTGTCGGAGGTGCTGTTCTTCGGGAGAGATATTAAACCGAGGTCCCGTCTGTGCCTGTTTTCAGATGAATGCTAAAGATCCTGTGGCGCTATTCAAAAAGAGAAGAGAGTTTCTCTCACACGGTGTCCTGGCCAACAATCCCTCAAATAAAACCAGTTATTCACTTATTCACTGTGTGGCTGTTTGTGGTACATTGTCATGTGCAAATTGGCTGTCGCGTTCTCCCACAAAATATACAGTCACTACACTTTATAGTAAAATCCTTTGAAGCTCTTTAAGACGATTCAACAATGTGATAAGGCGCAATATCAAATGAAAGGATTATTATTATTATTAATTAACCACCTGAATGGACTTTGCAAATAATGCAGTTGAGACGCTATTGTTTCCTTAACCAAAGGACATTAATATAATAATCTTTGTATTTTGATATAGCGCCCTATCACATCGCCGAAATGTCTCACAGCGCTTCACAGGATTTACCGTAAAGTGTAGTGATTGTGAATTTTGTAGGCGAACGCAGCAGCTAATTTGCACACTGCGACGTCCCACAAACAGCTGGACTGATGGGCTGAACGTCTTGTCTCTCTGTTGGGTGTAAAAGTTCTCAGGGGAAAATCAGTGAGATCTGTCTCAGCCAAGAACACAGGCCCACAGCAGACATCTCCCCCTGATTCAGCATCAATTGATATTATCGCTTCTGTGGGATGTGTCGCCATTGCCCACTTCACTCGCTCCCTCTCCTCCTTGAAACCTGCCTCAAGACCTTTGGTTTCACCTCCCCCTCCCCTGCCTCCCCCTCAACCCCTGATTAGGCTCTCAGCCGGCTCTGCAAAGCGCTTTGAGACATCCTCCCGACACGAAAACGCCGTGTAAATGTTAAACTGTTGCATTGATCCTTCTTTAAACCCATTTTGACCAGAGACTAGGTGTCTTCTTCACATATTTCCATCCCCATCCCTGTCAGCTCTAATGACAAGAGAGGAGTAATGACAATTATTACATTCGCTCCATGTGCCTTCACATCAGGAGGACGCCTCAAAGAGCTTCACAGGATTTACTGTAAAGTGCAGTGACTGTGCGTTTTGAGGGCGAACACGGCAGACAACTTGCACACGGCAATGTCCCACAAACAACCTCGAGCGAGTGACCAATTTTGTTTGGTGGACTGTTGGCCAGGTCACCGGGAGAGAGAGAGAGAGAAACTCCCTTCTCTTCTTGATCTTTAACGTGCACTTGAACAGAGAGACGGGACCTCGGTTTAATGTCCCGTTGGTAGGACAGCACCTCCACCAATGCAACACACCCTCCCAGCCCTGCGTTGGAGCATCAGCCTGGACCATCTGAGTTGCAAGCCCTGATGTGGAACTTGAAACCCACAACCTTCTGACTCTGAGGTGAGGTTGAGCCAGGCTGACACACCGCGTGGGGAAATAGATTGAACGAATATGGAAATGATGAAACAGTGAGGGGAGGGTTGGCGGAGCAAGGGAAAATGATAAATTCAGTTGGAAATGGGGTCTCCACTTTTCCGGGTGAGTTCACTTCAAAACTGATAGATGCCGTCAGCTGTCAGTATTGTTGAGCTTAAATGTTGTGAAGTAATTCCAGATGTAATGGCAGAGGACAGGAGAAATAAAACCCTGACGCTAGTGAGACCTGACGTATCAGCAGGTAAACCTATAGACTGCTTCGCCATCAAAGCTAAAACCTCCCCGCCTCGAGCACCGTTGATCTGGTCCCAAAACGTAGTGGGTTCTTGCGCAGGATGTGTCCCAAGTTTGGATGAGGAAGTCAAAGCGCAAGAGCCCCACCGCGCACTTGGAACCAGACGAGTTGTGTTGAAGGTCCCCGATCGTCTCGGGGCGGCCAGTTTGCGCACAGCAACGTCCCACAAACAGCCATGAGGTGATTGACCCGATTTTATTCGGGGGAAACTGGGAGAATTTGGGCACTCAAACCACGGCTGTGTGTGGGACACCGCGGTAAGTAGAGACCCGGTCGTTAGCCGATTGGCGGATCGCTTTTCCGGGGGCAATAAACCCTTCAAAAAAAAATGATAATAATAATTTGGTCACTTCAATCCACGACTGTTTGCGGGACGCTGCTGTGCGCAATTGGCTGCCGCCTTTCGCTCACAAAATACACAGTCAATTCACTTTGCGGCGTACTCCGTGAAGCGCTTTGAGACGCCTCGAAAACGTGATAAGGCTCTGTATCAAATGCAAGTATTGTTATTTATTATTAAAGCCCACACTCAGCGATCACTGAATTCAGAGGCACTGAGCAGTTTCGATTTGCTGGGTGATCCGCTCTGAACTTTGCTCTGAAACAAAACGTGATGCCCGGGAAAAACATCAAACCCCATGTGTCACTTCTGACTTGAACTTGTTCCCCTCGCCACCTCCACTCCCCACCCCCCCCTCCCTCCACCCTCAACCCTTTTTTTGCTAGCTTCCTCCTTGCCTTAAGTGCAAACTCTTACTCACAGGCAGAGGTTATTTAAAATGCTGTGTGGGCGGGGAAAATCCCCGGTGCTTTAGTTCAAAGGAAATCCTCAACTCAGAAATTAACCACAGAGTTTCAGCACCCACGCCCAAACAATTCCGTTTAACCCCTTCACTCAGAAACCGAGGCTCGATGTGAAGTCCTGCTACTACTCGTGTCAGAAAATTAGTCACTTACTTTATCACTGTCAGCGCCTGGTCCATTCTCTCACCCTCCCGTCTCTGCGTCGGAAGGTTGTGGATTCAAATCCCACTCGAGACTCGTCTAGAGCTCGCGGTCTCGGCTGACTCTCCAGTGGAACACTGTCAAAAGAGTTATTGCCCTTCAGATGAGACGTTAAACCAAAGACTTTCCCTGATCGGGTGGACGTTAAACAATAATAATAATAATCCTTGGATTTGATACAGCGCCTTATCGCGTCTTCGAGACGTCTCAAAGCGCTTCACGGAATATAACGCAAAGTGTAGCGACTGTACGTTTTCTGGGCGAAACTCGGCAGCCAATTTCGCGATTGATATGTTAAAGACCTGGCGACGCTATTCAAAAAGGGAAGTATCCCCCGCGGATAAACAAAACCCCCAAATACTGCAGATGCTGGAAAATCTGAAAACAAAAACCGAAATCGCTGGGAACACTCAGCAGGTCAGACGGCATCTCTAGAGAGAGGAAAGTGAGTCAATGTTTCGGGTCCACGACTGCTTCGTCAGAACAGACGAAACTGACAAAACATCCCCCAGATAAAAATGGTCACTCACTTGATGGCTGTTTGTGGGACGTTGCTGTGTGAACTTGGTTGCCCCATTTGCCCACAAAATAAATACAGTCATTCCATTTCACAGTAAAATCCTGTGAAACGCTCGTCAACATCTTGTTGACATGATATGTTATTATGTCAAGTGCAAGGACTATTATTATTATTATTATTATTATTATTATAACGATGATGATTCAATTCCAAGACGGTCTGACTTCTTCAGGGAGCAATAAACCAATTTGTAAAGTTGATCTGTTAGAAGTGTTTTGTTTATTTTATATAAATGTTGATTTTGTGACCAACTTTATGAATTTTCACAATAATAACAATCCTTACTTTTCATCTCGATGAGGTGACTATAATATATATGTATTATTGGAATAGCACCTTCCACATTGGGAGGATGTCTCAAAGTGCTTCATTCTTTTTTTTACTATAACGTGTGGCGATCGTGTGTTTTGCGAATAAATCTACAGAATCTTGAATTATAAGACTGCGGCCTCAAGGCCAACACCGTGAAGATTTTCAGACCGGAAGTATATAAGTTCTAGATTATGGTCTGTGGTGTTTCCAACCACTGCTGCTGCGGGAGTTTGGGGAATGAGGGAGTGCAGCTTTAAGAGAAGTGGGTGGTGGAGTGAGGCCACGGCTGTGTGAGGAGCGCTGACTCAGGGGGAAAGCAGAGGGAAGCAGCGATATTCTGGCAGATACCAACGAACGAACGGAACGAACGAGATGGGAAGAATCCTGTGGATGGTTGGTTCTAATCTGGCAGCACTTTGTGTGACCTCCGCACCTCCTCTTCACAAACACTCCGAACCTTCAGTTGTCCATCGTGGTATATCTCGGCACTGTGAGCTTGTCAACCACAGCTTTGATGTATTATCTGAGCAGGAACCCTACATCATATCACGGAACGAACACAACACCATCTCGAGCCAGAAAACAGCCAAGGAACACATGAGATGCAGTGACTCTCCACATTTACATAAATATATATATATATAACGTGTATATACACACACGCGGTAAATATATAATTTATGGTCAACCAGATGTCTGACACATGCGGAAACCCATCACCATGCTGAAGAATATCCAAACCAGACAGGTTTCCATGCCTCCCACATACACATGGAAATTCCAGAGATAAATTGTTGGAATGGAATTCACATTCAAAAATATATGAATATGTATATTAAACACACACACATATTATATATATGTAAATACTGTATATCTAGAGCTAATTACAGCGCAAAGCATGATTATTTTCTGGGGGATTGTTGGCCAGGACCTCTGACAATACAGCCCCCCCCACCCCCAGCACTGCACTTTAGCGTCAGTCTAGACTGTGAGCTCAAAGTCCCGACGTGGGGCTTGAACCCGCAACATGGTGACTCAGAGGCGAGACTTAGCCAGGCTGGTCCTTACATTACATCAATGGAGTCCTGTAGCTCAGTGGTTAGAGCGCTCGCTTTGCAAGTGAGAGACCTGGGTTCGATTCCCGGCAGGGCGAAACCTTGGGCAAGTTTCCTTTCCTTACCCCCACACGCCTGATAATAATCCCTCAAAAAAAACATTTCAATCCATGACTGTTTGTGTGCAATTGGCTGCCGCGTTTCGCCCACAAATATAGTCAATTCACTTTACAGTCTATTCTTGGAAGTGCTTTGAGACGTCAAGAAGACGTGAAAAGCGCTATATCAAATACAAGGATTATTATTATTATTATTATTATTAATTCTGCTCAAATTTGGAGTGACTGTGAGGAAGTGCATAAGAACAGCCTTGAGATCAGTTTCGCCAGCTCTCTTGCCATCTCCAGTGTGGTTTACATGAATCTACATTACAATAACGACTACAACAACTTGCACTTATATCGCGACCTTCACATGGGGTAGAGTCCCGGACGGAACGTTTACTGTTCTGTAAATAGACTGGAATCGAGTGACTGGGGACTGAGTGACTGACTGGGAATGTGTATTCCAGGAGGTCTCCCCTTGAGGTGTGCGACAATTGTCAGCCTCTTGTGAGGCAGGATGGTGTAGTGCGTGCCTGCCACGGCTAGCTACAGTCAAAGTGAATTGCCATGGCTGCCATGTGTTCGTGGAGCTATGATATTCCTGTGGGAGGTCGGGTTTACCACCACCGATGAACTGTTCATCTCACAGCCACATGTGCCAAGCCCCGCAGCCAGTGAGCAGATGTGTCGTTTGCTTTGAGGGTAAGTTAGCTTCCGACGTAAGGCCATCTTCCCTATTTCCTCCCCAATTTTCTCTCTGCGTCTTCACACGGACGTGTTAGTGCCTTTGTTTAATGTCATCACTCATTTTATGATAAGATAGAAAATCAGGGTTTGCTCCCAAATATCTTACTTTGCCACGGGTGGGAATAATAATAATAATCATAATAAAATGAAGTGTATAAACATCTTGGAATAGTGCTGGAATAAATAATAATAACAATAATTATCCTTTCACACACTCTGACCTCTCTATCCATGGCCTCCTACGCTGTTCAAACGAAGCACAACACAAGCTCGAAGAACAGCGCTTCATAATATAATAATAATAATCTTCCTCATCGACCACCTCAGGACCTTGTGGCCTCTGGCCTCAACACTGATTTTAACCACTTCAAACCTTAAACACAGCTCCCAGTTTCTCTCAGCCTTATCTCTTTATCTCCCGCTTCCCCCTCCTCTATAACCATTCACACATCCTCTGGGTATGAGACAAATCTTTTCTTTCTATAATCTCCCACTATTGCCTTCTTTTGCTTTGCACCATCAACACCTCGTCTTCTGTCCCACACCTAAATTTTTCCTTTGTCTTTCTTTCCCAGCTCCCTCCTCTGCTTGTCCTAATAATCTGCTCCCTTCCCCCAATTCTGATGAAAGCTTATCGACCTGAAATGGTAACTCGTTTTCCTCTCTCCATAGATGCTGCCTGACCTGCTGCGCGCAAGTCAATATCAGGGGTCGCCCACCGTATAGAAGAGCGGCCCCGAAAAAGGGAATGCAACGTAAAGAACAAAATGCTTTGTGTTGGGATGCGGAGAAAAGTAGTGAAATGAAAGATGTACTTTGTGGTTTTCTGCGGTTATTGTTGTACCAAATATCATATTTTCAAATAAATATATATTTTCAGCAAAAAAAAAGATGCTGCCTGACCCCCTGCGGGTTTCCAGCGACTTCTGATTTTATAATAATCCTTGCGTTTGATATAGCTCCTTATCACGTATTTGTGACATCTCAAAGCGCTTCACAGAATATACTGTAAAGCGAATTGACTGTATTTTGTGGACGAAATGGCAGCCAATTGCACACAGCAGTGTCCCACAAACAGTCGTGGGTTGAGTTTTATAAAGGATTTTTTTTAAGGGATTATTCCCCCCAGAAAGCGATCCGCCAATTGACTAACAAGCGGGTTCCTTTTTATTGCTCGGTAAACACAGTGGCTTGAAATTGAAAGTTGTTTCTGAATATATAAGAAACATAAGCTTGGTACTTAAAACAGTTAAGTGCCAGAAATAAAATATTTGCTATTATTGCAATTGCAATACCAGTAAATAACTTACTGTTTTGGTATATTCGATTCGATGATCCAACAACTGAAAATATTGATATTGACTGTGTATTTTACACCAATTTAGCACAGCAACGTTCCCACAAATAGCCGTGAAATGAATGATCGATATTATCTGAGTGATTGTCGACCACAACACCAGGAGAAACTCCCTTCTCTCTTCTTCCGTGAGGGCCGTCTGTGTTCCCCCAGTACCGAACCATTCACTAAAGGGATTTTCGTTCTAACAAATCCATATGGTTTACTTTACGTAATAGTTTATTACATGTACATGTGTGACTAATCACATCATCCCATTGCCTGCAGGATTTATGTGCCACACACACTGATTAATTTTATACACATTACCTACAGGCTCTGAAGTTTTCTCTGGGCTGTACTTTATCGAAATAATTCTATCAGAGAATTATACAGCAAAGAAGGAGGCCATTCGGCCCATCGTGTCTGTGCTGGGTCTTTGAAAAGAGCTATCCAAATCAATCCCATTCCCCGTGCTCTCCCCATAGCCCTGCACACTTGTCCTCCCCAAATAATTATCTACTTCTCTCTTAAAAGTTGTTACCGAATCGGCTTCCACCAGCCTTTCAGGCAATGCATTCCAGATCCCAACAACTCGCTGTGTGACTGCTGTAAAGTGTATATTTTGCGAGCGAAACGGGGTCAGCCAGTTTGCACACAGCAACGTCCCACAAACAGCGATGGAGTGAGTGATCAATTTTAGCTCTGGGTTTATTGGCCGGGACACCAGGACAGAGAAACTCCCTTCTCTTTTTGAATAGTGCCATTGGGACCTTTAACATCTACCTGAACAGGCAGATGAGACCTCGGTTTAACTCCTCATCTCCGACAATGCAACGCTCTCCCCCCACCCCCACCACCAGTCCTGCTGATGAAAGGCGCCATACAAATGTAATTTTGTTGCTGTTGTTGTTGTTGCAGTTGGGCTATTTTTAGCTCACACTCCACCATATCTCAGAACACATAACAAAGCAAAGGGAATCAGCTGGAGCCTGCTGCTCGTGTCCTCTTCACGCTGCTCAATTTCCATAGCATTGGGAGGGCTGAGCACTCACCACTGTCTAGTTGAGTCTCAGCCTGGCTCAGTCACAGGCACTCTCTCCTCTTGAATCAGAAAGCTGTAGATTCAAACCACATGGCTGTTTGTGGGACGTTGCTGTGCACAAATTGGCTGCTGCATTCGCCTCGAAGTACACAGTCAATCCACTTGACAATAAATCCTGTGAAGCACTTTGGGATGTTCTCCTGACGTGAAAGGTTCTGTGCCAAATGCAGAGGGGGCTGTTGGTTCATAAGATTGGTTTGGATGAAGAAGGCTCTTCAGCCCATCTAAGCTGATCCTCCCAGTACATCCACCCTATTGTCCTCTCATCACGGCATCAAACTACTTTTTAAATGCTTTTTACATTTTTAAAAGCTAAGTTAGTTGTCTTAAAACCTCATTGCCAGGAAACGGAGGGAAGGGGATGAGGCTGGAACCCTGGACTCGGTTATAAAAGCAGCTTGCCTATCTGCTCAGGTAGACGTTAACATACAATGATGCTACAGTACAGTATTTGAAAAGAAAGGGGAATTTTAACCAGTGTCCCGGCCAAAACTCCCAGAATAATTGGTTTTTCACCTGCGAGCTGATTGTGAGGCCTTAATAATAATAATAATCCTTGCATTTGATATAGCGCTTTTCACGTCGGGAGGACGTCCCAAAGCACTTCACAGAACACACTGTAAAGTGAATTGACTGTATATTTGTGGGCCTTGCTGGTGTATTGAAGCAAATTGATTGCTGGGTTTGCCTACAACTACACCGACGCTCCACTTCACAAGAACTGTTAAGAGCTCTGAGACACTGCCCTGTGTGAAGAGCCCAATATAAATGTGAGTCGTTGTTGTATTTGCCTGAAAAAGTCCCCTCCAAACACTTGCAATGACACATGGTAGTGTTTTGAGATGCTGCGATTGTATTGGGCATAGAGAAGTCTTTAAGTTTGTTTTATTTCTCGTCACACTGTGCTTTTTCACCTCCAGGTTAAAGAATTCAATATTCAACTCACATTCTCAAGCAAATTGCTGCACGTTAACATCTGAGGATTACTTACAATAACATCTCAAAGAGGTATTCTGCAGGATATACTGCAAAGTGTAGTGACTGTGCATTTTGTGGCCAAATAAGGCAGCCAATTTGGGCACAACAATGTCCCCTTCACCCCCAGTGAGTGCTTGGACTGTGAGCTCAAAGTGCTCACCTAGGATTTGAACCCACAACCTCCTGACTCAAAGGCAAGAGAGCTGCTAACTGAGCCGGGCTAACACTGAGCCGGGCTAACACTGAGCCGGGCTAACACTGAGACGAGAGCAAGTGATCACCAGGCAGACACCTGAACCGTGGACAAATTCGATCTCCCGCCATCGGGCTCCGCCACTGTTAAGCGCTCCGAGACACCGTCCGACATGAAAAGGCGCTATACAAATACAAGTCGTAGTTAACCGCGGCTCATAAAAGTAACAGGTTCCAAATGAGTCTGAAATCCGTAATTTCCCCAAATCTGGCTGTATCTTAACCTGAAGACAAATCGATCTCATGGGATAAGGTGGTGTGAATTTGAGGCTCCTGAGGATGAGATCATCCCCACCCATGCCCCACCCCAACCCAGCCGTTCGGGGGGGGTGGGGGTGGGGTGGGGGGTGGGGAGGGGAGAGGGCGAGGGAGAGAGGAAAATCGAGATGAGTGATATTCCCGTAAAATATTTCAGAAGCAAAAAAAAAGACAAGAGGAACTTGCAGAGTCTGAAATATTCATGAGAGTGAAATCAAAGCACAAGGCGAGCAGTCTGCCTGCAGTGGGGGCTGTGAAGTACGGTGCTTTGTGTAGACCATCAGGACTGCAGTCTGCAGCAGTCAGAGAGATCGGGCCAAATTAAAGGGACTGAGGCCATTCGCGAGCCATTCCTTTTCCGGGGGTAAGAATCCTTTCCCCTTCCCCCCCCAAAAAATGTAATAATAATAATAATTTGGTCACTCAATCCACGACGCCTTGTGGGACACTGCTGTGCGCGCAAATGGCAGCCGCGTTTCGCCCACAAAACACACAGTCACTGCACTTCACGGTGTGTTACTGTGAAACGCTTTGAGACGTCTGGAAGACGTGAGATGTGAACAGTGCTATATCAAGTGCAAGGGTTATTATTATTGTTATTATTATTATTAATAGGAGCAGATTAGCTGAAGGGACATCCACCAATGGTTAGGCAAGCAGAGCGGGGACATTAATCAGACTCCCTCCGCCCCCTGAGCGAAGGGAGCAGGTGAGTCAGTAGGGTTTGAGGAGGTTGCGGAGGTAGAGTGGAGCAACAACAATAGCAAATTGTATTTATATAGTGCCTGACACGGAGTCCTCTGGTTTTGTGGGTAAAGAACTCGCCTCGCAACCTGGGTCCAACTCCTGGGCTGTGTGAAACGTTGGGCAAGTTTCCTTAATCCCATAGGTAGTGGATACACGCTCGCCTCGCAAGCAAGAGGACCCAAGTTCGATTCCCGGGCGGAGCAAAACCGTAGGCAAGTTTTCTTACTCCACGTGCTGCTGTTTACCTAGCAGTAAGAACCCAGTATATTCTGTGAAGCGTTTTGAGATGTCTCACAGACGTGATAAGGCACTATATCAAATGCAAAGATTATTATTATTATGAGTGCAAAGGACAATTTCAAGATCGACACCAGCAAGTTTTTCTTCACCCAGAGGTCAATTAATAACTGGAACAAGTTACCAGGAAGGATGGTTGAGGCAATTTCACAGGATGAGGGTTCAACGTTACGCTGGGAGGATGAGATCAGGGTGGCCTCCCTCCCCAGTTGTGACTCTCGCAAGCCAATCCCCGGGGGCGCTTGGAAGCCATTCCCAGAGGCGCTCGAGAAATCTTCCAAATTCCTGTCTAACCAGTCCGTCCGCAGCTGGAGGAGATCGTTTGGGCTGAGCTGATCATGTGAAACTGCGAGACAGACACCAGAGAGGAACCAGATCCCATCCCTGCTCTGTGCTGAGTTACTGATTTCAACAGTTGGCCTGAGTGCCCCTGGGCTGGGGGGGTGGGGGGGGGGGAGAATCAGCCAGCTTCCTTCTCCTGATCGTTATGTAGAGACACCCGACCTCCCTCCCCTCGATGGAACATCTATGTGTGAACATTGCTGGAAGATAGGATTAGATTTGGCAGTGATGTTCTTCACGGCTACTTAAGACTCTCGCTGACTTGGCTCACATAATAGTAATAATAATAATAATCCTTACCTCTGTTACAGCCCCTTTCAAGTCCGGGGCATGTCTCAAAGCACTTCACATCATTTACCCCCGGTGTAGTGACTGTTTATTTTGTAAGGTGATGGCAGCAGCTAATTTGCTCACGGCAAAATCCCACAAACAGCTGTGCAAGTGAACTCACAACATGCCGTGGGATCTTTAACATCCACCTCAATAGGGCACAGATGGGCCCTCGGTTTAATCGGTCCTCGGTCTCATCTGAAGGACGACACTCACGTCTGTGGGTGAGTATCGGGAGAGGAGACAAAAGTCTGCACAGTGGCTTCCAGCAGAGCCACGGACAGTTTGGTGTCTTGGTTGTGTCACGAGTTGTCCCCGATATATCTAATTTCCCGAGAGACGTAACGCAATGCCAAGAATGCTACCAGGAGGATATTCCCGATCCCAGTGCAAGAGGCAAGATTGCTTGACGGTTGTAAAGCCTGCCAGTGCTCCCTGCCCAGTTGCATTCCACGAATGACATTCCCGTAGTCCCATCAGGAGGTAGGAATGTTATACCTCTCCATCACGGGCTACAGGAAGCAGACAGCACTGCCCAATCCCCACGGTTACAGAGTTCCAAACCAGAAAGCATTGGGGATATTGAAAAGTATTTACCCAATCTTTATCTGCCGTCCCTAAACCTTGGCTCTTACCAACCTGAGCCTAACATTCTCCAGGATCAGGTAAAGTGCGTGCATCCCTCATCCCTCCGGGTAGAGAGTACGCGTTCTGTTTGAGACACAGGAAAATGTCCACGTGTACGTGACACATAGAACTCTCGGTTTGGTTTGGATTCTCTTAAGACACCTACGGTTTGTGTGTGTGTCAGACACCCGGCTGATGAAAAAACACAGGGTGACGTCAATTGCGTGATGGTTTCTTGAAATGTGGGTGTTACAGTGATTAGGATGTTTGTCACAAAATGTGGCATTTCAGATACAGATCTCAGACTTAAGACCTTTTTGAAAAATCTTAAAATTTAGACTGAAGGAGGGTGACTGGAGGCGCGGTCGAGGAAGAGGGTCTTGAGACGGGTCTTGAAGGAGGTGAGGGAGGGGGACTGTGGGATGGATTTCCAGAGGGTGGGGGCAGTGAGGCTTTAGGAGCTGTGGAAAACCACCCTTCGAGCATCGCACGATCACACATGTTAAGACATAAAGCTAAGGCCATGAGGCATGAGAGCGAGATAGAGAGAGAGAGAGAGAGAGAGAGAGATACAATGGGCTCTCAGGACACCCTCTTGATGTGAAAGGCACGGTATCAAGGATTATCATTATTATTTTCCGGACAACGAGACACGGATGTTATAGAAACCAAGTGCTCCAGCACAACCTTGCCGGCCGTTTAACCCACTCTCAGGGTATACTCCTCCAGTGAAGCCATCTCTGTCCTATTTCCAAACTCCCGCCCTTTCCCCATCCCCTCGAATCCCCTTCCTCCACACGCGCTAATCCAACTCCCTTCTAACTATCCCGACTCCGCTCCAGCCTTCACTCCAGTGACCCATTCCATCCTCCAGGAGGAAAAACACTTCCTAACTTCCCCCTTTTCACTCTCTGACTTTCAATACTTTTAATTTAGTTTTGATTTGATTTGCAATGAACAGGCAGCTTCTGTCGCCCGGTGTCTCGGCCAACAATCCGGCAAAATAAAATCGGTCATTTACTCCATAGCTATGAGTCATTGCTGTACACAAAAACTGGCTGCAAAACACGCAGTCTTTTCAGTATATCCTGTGAGGCACTTTGGGACGTCCTCTTGATGTAAAAGGTGCTATACCAAATGTAACTATTAATATTATTATTAATCGTAAATTCTCATCTTTACAAAATCATTCCCAGTTTGTCCCACATGCCACCTCCCTGCCCCCTGCCCTTTGCCCCCCCACCAAAAAAAAAACAGTGATAGTGTTCGACGATGCCGGGAGACTCTTATCATTTTTAAGGAATCGTATTATTTTAAGCCGCTCTTGAAACAACAACGATTTCCCCGTCAATTCTCAAACGCATTTCACTTCAGGCGTAATTTAATGTGGGTTTTTTTTTTTGGGGGGGGTGGGGGGGGGGAGGGAATTGAAATGGATTACGTAATGTTCTCTTTTTTTGCGAAACCATTTTGTGAAGCGCGAACATTTGACCGTGCCCCCCCCCCAAGTTAATCTGGCTGGAAGCTGGATTCGGGAGGGCTGTGCGTCGTGCCGTGAGCCCAAGTTTGCAGGGATCCATACAGAGTTGTCAGAAATTAATAATAATAATAATATTCCTTGCATTTGACATTGTGCCTTATCACATCGTTGAGACGTCTCGGAGAGCTCTGAGACGCTACCCTGCTTGGAGGAGGGTGCTAATGTACGTGCAAGTTGTTGTCGTCGTCGTCGTTGAAGCGGGATACACTGTAAAGTGTAGTGACTGTGCAATTGTGTGAGCGAAACGCGGCAGCCAGTTTGCGCACAGCAACGTCCCGCAAACAGCCACGGAAGCGGGTTATTTGGGGGATTGTTGAGAAGGGTTGAGAGACTCGTCCCAAATTCAAATAGGTTTGTAGCCCAAAGTCCACCCAACAGTAGCCCAAAAGTAGCCCAACATCACGCGCCAATTTCGGTTAGTGCTTTCGAAACCGCAAATGAAGAAAAAAAAAGAGAAAAACACGCCTTTGAGGGTTTATATTTTTCTTTAACAATTAGGCACTCACCCCCCCCCCCCCCCCCCAAAAAAAAAAACGGTCTTCTCACGCACAGCGAAATAATAATAATAATAAAAATAATAATCCTCGCATTTGACAGAGGGCTTTTCACGTCGGGAGGACGTCCCAAAGCGCTTCACGGGACACACTGTAAAGTGAATCGACCGCATATTCGTGGGCGGACGCGGCGGCCGATCGCGCGCAGCGACGTCCCCACAAACAGTCGGGGATTGAAAGCGACCGATTTATTATTGTTTTGGGGTTGTTTTTTTTTTGGAGGGATTATTATTATTAGGGGCTGCGGGTGGGGTAAGGAAACTTGCCCCAGGTTTGGCCCCGACCCGCCTGGGATTGAACTCGGGTCTCTCGCTCGCAAAGCCACTGCTCTAACCACTGAGCTACGGAAAGCCACGAACCCGCCCAATTGGGCGTGAAAGCCGCCCAACCCGCAGCGTTGGGCTACGGCCGCTCTGGACTCACCGGAGCCGCGGAGTGTCAGTCGGTTTTTGAAGCTGTTCACATCGGATTTGAACCGCACTGATGGAGCCGCCTCTCACCCGCATTGGCCGCCCGGGCGCTGGGCGGGGAGCGGCTGCCGGGGCCTGAGTGGCCGGGAGTCAGGCCCGTCACCCGCCGCCTCCGCTATAAAGCGTGAGAGAGAGACACACACCGACACACTGTGCCCAGACACACACACAGAGAGAGAGACACACACAGAGAGACACACACACAGAGAGACACACACACAGAGAGAGACACACAGAGAGAGAGAGAGACACACACAGAGAGACACACACACACAGAGAAACACAGAGAGAGACACACAGAGAGACACAGACAGAGAGACACACACACAGAGACACACACACACAGACACAGAGAGAGAGACACACACAGAGAGACACACACACACACAGAAACACAGAGAGAGACACACAGACAGACACACACACACAGAGACACACACACACACACACACAGAGAGACACACACACAGAGACACACACACACAGAGACAGACACACTCAGAGAGAGACAGAACACAGAGAGAGACACACAGAGAGAAACACACACACACAGAGACACACACACAGATAGACACACACATAGAGAGACAGAACACAGAGAGAGAGACAGAGAGAGACACAGACACACACACAGAGACAGACAGACACACACACACAGAGACACACACACACACTCACACACAGTCTGGCACTGCTACAGCAGCAGCTGGAAAGTCTTCTGTGGAAGTAGCGAAGATAATAACCCATTTTATTGAGGGGGTGCAATTTGGAGCTGCTGCTGCTTCGTGTGTGTGTGTGTGTGTGTGGGGGGGGGGGGTTTATTCCCCTATTTCTTTGCATCTCTTAAAGGGGACAAGTCACCCAGAGTCACAGACAGACAGACACAGAGCCAAGCGCTGCTGCAACAGTCGAGAAGTCTTCTCTGTGCCAAATAGAAATAGAGAAGAAGGAGAGAAAAAAAAGAGGGGCACTTTTTTTCCACCCACCACTTTGGTACCGCTGTGTGTGTGTGTGTGTGTGTGGGAGGGTTTAAACCCCCTTTTTTTTGCATCTGGAGCTGGTGCTGTGTGTGGTGGGGTGTGTTTGCCCCCCACACCCCCACACCCCCCCCACCCCCACCCTCTTTTTGTGCATCTCTTAAAAGGAGAAGGACAGAAGACGAGAGAGAGAGTGGGAGAGAGAGAGAGAGAGAGAGAGGGAGAGAGCTCTCCGGGAAGAGGAAGACAACAACAACAACAAAAAAAGTGACTGTCGCAGGGGAAGGAACGAGAGGAAGAGAGAGAGGAGGGGTGGGGGGGTTCGGACCGGAGCCCGGAGTGGGGGAGTCGGTGCCCGGTGCCCGGTGCCCGGTGCCCGGTGGTGGGGGGGGCGATGCTGGCGGCGGAGAGCTCGGTGGACGCCCAGAGTCTGATCTCCATGTCGCTGCGCAAGATCCACAACTCCAGGAGCGAACGGGGAGGCATCAAACTGCACAAGAACCTCCTGGTGTCCTACGTGCTGCGCAACGCGAGGCAACTGTACCTCAGCGAGAGGAGGGTCAACAACAACAACAACAACAACAACGGCGGCGGAGGAGTAGGCGGCGGCGGTGTTGTTGTCGTCGGCGGCGGCGTCTCCATCCACGGCTCCGGATGCGCTGTGGCGCAGCCCCGCGCGGAGCCGCTGTGCGTCTGTCCGGCCAACCGGGACTCGCACTGCACGGTGCTGGACCTCGACACGCACACCGTGACCACGGTGGAGACGGGCTTCTCCCTCCGGGACTGCGCGGCGACCTCCTGCTGCTGCTGCGGCTCCAGTTTGGGTTCCTCCCCCCACTCCCCCTCCTCCTCACCCCCCACCACCTCCTCCTCCTCCAGCAACAACAACAACAACAACAACAACAGCCACAGTCCCCCCAACCCCCCGACCCCCCCCGGTCCCGGCCCCGGTCCCCCCCCCGGCCCCGGTCCCGGCCCCGGCAGGAAGCGCAAATGCGGCTCTAGCGGCGACCCCGAGGACTTCAGTCTCCTCCCCGGCGTCAAGCGGGTGCGGTTGGGGGAGTTTCCTCCTCCCGACCCCCATTGCCACCTCCACCTCCAGCACAGCGGCCACATCTCCAGCCTCGTGTCCATCTTCCACGCGGGTTTCTCGGGTTTGGTCCACCGGGCGGACCCGGACCCGGACCCCGACCGCACGGACACGGACAGCGACGGCGATGACGATGAGCCGCCGCTGTTGCAGCAGCAGCTCCCGGAGTCCGCCTCGACGCAGAGCGGACAGCCGTGCGGTAAACAGGCGCTGGCGGGGTTAGCGGCCTGGACCAGGGCCATCGTGGCTTTCTGAGACTCTCTCTCCCTCACACTCCCCCTCTCTCCCTCACACTCCCCCTCTCTCCCCCTCACACTCCCCCTCACACTCCATCACACTCCCCCTCTCCCCCTCACACTCCCCCTCTCTCTCCCTCACACTCCCCCTCTCTCCCTCACACTCCCCCTCACACTCCCCCTCTCCCCTCACACTCCCCCTCTCCCCCTCACACTCCCCCTCTCCCCTCACACTCTTCCCTCACACTCCCCTCCACTCCCCTCTCTCTCTCACACTCCCCCTCTCTCTCTATCACACTCCCCCTCTCTCTCCCTCACACTCCCCCTCTCTCTCTCCATCACACTCCCCCTCACACTCCCCCTCTCTCCCTCACACTCCCCCTCTCTCTCTCCCTCACACTCCCCCTCTCTCCCTCACACTCCCCCTCCCTCCCTCCTCACACTCCCTCCTCCCTCACACACTCCCTCCCTCACCCACACACTCCCTCTCTCCCTCACACTCTCCTCCCTCTCTCCCTCACACTCTCTCTCCCTCACACTCCCCCTCTCTCCCTCCCTCACACTCTCTCTCCCTTCCTCCCTCCCTCACACACTCTCTCCCCTCCCTTCCCTCTCTCCCACTCTTCCTCTCCCTCCATCGTTTTAATCGAATCGCTTTCCTCTCCTCTCCTTTTTTTAAAAAGAATGTTATTCCCCCCAACCTGGAGATACAGAAAAGGACCTTTGTTTTAAAACCTCTTCCCTTTTTTCTCCTCTCTTATTTTCTCTCTCTTTTGCCTCTTAATATTTTCTTTTTTTTAAAGAAAAAAACCCCCTCTCCCTCCCCCTCCCCACACAGACACAGAAAAGGACACTTTTTCGACCCCTTTTTCCTATATATTTTTTACACACAGACCCCACACCTGGAGCTCAGACTCCAGCAATGTGTGATGTGTTTCAGTTCTCTTATCATTTTCCCCCTTTTTCTTTTAAAAAAAACCCTCTGAAGACACGAAAAGGACACTTTTCTCCCCAAATCTCTTCCCCCCCACCCCCCCTCCTTTTTTTTTGCAATGGGTCTGAAGCTTCTCTGTGAGTGAGTGTGGAAGTGATCAATATTTTTTTTGCTTCTCTTTTTCTTTGTTGCTTTTTTTTACTATATATATATATGTGTGTTGTGTGTATATATATATATATATAAAGTCTCTCCTGGTCACAAAAAGGATACTTTTTTGCATCGAGAATTTGTGTGTATAATCTTTTTTGCTTCTGTTGAAAGAAGAAATCCTCTTTTTTTCCCCCTCTCTCTCTCTCTCTCTCTCTCGGGGTTTGTATTGAACCAGAGGCAAAAAAAAAAAGACGTGTCCTTTCTTGTCTCTTTTTCTGTGTGTGGTTTCAGGGAAGATTTGGGTCCAGAGAGTGGCAGAAAGTGTTCTTTTTCTGTGCTTTTTTTTAACATAAAACGCACACACACTTACACACACACACACAAAATCCAGATTGTTGTACCAACCGGATCACAGAGGCTGGGATCGAGTGGGACACTTTCACCCCCCACTCACCCCCTCCTTTCTCAAAGCCTCCCCCCCCCCACAAAAAAAAAATCTCCAGTGTTTCTCAATGAGATTTTTGAGCCGAGGAAATATGTGTGTTGACCTGTTTTTTTGAGGGTCTGAATGTTCCCTGTGTATGTGTGTGTGTGGGGGGGAGAGAACCTGCTTTTTTTTAAAAAAAAACTGATGCAAACTGAACTGTACTGTTGCTGAGGTGGAATTATTTATTTCCCTTTGTTTATATGTAACCCCCTTTCTCCCTCCCGGGTGTTTTGAATGCGGTTCCCCCTTCTCTCGCTGTCTCTCGGTGCGGTGTGTGTGGCCCTTTAAGAGCAGGAATGCTGTCCCTTTAAATGGGGTCAGACTTCCTGACGCCGCGGATCCGCCGCCGTTTGGTTGAATGGGGGACTGGGAGGCACCACGTGACGCCGCCCGGCGCCCCTTAAAGGGACAGGCCCTCCAACCGCGCACGGGGGGTTCGTATTGTGCCCGAAAGCGCCACAATGCGCCGAGATTCCGCTCTGTCGATGTTCCTGTTGGTTTGGGGGGGGGGAGGAGAGAGTGGGGAGTGTCTTGATTTTTTTCCCCCCCTCCCCACCCCCTTAATCCCCCCCCAAATTTCTTCCCAAATTCAATTTTCCCCTCTTCAAATGTTATTTTTTCCTCTTAAAACAAAAAGGGGTTCCACACAAAGCTCTCCCTCTCTCTCTCTCTCTCTCCAGTGGGGAATCTTATTGATGGGAGGTGTTTTTTTCTCTCTCTCTCTCTCTGTCCAAGGGGGAAAAAAAACGATTTAAACCTTGTGAATGGCACGAAATTGCCCCCTTTTTATTTTAAATAACAAATAAATGATAAAAATGTGGCAATGGCCCAGGGAATTGCTCCACAGCCTTGTTTCCATCGAGTGTTCCTGCTCGGTTTTACATTTAAAAAATGAGGAATGCCTTTTCTTTTTAACCCTCTGGATCTCCCCCCTCCCTCCCAGTCACTGCTTCTAGAAAAGGAACTTTTTTTTTCCCTGGGGTAAAACTCCCACTCTTCCCCCACTCCCCCTCTCCAACCCTCCCCCCAAATCTCACAGCCTCTCAGGTCCGGTAATCTTCAGACCTCTAGTGAGCTGCAACGAATTAATAAGGTGTTATTTCAGCCTGTGTTTTTTTTTAGAAAAATAAAAACCTTTCCCTTTCATTCTCTGGACGCGAACCCAGGCTCAGCATTAACTCCCACTGTGAGTGTGTTCCTGTTACGACTTAAAAGCAATTAACGTTTCTAAGTTCTGTAAAACGCAAACTCCAGCCCCATTTCACATCAAAAGGATGATTTCAAACTTCCAACCGCACCATAAACCTTCTCCCCCCCCCCCCCCCACACACACACAACCCCAGTGCTGTGACATTAATTCGTGGTTGCTGCCATCAATGTTCATTTTAATGTGGACATACAGTATCTGACTCCCCCCCCCAGTGAGCTAAGTGAATATTACTGACTTTTAAGTTTTTTTATATATATATATATATATTAGCTGCCTTTTGTTGTAAAAGGGTCGAGCTACCAATTTGCATTTAAGTTTATCGTGTCCGCCTGGGTTTATGTTGGGGAGAGATTTCCCCTGCCAACACTTGCCAAGAACCATCGTTACTGTGTCTGTAACCTGTATTTTTGTGCTTTTAATAAATTGTATATCGCCACATTTGATCGTCTTAAAACTTTCTTTGTCTTAAGTTTTTAGCTGCTAATCTTTCTTCCTGAATCTGTAAATCCTTTGGAAACTACCAGTGTCATCCTAGCCATAATCCACCCCCAGAGCAGGAACAAAAAAAGCCTTGGCCGGGTCATTCACTTCCTGGCTGTTTGGGAGGTTGTTGCCTGCAAATTGGCTGCCTGTTTTGCCTGCAAAAGTCACTGGACTTTACAGTAAATCCTGTGCAATGTTTTGTCTCTTGTTGAGCTGCTGTGTCTATCTGCAGGATGTATTTGCTTCTTAACTCCGTGAACGACCTGCCCACGTAACTTAGGACCGAGAGTGGTCTATGGTTTCTTTAATTGTAATGACTCTTTCTCCTGCCTTCATCCTGTGTGGGAAGAAACCTTACCTGGGGTTCAGTTTTGGGGGGGGGGCTGTCACTCTGTGCTGTCAGCGGGGGAGATCATAGAATTTTACAGCACAGAAGGAGGCCATTCGGCTCATTGGTGTCTGTGCTGGCTCTTTGAAAGAGCTGCCAGCGAGCCCCACTCCCCCGCTCTTACCCTATAGCCCTGCACAGTTTTTCTTTTCAAGTACCTATCCAATTCCCTTTTGAAAGCTATTATTGTATCTGCTTCCACCACTTGCACCTTCGCAACCTTGACACGTACTCTGTTTTGCTCTTTCTTCCCTTCTTCCTCTCCGCCCCCCACACACTTCTATTAGGTACCTTTGTCTTCCTCCCCTTCTCCCCCCCTCCCCCCCCCCCCACCACCCACCCACCCACACACTATTGGGTGCCTCGCCACTTCACCTATTATGATGTAAAGTCAGTGTACTGTACAGTGGTTGGATTCAGTGCCTGGTGTTTGCCGATCTCTTGTGCGTTGTTTGAGTGTTGCATTGGGCTCTGTAAACTGAGTGTAAGGAGGAGCGTAAATCTGGCGGCTGTGCCCGTTACTGATGGCTGTCTACTGCCCCCTGATGGCAGCTTTTCATACCCGCAGCTTCACATTGCCAGTGACTTGCTCACTGTATGAAGACCAGTCTGCTTGTTCACTGGGGAGCAGTGGTGATTGAGATTCTCCAAAGTTAACTTAAATGACCAGCGCGTTGTAGAATGGACCACTTTTCTCTCATCACCATTTCAGTAATCATCTGCAATTTAATGGCAAAGAACACATTGCTGTTAAGTGTATCTTTCTCTTCTCCGTGTCCCCTCCCCAACCCATTCTCCAGCACATCCCCTTCCTTCTGCTGGGAATACAGCTCCATTAGAGGCCAGGCCTTACACTGATGCCTTATCAGGAGGAGTGAACAGTAGCCACGCCTGCCTTGTGCCGCACATCTCCCAGGAACAGATCTGTTTAATTTGTCATCTTTAACACAGGAACCCACCTGGAGACCTGCTGCCTGGCTCTAATATTGGCTAATACTGCCCGGCTGGGGACAGAGCAATCTCCTCTCCCCCTCCCATTAACATGCAGTGTTTTGGGGGTCCATAAACCCAAATCCCTAATGGGTAGGGTATTCCTAGCTGGTCCCCAAGTCTTGGCTCTTGTCTCAGTTTAATAAATAAAGCTTCCAATACTCTCCTTTTAAGTGGGGTGTAGTAGACTGCTACAGTGAGGGGTATGTCAGAGAGTTACAGTGAAAGTTATGGAATTATACACACACTGCAGTAAACATTTACTCTATTTGTTGGGTTCTGGGGAATGAGCAGAGTAAGACCAGCTTATTCTTTATAGCCCTCTTTTAATTAAGGACCTGAGACCAGAGGAACCAAAGACACTAAGCAACTCATGCTTTGAAAATTCTTTACTTAAGAAATGTAAAGTTTGTTAGTTCAATTATCACAAATACGGCAGACGGATCAAGAGCACAGACAAATGTCGGTTATCAAAGTCAGTTGGTAAATTCAAACAGCAGGCAAAAGACATCAGATGAAAAGTCTCTTGCTTCAGACCAGAATTTTCTTGTTGCTTGGGTTCGTTGATTACAAAATCAAAGTTGAATCTTTAATGATGGACAGCTGAGCTGTGTGCTTCACTCAACAGTTGTTATATGTTGTAATTCTTCTCCTCCCATTACCTTTAAGACGATTTCAGACGTTCTGGAATTTCTGCAGTTTTCCTTCCTCCTGAAATTGCTGGAGAAAACGAAAGTTGATGAAATGATGGAACAGTCTAAATTTAAAGTCTGATGGATTTTAACTCCGAAGACAACACATTTGCTTCACCTCTTCATATCGTCACACGAAAGATGGCTCTTGTGTAGACAGCACCCAATATGCTACGTCCTGGGCGGAACCAATATAGTTCAGCCATACATCTTTTCTAATCGATTTTCCACAGGATAAGAATATACAATCTTTCCTTTCTCATATAAAATAATAATAAAATACAATCTGCAGAATTGTTAGTTATAGAAGAACATGAATTGTTATTAAACTAGAATTGTTATAGAAAACATCTTTAAAACAAATGTGAATTTGTTATGGGAAAACATCTTCAACTACCTCAGCTTTAACATAACACTTAATTAAAACATGAATTTGTTATGGACAAACATCTTCAACAATCCTTCGGCTATAATAAACACATTTTTGTTATTTTTCGAGCCAACATAAGCATTTTTAAGCATTATTAAAATAATTATTTTGACTACATGGGTTAACATATATTCACAATTTCAGTTATGAAGCAGAATCACAACAGATTGGTACTTCAGTTAACTTACCTGAGCATCACATTGTACAATAGCTCCATCTTGTAGCCGTTCATGCAAATTACATCTGCAGTCGCTCAAAAGTCCAAAAAAGAAATAAATATAACTACTGTAACATTAAACACCACCTATATAAAAATGTATACGTGGATATTTTAATATAAAAACATGAATACACTCAAATAACATTTAGAGATGTCACTGAGCTAGCTTTAGCTCAATCTTACCAAGGAAATAAAATAATTTCAAAGAAGTTAATAATGTTTCAATAATTCTATAATATATGTATATAAACTCTACCATTTGCTATAGCAATCATCACATCAGCGCAGGTCTCAAAGCGTTACGGGATTTAATGTAAAGCGTAGTGACTATTTTCTGGGCAAACGCAGCAGCCAATTTGTGCAGAACAATGTCGCACAAACACCACGAGGTAAATGATCAATTTATGTTCAGGGGATTGTTGGCCAGGACACTGGGCGAGAGAAACTCCCTTCTCTTTTCAAATAGTGCCATGGGATCTTTAACATCCATCCTAACAGGCAGATGGAACCTCGGTTGAATGTCTCATCCGAAGGACGGCATCTCCGACAATGCAGCACTTCCCCCAGTTCTGCACCGTTGTATTTGTATGTTAGTATTGGGACATGGAGTGCACTGTTACTATGTGTAGGTCAGGCCTGGCTCAGACGCTGGTGGAGTTCTGTACAGTTGGAACCAGCTAAAATTTGAAGCTGTTTTGGGCACCTGGGACCCTAGACTGGCCTACTCCAGTATCTGTCTATCATTCTCCATCCACTGATATGCTCTGGAACTCTCTATCTCAATCCCTCCGCCTTGATCCCTCTCTCCCCACTTTCAAATCCTGCCTAAAGACCTTCTTAAACGGCAATAACATACAGCACCTAATGCATTCAGAGGGGGCAGGGAATAGAGGGGAATAGGAGGGGTGAGGGGGGCTCTCGTGGAGTATAAACATTATGCGACGAGTTGGGCTGAATGGCCTGATTCCTGGTGGATCACTCTATGTAACTCATCAGGTCAAAACGTCTCCGAGTGCTTCAACAGCAACAACTTGGATGTATATAGCGCCCTCCATGCCGGACGGCGTCTCAGAGCGCTTTACAGTAATGGATGGGGGAGGATGGGGAAGGTGTCGAAAGGCGCGGTCGAAAAGAAAGGTCTTCAGCAGAGACCTGAAAAATTGGAAGGGAGGGAGCGAGACGAAGGGAGTGAGGAAGGCAGTTCCAGAGCCTCGGGGCATAGTGGCTGAATGCATGGCTGCTGAGGGTGGAGCGGACGAAGGACTCGGGGGACGAGGAGGAGGCCAGACCCGGAGGAACGAAGGCAACGGGTACTGTTTTGAGGAAAGAGGAGGTCAGAGAGGTTGGGGGGTGCAGAGGAGTGCAGGGACTTGAATACAAGGGTGAGGATCTTGAAATCGATCCTCTCTGGGATAGGCAGCAGTGCAGTCTGGCCAGGACTGGGGTGATCGGGGAGCGGAGTCTCGTGCAGGTGAGAATGCGGGCGGCAGAGTTTTGAATGATTTGAATTTTATGGATGGATTTTATGGATGGGAGACCGGCGAGGAGGGCGTTGGAGTAGTTCAGCCGAGAGGTGACAAAGGCATGGACCAAGGGAGCGAGTGGAGTGACTTTTTTTTGTAGGCAAAGGCAGTGTTTTCAGGACCCCAAGGCCAGTGTGAGCAGACGTGCACAGTACCGCATGTGCTGTGGAGAGAGCCAGCGCCAGCTGAGCAGAGGCGAGCAGTGATTAGTGACAGGATGTGAAGGTTAGTCCTGAAATCAGCACAATTTCTCCCAACCACAGCACAGGAATCTGGAGCTGATCACACATGTTCTTGTGGGATGGGGCTGCTTTTCTGAGATTCAATCACTGGGGCGACTTCAAACTTACCTTCAGTGCTAATCTCTTTTAGTTGTTTCTTTAAAACTCTTGAAAGCACCCGAGCTTCCCTTCTTCACTCTGCACGGCTCAGGCACTGCGTTTGTCATATCTCTCCCTCCTCCCTGCCTCTGTGACCTGCTAACTCCATGCCGACCTGTCCACTCCCACCGCTCACACCCCACCATCGGCGGTCAGGCCTTCAGCCTCTCTGCCCCTACCCTTTGAAACTTCATCCCGCAGCCCCTCCGCATCGCACCCTTCTTTGCCTCCTTCAAGGCCCGTCTCAAGACCTTCCTCTTCGACCACACCTTCAATCAGTCTCCTTCCCCCACCCTCCCTGCCCGAAGGCATGATTGAAGAGGAGGGTCTTGAGAAGGATCTTGAAGGAGGCAAGGAAGTGGGTGAGGCGGAGGGACCGTGGGATGGAGTCCCAGAGGGTAGGGGCAGTGAGGCTGAAGGCCCACCTGCCCGCCAATGGAATTCTAAGACCACGTGATTCTAAGTCCCAATGTGGGGCTTGAACCCACAACCTTCTGATTCAGAACCGAGAGCGTTACCACTGAGCCAGGTTGACGCACTGCAATATAGCAAACTTGACCACGTTACTTTACCTGCAGAGGATCACACCCCCGGACTAGGATTTCTTTTGCGGAATGAAGATTTGTTAAGGAAGCCATGACAAGAGTGTAACCAGAAGAGCCCGTGGTGACCTGGTGACAGCCATCGCTGTACAGAGACCAATTGTCACGGCTCACGGAACCGTGGTGGCTTCACAGGGTCACTGATGGTTAATGCATCCACGGATGGTCATTTTCTCTGAAAATAAATTCCAATTGCAACACGCACTCAAAGGCTCTAAGCTCATTAACTCCCAGTGGTAAAGTCACAGCCTCGCGCTGAGCTCCACATCAGGCTCCAGTGTAGATTTCTCTCAGGGAGGTCCAGCCTTCCATCTCTGCCTCTACAGAGAGGGCTGAACTCTGTCGAGACCTTAAAATGATCATCGCATCTCACGGCTCCTTATTATTTGGCTCAGCCTGGAATTGGATGCTATTCATGGGGAGAGCTGACAGTGAGCGTCAGTGGAGGCTCTCGTGAGCGAACCTGATCTCGGCTCTTCCCACATGCACTTCTCAGCAGCAATCAGGAATCCTCCTGTTTTTACCCCAACAATCTGTGTCACGTGACCGGTTTATGTCCAGGTTTTCTTTGATTCAGTTTGATTTAATTTCGCAACAATAAAGTGGAGATTTGATTATTAATGATAATATTCCTTAGATTACATTATAGCACATTTCACATCAGGAGTAAGTCTCCAAGAACTTCACAGGATACTGTACAGTGTAGTGACTGCATTTCGTAGGTGAATGTCTCAGCTAATTTGCACACAGCAATGTCTCACAAACAGACATGGAGTGAGTGACCAATTTTATTTGGGGGACTGTCAGCCAGGAGACCAGGAGAGAGAAAACCCCTTCTCTTTTTTGAAGCGTCCCATGGGATCTTTGAACAGGTACAGACGGGACCTCGGTTTCAATGTCTCATCCGATGTTCGTTACCTCCGACAATGCAACACCCCCCCCCCAGGCACCGCAATAGAATATCAGGTTGGACTGAGTGCAAAGCCCCAATGTGATTCATGAATCTGACTCAGAGGTCAGCGGGCTATTGACTGAGCCAGCCTGACAGACATATAAATATAAACCCAATTCCATCTCTTCTCCGTTTCAAACCACTGGCCTGCAGTACAAATCCCACCCCCTCACAGGAGATTAAGGTAAAGATTTATTGCAGGGATGGGCTTGGTTTCTTCTTGGCCCCCCCACCCACCATGGCTGGGCCCTATCCCTCCCCAACTCAGCCAGGGCTGGGCGAGATCGAGTGCGCATGGAGTCTCACACCCGTGAATACACACCGGTGACAAAAATCCACGCTTGGATGAAACATAGGAACGGGAGTTGGCTATTCAACCCCTCAAGCCTGTTCTGTCATTTTAATAAGATCATGGCTGATCTGTACTTCAACTAACAGTTACCCCACCCTTGTCCCATATCCTGGCACCAGCATTGGCCCCGTGTTGCCACAAAAACACCAACAAAAGCTTCATCAACTGAACAGTGAGGGGAAGATCCCTTCATCTTTATTCTCTATAATACAATACGGACACAATTGAGGAGTGCTCACCAAAGGGGTGTGGGGGCGTTGCTGGTTAGCACTCCTCAGGCGTCCACTGAACACCTGGTCGATATGTATACACACACGCTCACACATAAATCTAGGAAGATTTGATGATATTAACATCCTTTAAATATTGTCTAACACGGAACTGACAAAGGCTGAAAACTACTGCTTCCAATGATGTGGAATCACTCAACACTGAAGGCTGCATCGTGTAAAGTAAAAGTGCAACTGAGAGTTACTGGCGGAGAAACACTTTTTTTGGTTTAAATTCTTACCAGCTCCTAAGTTCCCCGGCAAAGATGGTAAAAATGTGGGAGTTTATCAGCTTCGGACCCTGTGTGTTTGTCTGATGGACCGGGGAGTGGGAGGGGGGAAGCAATGAGGACTGTGAGTGTTAGATTCTTGGTGATTGTGAACCCCAATGAGACTCCAGTAAGATTTATATTTCTATAAATATAATAAAACAATACAATAGCTCACTGCCAGGGGCTGGTTACCTGATGAGCAGCCAACACAGGGGCTTGTGACCTGGTAAACACACAGGGTGCAGTGAACCGGTTTATGAACTTTGAGGCCGGGTGTTGGAAAGGGTTTAAGTCAGCGAGTGACGTGGAACATTGCTGCCGTCACCGTGACAAAGAACGGCAGTAAAAGCTAAGACGTGGCGGAGAGAACATTAACTTAAGCCCTTCCGATTTCCCTGCCAAACCCCTCCCCCATCCCCATCATCCGAATCCTGAGACGTGCATCTCGGATGGTGCTGGAGAAAAGCTTGTGCCGGTCGGTCAAACATCTCCCCAGCGCAGCCACTGCCGATGATCACATGAAAACAAGCCCCCAAACCCCCGTCTCTCCCAGCTTCAGAGGCCGGTCTCAAATCACTCCAAAACAAAGGGAAAACAAAAGAGTCACAGTTTGGGAGAAAGACTTGCAGCCGGCTGGTGTCTGGATACCAATCGCAGGTCTGTGAGCTGCTCGGCTCAGGGCTGCTGCGTTGGCTGGATGGAGAGCAAGCTGCCAAATTTGAAGTGCTGGATCACAGGGAATTTATCGAGGCACTGGGGAGAGAAACAAACAGGTTAGCCAAGGCTGGCACACCGTTACAGACACCCTCAAAAGCTTGGTGGGACTTCACTGTGCAGAGCAGACTGATGTCTGTGTGTAGCTGTTCTGCTGCTCACTTTCCACGCTACACTCACTGTCTGGGAAATGCCTACACTGGAGACAAGAGAGAATTATAATTCGGAGGGCTGGGCGCGAGTTAATGTTTTATTGATAACTTTTCAACCCTAAAGAGTGTAGGCAAGCGGAACAGGAAAACCTTATACAGCATGATCAAGAGGTCAAAAACCAGGGGTGTAGAACACGCCAAGTCTCATGGAGGAGGAAAATAAAAGTTCAGATTTACTTGAGGGTGGTTAACATGCGGAATGGAGGAACAGTGCGAGGGCAGTTTGCAGACGCTTTGAGTGCGACTGAGCTGACAATCAGGGTCTCAGTGATTGAGCCATCCTTCCCTGCCCCATTCATTCAGCGGTTTCATCCATTCACCTGTCTCCCTCAACACCCCCAATTACACACATCTCCACCCCCACCCCCGCAATAACGCGTTGTTTCGCCCACAAAATATAGTCAATTCACTTTACAATATATTCTGTGAAGCTCTTTGAGACTCTCGGAGAAGTGATAAGGCGCTATATATAATGCAAGGATTATTATTATGTCCCCCCACTCCCCCTAAGACAACTTTCCTCCCCCCCTCCCCCCCATTAACATGTCTTCTATCCTGAAAGTTGACAATGAAAGGCCATGAGGAGGAGGAGGAGGAGATCAGCTGGAGAGAGAAAGAAAGCTGTGGACCGCACGGCAGCTGCTTCCTCTCCTGCTGTGCACATGACCTGAATCTCTGTCCAACTCCACACTCAAACATCGCAAAACATTTATCATTCCCATAAATCAGCCAAGCCTGGGATATCATTCCCAACTCAGCTCACAGCTTCATCGCCTCGCTGCCAAGACAGTCCAGAACTAAAGTCAGGCACCAATGAGATCCTTGATGTGTTGATTCCTTCAAACACAGATTAAATATTTTATTTTAGGAAATAACATAATGCGATTAGTTCGGGACATGTGCATGCAACCAGCAGGATGCTGGAAGGCAAGCTAAATGTATCTTGTTTTTTAATCTAGCATTTCTTATGCTCTTAGTTTCTCGGGTCCAAAAACCCCTGGTTGTCCAGCGCCCTGGGATGCCTTTCCAACGTGAAGGCGCTATCCAAGTGTAATTTGTTGTCGTTACCCTGAGTTATCTCCTGGGTCAGGTATCTCCTGTGGCTGACCTGTGGTCCCCAGTGGGGCAGAGGCAGGCCCCTGGGTGCAGGGGGCACGGATTGCTCTGCACTACACTATGCTGTGATGTGGCAGCAAGCTCCTCGCCGGGAAGATTAGCTATTCACCAAATATGGTCTGTGAGCGGGGCCTCGCTGTGCGCCAAACAGCTACCATGTTTACCTCCAATTATACACAGTCACTACACTTGATAACAATCCCCTGTGAAGCGCTTTAAGACATTTAGACAGTGCAGGGGCTGTATCTTATAGGAGGATCAGCTTCATTTTATCTGCATTGAATTTCCCTTCGCTGCCACTTTCAGACTCGCTGGCTAATAATGAGGAGACTGTGGCTAAAAGATGGTTATTTCTGCGTAGAGGAACAAGAGGCAGTTGTGGGGGATTTTCCATGAGAACTGCACACCGAGGTCAGCGATGTCATGTGAGAGCGGGGGTGTCAGGAACAGGCTGGAATTCATGGAATGCCGGAAGGAGCTGTCAGAGGTCCTTACAGTTATGTGACTAATGAGAGCAGGCAAGCTATTCCCATACAGCCAGGGTCCGCACAGTGAGAAGCCCCACCCCCGTCCCCTTAAATGCAATCAAAATAATACTGTAAATTTCTAATAACTCGACCCTGACTTAACTTGTCACGACTACTGAAGTCATCGCGCTGTTTATATCCCTTCCGCATTTATTTATGTATTTTTACCCAGGACTCGCAGCTCCTGATTACTCGGCACTTGGCCCTTTACCTTCAGAGTGAGGAGTTAGCATTTACTGTAGGTTTCCGCCTTACAATGTCTCGGCACTAACACAAAATTTGCTCCCATTTTAGAGCAGACACCTTCTCCTGATCTGAAGGATAACATTGCAGTAAAAACTTTGTACAATATTGAAGGAAAGCAAACCCCTGAGAGGAAGGGAGGGAGGTGATGAATCAGGCCAGGCTGAGCCTCACAGCCACAGCCCAGGCTCAGTGGTCTGGGCTCAGGGCTAGTGTTTAGACAACTGGGAGGAGAATCAATGGCAGAGGCTTCACAGGCTGAGCTGAGCTGCTGAGCAGAGCGAGGAGACGGATGGACGGACACCAGTGTAGACACCCCGCCCCAACACCTCATAGCAGCAGAATTTATGGTGTGAAACCCAGCCAAGCAAAGAGGTGATAAATTATATTCTGTAGGACTGCACTCAAGCCTGTCTGACACTCTCCAGATCAGGTTTTACAACTTTAAAGGTGATAAATAAATCAGCAGAGGAGGTACTGACATCAACTCCCCCATAAAACAGCTCTTTACTATATCTTTTCTCTCTCTCTCCACAGGATGTCAGCTGGAGGCTGCAATCCCGGAGCTCTTTCTAAATCCTGGGATATCGGGATTTTAATGCCCCAAATCCCAGGATCCCAGGGTGCTGAGATACTAAATCTTTCCTTGTCCGAGATGCCTGTGATTTTCCACACCAGCACCTCGGGTTTGGGAAACCATATCCGTTCACGGCCAGCTCCCGTCAATTTATAGAAAATACCAGGATTTGGGGAAAACCATTAGAATTCGGGATTCCAGGATAACAATCCCAGAGCCTCGCATGATTTTGTCTGGCAACTTCACATTCCCCGCTTTCATGTCAACAGGACGTCCCAAAGCGCTTCACAGGATTTACCGTGAAGTGGAGTGACTGTGATTCATGGGCTAAACCTGCGATGTTAGGGGTCAGCCTGGCTCACTGCTGTCTCTGTGTCATGTTGGTTATGGAGCTCATAGTCCAGGCTGACACTCCAGCACAGGACTGGGAGGTGCTGATGTTCAAATACGTCATTAATAATAATACTATTATGTGCTTAGTGCCTATTCCCATCATCAAACTATCTCTAAGCGCAAGTAAACACAACAGTCAATTTACGCACAGCAATGTCCCCAAAACAGCCATAAAGTAAATGAGCCATTTTATCTAGTGTTTTTGGCCAGGACACTGGGAAAAACTACCTTCTCTTTTTGAATAGAGCCATGGGATCTTTAACGTCCACCTTAGCGGACAGACAGGACCTCAGTTTAACATCTGATTGGAAGGATAGCACCCCCAACAATGCAGCGCGCCTCTGACATGTTAAACTCGGGTCCCATCTGTCTGTTCAGGCAGATCTTAAAGATCCCTGAACACAATTTGAAAAGAGAAGGGTCTTGGTCAAATACTCCAGATCATTATTATTAATAATAATAATCCTTGCATTTGATATAGCGCCTTATCACATCTTCGAGACGTCTCAAAGCTTTTCACAGAATATACTGGAAAGTGAATTGACTGTGTATTTTGTGGGTGAAAATATTCACTTCATTTCACCTGATGCTCTTTGCTAAATGGCTTCCATTGTCAGCTGCAAATCTGTCACTAGACTTTAAAGTGCTGAGAGACATTTTGCTGTGATAAGGCAAAACGAGCTGCTGCGGAGCAGGGTCCCCTGCCTCGATATTGTCCTTACCTCTGCCTTGTACATTCGGACCAGACCCTGGTTCACTTTGGCCCACGTTGGGACAGCGCTGATGTTCCAAAGCTGGTTGGAGTGCTCTGCAAAGGGACCGGTTTTCATCTGGAAGAGCAAACATATGGCGGTCAGGGGAGGCAGGGAGAACTGGTTGCTCCAGTCCAATTACCATCACACTCAAACGCCCGTGAGAGAGGAGAGCACACGGTAGTCAGTAACTCTGCCGTTAGTGGACGGAGATTTCAAACTAATTTGTCCCCAGTGTCACATTCACTCTCCACGCTCACGTCCCAAGGAGCAAGTCATTCCACTAGTGGTAGCAGTCAAACTATGGTTCTCTCTGAATTACAAGGAACACGGGACTCGCAACACAGTGGGGCTGAACGCGAGCGTGGCAGTGGGGCTGAGGTTAGGATTCAGCAGCTTAAGAGATCTTTCTCCCCTTTTAAAGTCGATGTCTTCAAAAGCCTCCAATAAGTAGCTGATGGCAGTCCTGCAGCTCTCCACACACCAGCTCTCAAACAGCAGCTAATCAAAGGCATTTCACTATCAGAAAGGCTCTCAGGTTTCCCAATTCTGTGTGTGGTGTGAGGGTGGGGGGTGGCGCGGAGAGAGAAAGGGCGCGAAAATGGATTGGGGCTTGTGTTCTCTCTGGGGGGAGTGGGGGGTAAAAGAAGAGTTGGACAGGCTGAATAATGAGAACAGATTTATAACATCAGCATCAGAAGCCATTAACTATAATAATAATCCTTGCATTTGATATAGCACCTTATCATGTTGTATATACTGTAAAAGTGTTTTTTGACGGTGTGATTTATAGACAAAACAAAACGTCAATAACAAAGGGTGTGTTTTTTTTGCTCACTCCCCAAACCCCCCCGTTAATATTCCTCCTCTTCCAACATTCATTCCTTTATAAAAGGCTCTGCCTCAGCTCTGGTTTGTGGTAGAGGATTCCACATCACCACTGTGCGTGGTGTGGAAAGGCACAGCTGTGTCGACAAGTTTTTCCAAACCTTCCCTTGAATTATTTCGCAATCATCTTAAATCTGTGACTGACTCGACGACCAGTGGAAATAACATCCTGTGATTCACCCAGTTTTATATATATATATAAAAACCTTCATAATCCTGAAAACCCTCCAGCAGGGCACAACTCAATGGTCTTGGCTTCAGAGAGAGCGAGAGAGAGAGATAAAGACCCAGAGTCTCAAGCCTCTCTTCATTACTAGCCTCTCCCCATCCCTGCTAGCATCCCGGTTACACAGATTTACAGCTTACGTCTCTCGCACGAGAAAGCTGAAGCCCTTTATGGTGTCAGAGGCGCTATTTTAGGTTTAGAGCAAAACACTGAAGCCTCTTCAGTCTCGTGGGGAATCAGAGGCTGCCATCTTGGGAAGGAAATTACTCACTGACTGGTTTCATGGCTTGCCAGTCCCCAGAGACTGAACCCTTTTAAACTGTTTCTCTTGCAGCCTTGGGCTTCAGCTTCCCTCTTCCTGTGTAAGCTTCCTTTGCCATTTAACTGAAATCCAATCCCACACTCCCCCACCTCCCCCCACCACACTTCCTCCGCCACATCTACCAGCAAGCTTTAACCCCTTATGCGCTCCAGAGAATTTTCACCTTGGTTTCTTTTCAGCCCATAAGGCTCCCACTTGCCTCCACATGGCTATTTAACAGCTGGTAGTGGGAGCTGGTCCCATTCTCCCCCACCCCACCCACCCGGCCCCCTCCTCCACCAACACACGCACAGCTCTCCACCCCCCCACACACACATACAAACATCTAAGCAAGAGGCAAGAGGATAACTGACTGAGCGCTGCTGATGTTCTGTTCGTGAAAAGGGACAATACAGCCTTCCCACAGCGTTCCTACCTCATTGATGAAGCGGACACACTCCAGGAACATGTAATCCTTGTGGTGCTCATTCACCACTTTCTCATCCACAAAGTGACGTGGTTCCAGGTGTGGATGGTCTGAAAGAGAAGGTTTAATTTACATTCAGTCTTATATGGAGATTGTCCGTGCCAGCGAGTAACTCTTTCATTTGGAAGTATTAAATTAAGCCTTCAGCCTCTACGCTCCCAAACTCTGCAACTCTCCCTCAATCCCTCTGCCTTGCCCTCTCCCTCCCTCCCTACTTTCAAATCCCACCTAAAGACCTTCCTTTTTGATCGTGCTTACGGTCACCTCCTCCCTCTCTTTCCCCCTGGCTCGGGGTCAGACTCCAACACTGTCAAGCGCTCTGGCACGCTACCCCACGTGAAGGGCGCTATATAGATGCAATTTGTTGTTGTTGTCATGGCCACATGCTGTGCTGGCTCCCAGACACTATGCAGGCAAAGTGAAGGAGGGTGTCAGCTGGGTAAGGTGATCTGCTCGATCCTCAGCTAGGAATAATGCACACATCTCACCGCCCACCCGATACCCGATATGGGGAGGAAGTAAATGTTTAAGTGGTAACCACAAAGATTAGATGCTTGTCTGCCCGATTGTCAGTGAATACACTCACAGGTTGAAAACATGTCTATCTCTGCAGTCTCGCTGGTGAATCCAAGGTGCTGAGCCAAGACGGTGGGAATAAGCAATGAATCAGTGTATCAGAGCGGAAGGGTCCGCTCACTTACCTACGAGTTGGGAACTGCCCCAGATGAAGGGCAGGAACTGAAAGTCGTCCAGGCCCCAGACACCCTGACTGCCGGCCGGCTCCATCCGATAGATTTTCTGCAGCTTCCGCATCACCTGCAGGTACCTGGTGCGAGAGCGACAGAAACACCAGGGAGGGCCATTTAACACACGCACATCCAGGCCTCAACCCGATATCCCACCCGGGTCAGTGGCATTTGATTGTGGTCCCAGGGTCAGCAGCCAGGGCTGTATTGTCTGGGCGTCCTCATGACCTTGCATCCACACTACTGTGCACAATTGGCCACGCGTTTCGCCTACAAAATATACAGTCAATTCACTTTACAGGATATTCTGTGAAGAGCTTTGAGACGCCTCGAAGATGTGATAAGGCGCTGCATCAAATGCAAAGATTATTATTATTATTATTATGAATCCCCCAGATGTGTGAGTTCAATGTGATGAAGGTTTCAGGATGAAAAGGCAACCCCAACCCACTGCTGCCAACACAGTCACCAACCCAGCTGCACCCATGTTCATACATTACTCGGGGATTGGGAGAAAGCGCTGAATGCACAGACTCACCGATCAAACACCTGAAACACAATGGCCAGCTGGTCCTCCACCTTCAGTACGCCGATCTTACACAGGCAGCAGAGGAACGATGCAAAGGCGGCTTCGTGGCCTGTGGGACAGGGAGAGGAAACATCACGTCAAACCTGAAATCTCTGCAACTAATCAGCCGCAGGGAGGGGAGGGATGAGCACTCTGTGTCTCCCCCTGCCCTCCCTCTCTCGCTCCCTACCTCCCTCCCCTCTGATTTGCACACAAGCGGGTGTTTTAAGGTGACAGGTACCTGTTCCATAATCTATTCTCGTGGCGTTTCCCACAGACTCCTTCAGGTACACGGCAATCTCGGGGACGGCAGCGCTCAGCTCCGCAGGGATCACAGTGGCAACCAACCGCTCCGCCTCCTAAACGGAGAAGATGAAAGAAAAGCTGAATGCAGAGCGAGCTTCATTCACTGACCCCTCCATCACCACCAAGGGATTAGACTCTTCTCACTAGGACGCCTCCGATATCAGCCCCAAGTGAACAGTCGTCACTGACTTCACCAATCCCTACAGAATTCCACAGGCGTTTGCCACCTACACATGGAAATTTCCTTGTGGCTGGAATGGAATGTGCACTCTCTCCCAGAGGGACACATCTTGATTACCTAATTCTGGAGAGTATTAGGGGCAAGTTGGCAAGAGACGAGAGTTGGGGACCCCAGCATTGGTGTACTGGTGGAGTGTAACCAGTTAAAACCACATAGCTTGCCATTGATAGCACTGTCTTACGAGCTTTCTCACTGCTTGTCCAGCTAGGATCACCCTTCCAGTTAGGGCTTTGGCTTGCAGGGTTAACGGGAGCTGAGTGGGAAGGATTCCCTGCTCCCAGTGACTGGTCTACCCTCCAAGAGCCGCCGGGTTAACTCTGCAATACCTTCTCTAGTTTGCTGTACCACAGCCGGAACGCCTTGTTACCAAATCGTGATGGCTGATCGCCGGGCGGAGTCTCGTCGATCCACTTGTCCAGCGTGTTCAGCAGCGCGACCAGCTTTATCACCGGCTGCCAACAGAACACCAGTCAATGTTTCCATTCTCTACACAGCTAGTTACCGACATAGTGTCAGCATGCCACAAAACCCCCATGATTGACACCCATCGACACAAACACACACGCACTTGTACCTACGAGCGCTGCCCCTCACTCTCACACATGTGCACCAATGCTTTCCGGCACACACGTGTAATCTACATCACACCTTCCCAGCACAAATATGTCCCGTTCCCCCACCCCAAACAGGCACAAGTATTTCCTTCCCCCCCCACCTCCCCCCAGTATAAAAGGCTAATTCCAACTCCAATCTCTTGCAGCATGGAAGCCCCCTCCACCCCACCCCCCGCTTTAGTGAGCCCTCTGAACAAAGGGTCCCAGAGGTACAGGGAAAAAGACTGTAGCACAGAGCCATACTGAAAACCAGAGCTGCTCGGGGGGTGGGGGGGGGGGAATTCTCCAGATGGCAGGCAGCTCACAGTAACCAGGGTCTCTTCAGCAGACCTGGGGGGGGGGGGGGGGGGGAGGAGGAGAGGTACATGCCAGAGACTAATCGAAAGCAGCAGAAGCCCCCTCCACCCCACTCACACACACACACTGAATGGAGCCGAGTGAGCGGATGCTGAGAGCACATTTCTCAGTGCGGGTGGCGAGTACAGCTGCAATCAATCGCTCAGTAATGAAGAACCGGATGAGAGGCTGAACCGCAGGCCACCAGCCATCGACTCTCTCCAGGCTGGGAGCTCTCACCCCCCACCTATCCCCCACTTTTCTCCAGGCTGGAGCTCTCACCCCCCACCTATCCCCCACTTCTCTCCAGGCTGGGAGCGCTCAACTCCCCCTCTATCCCCCATTTCTCTCCAGGCTGGGAGCTCTCACCCCCACCTTATCCCCCACTTTTCTCCAGGATGGGAGCTCTCACCCTCTCTACAAGACAATTCACACCGAACCCATCATTTCTGTGTCAAACTCGGCTCCCCAACAGCAGAGCCTACCACACGCCTGTCAGCCCAGGATAGGAATTGCCCACAGAATGATGGCAGCGCAGTCAGGAAGGTGCGACATACTCGCTCCCAAAGTATCAGATGCAAGGGGACAATTGCTGGGGTATTCCTCCACATTCACTCCCAAACTCTGCGTTTCAGTGTCAGACACAGAAAGGCCGAAAAAGGGCTTGGAATCAATGTAGAAGTTCAGGAAGCTGCCAGCGTTTGCTCCTTTTCCAGCATTTTCTGAGCTGATTAAAATGACTGCATCTGAACTTGATCAGAATTGTGGGGATGAGACAGAGAACATTGGAACTGCCGCCATCACCTCCCCAACCGCACACCGGCATGCACACACACACAATGCATAGCTTCCAGTGAAACTTGTAAGCATCACAGAGTGGTCGGAGGGGACTGTGGGTGGTTACTTCACCATTTCCTACCTCTGAGATTTTGTAATCTCCCTTCAGCTTCTTCCCTTTCACTCCCTCGTTCAGAGTGAGAATAAAACCCACATAATTAGCGTATGCCTGGAGAGACAGGGTGGGAGGGGGAGAACAAGAGGAGAGGAAGGGTGTTAATGATTTACAGTGAACACAAACCAGCACACTGAATCAGCCACAATGTGAAAATGCCATCAGTGGGCAGCTTCCCATTAAAAGCATCGAGGGGGTTCTCAATGAGCACCATCCGTCCTGTGAAACTTTGACTCGCTGTTCCCATTATCATATCCTCACCCAGTGAGGAAAGGGTGCAGAGTAATGAAGCTCTCTCCAGCTAGGCTGCTCTCTCGATGTGTTGCAGTGCTTTTTTCCTGGTCAGCCAGGTGTCTGATGATGCTCAAGAGAATTCAAACCAGATAAAACTTCCATGTATGCTACCTATGGAAATTCCCATGTGTTGGAATGGAATGCGAAAGCTCTGCTGGAGGAACGCATCTGAATTTAGGATAGCATTAAGCACAGGTCAGCAAGAGCCAGGGTTTATTAGGTACTGCTGAAGTCTAATACTGCATAGCTTGCCAATGAAAGCAATTGTCTGGCAAGCTTTCCCACTACTTGCCCAGTTAGGACCACCCTACTTGTTAGCAGTTTTCTTGGGACTGAGTGGCCGCCAGTGACTGGTCTACTCCTCCAAATCCTGTTGATGAGCCAGGCTGGACTGTTGTCATCAACAACAACAAGATTCCATTTATAGAGCGCCTTTCACGTCGGGAGGACGTCCCAAGTACTTCAGCATTGTCATGGAGTACTGAGGACCTGCCTGGCTCAGGAACTGGACTCCTGAGACCACCACAGTTGGTCGACTCAATTTAGACATTCCATTGCCAGTTTAGCTCCAAGGGGACTTTGCTTACCTCCCCACCAAGGAGCAAGGGATGGAAAAGACCTCCACTGCACACGTGAAGGCCAGTCGAGTAGTACCTATGTAGTCCCACCTATCACCACACGGTGAAACCCAAACGCTTTAGGCATCGTAACTGGACAAAGGACAGAGGTTCCCCCTTGTGGCTGAAAATGGGCATTGCACCAGGCACAACATTTCATATAAAAATAAACCTTTCATTTAATACAGGGCCCGTAACGTTAACGTGTCTTAACCGCGTCACAGATAACTTCTATCCAGTGCAATGGTTGTATTTGTAGGTTAACACGGCAGCCAACTTTGCACACAACAAAATCCCACAAACAGATATGAAGTGAATGAACAATTGTCTGGAGGATTGTTGGCTGGGACATTGGGAGAAACTCCTCAGGACTCTTCAAAGAGTTGTGGGATCTTTAACGTTCGCAGTTGGCAGCTGAGAGCGACCCTGAGGCTCCCGCCAACTCCTCAAGGCAGGAACTTACTGTATCAACCTCTTCAATCACTCGCTCCAGCTCATGGGACCTGTGAGGAACCTTGGTGTTTCGTTTGACTCAAATTTTCTTCAATGTTCCTTTCCTACACCAGGCTTTATGAACCCATCATCCTACCCTCGTGCAGCTCCGCTGTCTGCCCAGTAAGATCCTCATCCTTACTTTTGAATACCTCCATGGTCGTGCCTCACTCTCCCTCTGTGGCCTCCTGTGACACTCCTCCCGCACCCACTCCATCTGTTCCATGTCCCCTACTAGCTCGGGCTTGCCTTTGACAGGTGAGCCTTCAGCCACTTTGCTCCCCCCAGAACTCTCCCTCTGCTTTCAAATCCTGCCTGATGACCTACCTCTTTTGACTGGATTTTTGGCCACACCCCAGCTCCCCCCCTCTCATCTCAAAATCCCCCTTGCAAGGCACTTTGCGACATCTTCCCAATGTGAAAGGTATTGTGCAAGTGTAAATTGTTGAAAGTTTAATATCTTATCTCACAACGCAATGTCCACCCCACCCAACTCTGAAGTCCCAAACTCTGAAAAAAAGGGCTGAAACTTTCAATGTATACACACCATAAATGTTCTTTCTATGACATAAAATTCTTCATAATAATGCTTACATTTGGTACAGCACCTTTCAAGTCAGGATGTCCCAAAGTGCTTCACAAGATTTACTGTATAGTGACTATTTTTGTGGACAATCGTACAGAATGTATAGTAAATAAGCTTTGTGCACTGATCCGCAGAGCCCATCATGCCGCAGTAGACAGTACCTGAGAACGTTTCCACTTCCCCATATCTGGGACCATATTGATCTCTCTCTTTGGTACAACAAATTCATGATTCGCCAGAGAAAACTGCACCTCCTCTTCAGGAGAAGAACCTGCTGACAAACACACACCAAGTTAAACACGGAACAGCAGCAGAACGAGGCTGAATGAAGGGGAAAAAATAGTGACGTTATTCTGCAAGATTGATTTAAAAAAAATGAAAATAGAGCCGATTATATTTTTCACTCATTTTGAGGATACATTTTTTTTGGCCAGCTGGGTGTCTCACACATGCGAATACCCATCATCCTGCTTAATAGTATCCAAACCAAACTGAGAATTGAATTCCATGCATCCCACCTACACATGGAAATTCCAGAGATAGATTGTTGGATTGGAATGTACACTCTCTCCCTGGAGGGACACATTCCGCTTACCAAATTTCAGAGTAGTAGACGCAGTTCGGCAAGACCCCAGAGTGCGTGTTGGGGTACTGCTGGAGTCTAACCAGCTAAAACAGAATAGCTTGTCATTGATGTCGCTGTTTGACAAGCTTTCCCACTGCTCGTCCAGCTAGGACTACCCAATACATGAGGGCTTTGGCTTGCAGGGCTCTGTCCTTGTTCCCCTCCTCTTCAATATGTATACGCTCCCTCTTAGTGACATCATCCGCAGACATGGGGTCAACTTCCACACGTAAGCGGATGACACCCAACTGTACCTCTCTTCCTCCACCCTTGACTCCGGACCACTGCTGTCCTGACAGAATGTCTGTCAGACATCAAGTCCTAGATGAGAGCTAACTTTCTTCAGTTGAAACGTCATTAAGACCGAGGCCCTATTGATTGGCTCTCGTCAACCCCTTCACACCTCAGGCATTGAAAGCATCACCATGCATGGATGCACACTCCACCTTACTAAGACAGTCCATAAGCTTGACATCTTGTTTGACCCTCAACTATCCTTTCTGCCCTACATCTGTGCCATGACCCATTCTGCCTTTCCCCACCTCCCCAACATCACCTGGTTCCGCCACTGTCTCACACCACAGGCCACCGAAACCTTCATACGTGTATTTCGATTCTCATAACATCCAGCTCCACTATGCAAACTCATAGCTAGTCGGCCTCTCCAACTCCTCCTTTAATAGGCTGCAGATCATCCAGAACTCTGCAGCCCATGTCTTTCTCCCGTACCAGGCTCTGTGACACTATCACCCCTATACTCACCTGACTCCACTGGCTTCCCATCACAGAGGATACAGTTCAAGAGCCTGTTTCTTGCCTTCAAAGCCCTCCATGGCCTCACTCCCCTGTACCTCTGCAACCTCCTAAACCCTACCATCCTGCCCGTTCCCTCCGCTCAGTGGGCTCCAGTCTGCTTCAAGTCCCCCGTCTCGCTCGCCCCACTATTGGCGCACAGGCCTTCTTCCACTCTGCCCCCACCCTCTGGATCTCCAATCCGCAGTCCCTCTGCCTCGGCCCCTCCTTTGCCTCCTTCAAGACCCTCCTCTTCAACCGTGCTTTCGATCACCCTCCTGCCCTCCACCCTCCCCAATCCCAACCCCAGCTCAGATCTGTCCCACTGACTGTCCAGCACCTTGAGAAGTCCTCCCGATGTGAAAAGTGCCATATAAATGTAATTTTGCTGTTGTTGTTGCTGCAGGGTTAATGAGAGCTGAGTGGGAGGATTCTCTGCCCCCAGTGACTGCCCTCTCAAGTCCTGCCAATGGGCAAGGCTGTGCTGNTTTTTTTTGCTGTCATCAGCAGTGAAGATACAGACATCTCGAGCTTGGGGAAAGAAGAAACCAGGATAGGTCAGCTCTAATGAAATCACCCAGGGTGGGGAAGGTGTTGTTTGTCTTTTTCTAGTTTCAATTTGCCTCAAGTCCCTCCTCTTCGACCATGCCATCGGCCAGCCCCCTTCCCCTCCCCTACCCCCCAACCCCAGCTCGGGTCTGAAATGCTGTTCTCTGTCCAACGCCTTGGGACATCCTCCCGACGTGAAAGGCGCTATACAAATATAATCTTGTTGTTGTTCAATGATAATTGGAGATCATATGTCAAGAGAATAGTAATAATAATCCTTACTCAAATGCAAGGTATATGTAATATAACACATTATCTCATGACAATGAAACATCTCACAGCTTTTACTATAAAGTGCAGTACTGTATTTTAAGGGGTGAACGCAACAGTCAATTTGCATACAGCCATGAAGTAAACAACCAATATTATCTGAGGGGTTGTTGGCTAGAACATTGGGAGGAACTCTTCTCTTTTTCGGAGAGTGCCGCGGGATCTTTAACGTCAGCCTGAACGGGCAGAATAGAGGGTACATGGGATTTTCTAGCCTTGCCCAGAGAATTTACAGCATTGTTCAGGGGCAGTCTTGAATTAGAGGAGCTCCACTGAGATGTTTGATGATGAACATTGCTACAATGTGCCACTACAGTGCTCCAGCATCTGCTCACACAACGCCCGTGCACAGCTGCTGTCCTAGTGACAGGTTGCAACATTAAACATTTAACAGTAAAGTTCCAATCAATCCAGCTGCAATTATATCCGCGAAATCCGGCAGGTATAGAATAACAGCAGGCAGCAAGCACACAAAGGACACAAGGGGCTTGGAGATGCAGCAGAACCATCACGAGCTGATTCAGCCTGATATTTCGTTGGATTTTTAAAAAAAAAGAATTAGCTTATGAGCGATTTCACAAATCATAGAAAGATTACAGCACACAAGGAGCCCATCGTGTCTGTGCTGGTGCTCGCTACCCCACTGGAGCTCTCTACCCTAATTCTATTATCTGTGCCTATATCATCACCTCAGGCTTATGAAATCATTACTTAATCATAGCATCGCAACCTCCTCTTCCCCTTTTTATATATACATTCTAAAGACACTAGGTTTAATTTCTCCCGCTCATTACATATTGCAACAACTACTTGCATTTTTATAGCATCCTTCACGCAGGGTATCGGAACACTTAATTGCTCCCAGTTATGCACAGATGTCAGCCTGGTTCAGTGGGCAGCAGTCTCATCTCTGGATCAGAAGGTTATAGGTTGAAGTCCCACTTAAAACTTTAGCTTGCAGTCTAGGCTGACACGAGACTGCTGGTGGAGCACTGCACAATCAGAGGTCAAATAGACCCAAGGATTTTCATCCGTATAAGGTGTCATCCTGGGCTTGAACCTACAACCTTCTGATTCAGAGGCAAGATTGCTACCAACCGAGCCGGGCTGACACCTTTGCACACATAAACTCTTTTCCTTGGGAAGATATTCTGTAGAGTGCTGCTCTGAAGGTGCGAACCTAAGTTTTTAGGGAGAGTCTGAGAAGAGCCCACAGCAAACATCCCCAACACCTTGGAAGGAGATATTTTTCTCTCTTAAGCCCCAGCTCCTCAGTCCTTACTTCTGGCCCTCAGCCTCTGCCTTCCCTAACCCTACACCGCCACTAACCCCTCCCCTCCAGGGCCCTCCCCCCCTCCAGGGCCCTCCCCCCCTCCAGGGCCCTCCCCCCCTCCAGGGCCCTCACCCCTCCAGGGCCCTCACCCCCCTCCAGGGCCCTCATCCCCTCCAGGGCCCTCCCCCCCCCCCTCCAGGGCCCTCCCCCCCCCTCCCCCCCCCCCCCCCTCCAGGGCCCTCACCCCCTCCAGGGCCCTCACCCCCTCCAGGGCCCTCACCCCCTCCAGGGCCCTCACCCCCTCCTCCAGGGCCTCACCCCCTCCCCTCCAGGGCCCTCACCCCTCCCCTCCAGGGCCCTCACCCCCTCCCCTCCAGGGCCCTCACCCCTCCCCTCCAGGGCCCTCACCCCTCCCCTCCAGGGCCCTCACCCCCTCCCTCCAGGGCCCTCACCCCATCCCCTCCAGGGCCCTCACCCCCTCCCCTCCAGGGCCCTCACCCCCTTCCCTCCAGGGCCCTCACCCTCTCCCCTCCAGGGCCCTCACCCTCTCCCCTCCAGGGCCCTCACCCCTGCCTCTTCCCCCCAACTCCCACCCCCTTCTCAGGCTGCCGCCCCGCGGGGATTGGGGGGAAAGAGAGAGGCTGAAACTTCAGCTCTCCGAGAGTGAAAGCTTTCCTGCTGAAGCCTCCCGCCCTGGCGCGCTCGAGGCTGACAAACGCCGGCACTGACCTGACTCACTGGAATCCGCCATGGTTAGCCAGGCAACGCCTCCAACCGGAAACGGAAACGCTCACCACCGGAAATGGAAACAGCCAGCCGCCCAAACACGCCCCTTAGCCCCGCCCCCATCCTCAGCCCCGCCCCATGTCCTCAGCCCCGCCCCCCGCTTCACCCCCGCCCCTTCCCTCAGCCCCTCCCCCTCAGCCGTCGCTAACCGACTCCAACATTGTCATACGCCCATTTCTTACCTGATAAACCGTTCTCAATGTGAATAACAATCGTCTTATGGTTTCACTGCCGCTACCACAACTGTGAGAACCCCCCCCCGCCGCGCGCGCGCGCACCTCCCGCCATCATTGTGAGGGGCAAACCTTCACATTGACTGTGCATTCCGTCTTGCGGTCTTTGACAGATAGGCAGGGCGGGGGGGCGGCTGAGGGGACGGCTTTGGCGGTTGTTGTGGTGGCGGCAGCAGCGGGGGCGCCGGGCCTTCGTGATGAACTATGGGAGGGAGGGCGCCCCGCACAAACATGGCGGCCGCCCCGCACAAAACATGGCGGCCGCCTCGCCCCGCCGATTGGCTCTACTCCTCGTGTGATTGGCCGGCGAGGACGTCACTCACACGGTTTGCTCCGCCCCCTCCTCCCCACTTGGAGTCGAAGTTGTTCGTCTTTGGCCTTGAAACTTGTTGTGTTTCTCAGAGCAGTTCCCGCCCCGGAGCCCGGAGGCCATGTTGGCTTCAGTGGGACGCGTCCTGGTAAGGCTTTTGTTTAGCCAACCTCTCCCCCTCCTGCCCTCCCTCTCCCCCCCTCCTGCCCTCCCCCCCCCCTCCTGCCCTCCCTCCCTCTCCCCCCCTCCTGCCCTCCTCCCTCTCCCGCCCTCCTGCCCTCCCTCCCTCCCCCCCTCCTGCCCTCCTCCCTCTCCCCCTCCTGCCCTCCTCCCTCTCCCCCCTCCTGCCCTCCCTCTCCCCCCCTCCTGCCCTCCCTTCCCCCCTCCTGCCCTCCCTTCCCCCCTCCTGCCCTCCCTTCCCCCCTCCTGCCCCCCCTCCCCTCCTCCCCCCTCCTGCCCTCCCTCCCCCCCTCCTGCCCTCCCCCTCCCCTCCCTCCCCCCCCTCCTGCCCTCCCCCTCCTGCCCTCCCTCTCCCCCCCCTCCTGCCCTCCCTCTCCCCCCCCTCCTGCCCTCCCTCCCCCCCCCTCCTGCCCTCCCTCTCCCCCCCTCCTGCCCTGTGAATCCAAACCCCAATTAAGTTCGGTCCCGCGCCAGCACCAGGGAAAGCTCAGAGAGATGTGTCAGAGGGCCCGGGGCAACGGGAGGGAGAACCGACTTGAATGCTCAATGGGATGTTTACAACAGTAAACTGCAGGTGCGCAGCGCCATTCCAGTGTAAACACCTCAAAGGGCTTGAAAGGTACCATTGGTGGTGTGTGTGTGTGTTGGTGAGTTGCCCTTTTCAGACTGTTTATATTCTCGTGCCAAGTGGGCCTGGTGACAGCTCTGAAGCGAGCTGACCGCAATGACCTGAGAGGGCGAAAGTCTGGCTGTCCTGGCGGGTTGTTACTTATAATAATAATAATAATCCTTGCATTTGATATAGCGCTTTTCACGTCTTCTAGACGTCCCAAAGCGCTTTTGGTTGTTACTTATGGTTGAACAGTTATTTAGCCATTCTGCCGGTGTTAGTCTGGCCGCCTTGTACTGTTGCGGTGTGGGGAATAGTGGAAGAACCTCGTCCCAAGTAAAGTTGTTTTCACTTAGAGAGGAGACTTTTGTGTGTTTCGTAACACTCCTCCACCTTTTCAGTGCTCCCGGGAGTATCGTGCTCTCGGAAACACATCAGGAAATGTTTCTTGTTTTCCTAATTCCTTCCCCCTTTTTTTCCTTAATAATAATATAACAATACTTATATCACAGCACCTATAATCACATTGTTGAGACGTCTCAAAGCGCTCCACAGATTATACTGTAAAGTGGATTGACTGTATATTTTGTGGGTGAAACACGGCATCCAATTGCGTACAGCAGCGTCCCACGAACAATCGTGGATTTAGTGTCCAAATTATTATTTTTTTCTTATTAAAGGAAACGTGGCCAGATCATCCACAATGACATCGATATTGAAATTGGTAGGTGAGGTGAGCGAGTGGATATTACAGACTGTAATACTGTCATTCTTCTCTCATGAAGGTGTTGATTCATGCTGGGGTAGGGATCCACCCGAACCCTTCAGTTTCCCTTTGTGAACGCATTGTACCCTCTGCTGGGTTTGTGCATTATAACGGACAGCTCGTGGGGATAAGAAAAAATGTAACATAAGATGCGATAGCATTGGAAATGTGGATCAGCTTTTGAAATTTAACACATTTCAATCCAAGGGCTTTGTTAAACAGGAGAACTCCAGCAATGACCTTTGTAAGGCCCCGTGATGTCGTTTGTGATTTGGAGGGTCTCTTTCTCCCACATGGCAGTTCTGTGCCACACAGGTCCCAGGTTCAATCTACGGCTTGGACTGAATTGTTTTTAAACTGAACTCAAGTTATGTTAGGAGAACTACAATTGGGTAGATCCCTAGACTAGAGAGAAGCAGAATTAGGCATTTTTTAAAAGCCTTTTCGCTATCGTCCTCCCGACATGAAAGGCGCTCCATAAATGTAATGTTGTTGTTGTATCCACTACTGTGCGCGCGCACACACACACAATTTCCCACCCACTTACGCGCCCCCCCCCACACCCAAACCCTCCCTCTCCCCCCCCCCCACCCACACACACACATTCACGCCACCAAACACACTCACCAGCCCCCCCCAAAAACAAATTGTGTATGTGTGGGCAATGATTGGGGCAAAGGGCTGCTCACACTCAGACCAAGTTATTTAAAAGTAGAAAATATATTAAGAAATGAGAACAAGAATATAGCGGTCAGTTGAATTCTCCTTGAGCGTTGAATTCCTGCGTTCTGGAGAGCTGAATGTTGTATAAATAGATTTGAGCCAGATAAAGCTCCCTGTGTAACTCAAGTGGGACCAGAAAAGAGCAGCTAAGCCAAGTCAGATCAGTCTTACGTTTCCTCTATCTGTGACCAGCAGCTGTTCGCTCACAGTGACAGCCATACTCCAGTGCAATGCTGGGGATCTGCTACAGTTTTGGAGATGCTTCGAATGAGATGTGTACTATATTGTTGCAGTTGAGATTTTAAACCAAGGTCCCGTCTGCCTGTTTTGGTGGACAGTAAAGATCCCATGGCACTACTTGAAAAGAGAAGGGAATTTCTCCCAGTATCTTGGCCAACAATCCCCCAAGTAAAATTGGTTGCTCACTTCATGACTGTTTGTGGGATTTTGATCAGAACAAATTGCTTGATGTATTCAAGTAGTACACCACACTTTACCGAAAAACTCTGAAATGCTTTAAGATGTTTCGACACAGTAAGGCACTGTATCAAATGCAAGGATGATTATTCTATTGGAACAACCAGGGACTAGAATCTTCCCAAGCTCTCCGAACTATATAAGCCGGGCAGTAAAATCTTGTGTGCTGGTTCTGTTTTGTTTCTGACAGATGTAGAACAAAGGAGGAAAAGAATGATAAGCATATAGCCTTCAATTCATGTGTGGGTCAGTTCAACTGGTCTGGCCTGGGCGGGAATAGAGGGGCATTGCTTTTGGCTTTTATGTAATGTTCGCACTATGGATAGGAAAAAGGAATCCCAGAAGTTATAGTATGCTTACAAGTCCAAACCTCTGGGGAATAATAATAATCCTTGCATTTGATATAGTGCTTTTCATGTCTTCTAGATGTCTCAAAGCGCTTCACAGAATATACTGTAAAGTGAATTGACTGTATATTTGTGGGCGAAACGCATCAATCAGAGGCAGTTGCGGTTGCTAACCATGTGCTTAGACTAACCTCAAATTTCCTCCTCAATTTCTGACTAATAACTCTGACTGGCATGGTAGGGGTTAGTGCCTTTGTGTCCATGCAATGTTACTTAGTTTGTGGCAGAGCTGAGGAGTTTTAAACCATCCAGTATTAATGAAAGCTGCCTTAAGATAAGAATTGAAATTTGGACTTTGGATTATTGACCAGGAAGTGCCTGGATAGCGAGATAGTGAGAAAAGAAAGATGGAAAGAAAGCAGGAGCTCCTCCCCAACAATTGGCAACTCACTAGTAGCTCCCTGTAATTTTACACCCACCAAATCACTGTCTAGATTCTCTCTTCTCCCCTTCCCCGAAATAATAAATTGTCCATATTTGTTTCTGTCATTTTCATCTCTTTGTTCTGTATCCTGGTCCTCTTGCGTCTGTTTGGGTCAATCTCTTCAATCTTCTTGTCTCATCTCAAAATGTACACAGTGTATGACATTCCCTTGTAACCACTTGCAGTCAAATTATGCCAATTGATGTCAGGAGATATTGACCGTGTTACCCATTGTCACTTAAAACAATCGCACTTACTGATAATTGACCAGACCTACCCCCCACCCCCAATACAGCTGTGACACATCACAAGGACGAACGTGGGTTTGAAGGTATTTTGAGGAAGTGATACAATGCAGGTCTGAGGCCATATTGACATTCACTGACCTTTAGTGTGTCACGGCTGGTGTATCCTGTATCTTACAACATTTAGTGGCTCATCAGTCATGTTTGTTGGCCTGCCCAACGGTCATTGTACAAGATGTTACTGGGCAGATTAATGCTCAATGTACAATTTGCTTTGAACTGTTAAAAGCGGTTGAAATATCACACCACTGATTGTCTAGGGGGCAAGTCATCTTGCTCACTTCCTAGTGATCTAAGTGTTGGGTCTCTGCTCTCTTGGTAGAATAATGGAAAGTGACACAAGGGGCTGGACAGGGTGGTTCCTAGGACCTAGTCTGCTACCTGTACCTCTCTGTTTTATTCTAGCTCAAACAAGTCTTGGTGAAGTCAACATGCTTGGTGAGGCCTGTAGCTCCTACCAGGATTCCTGGCAGATACCTCGCTCATCAAAAGGGTCTACCTCCACTGCCAGTGCCGCCTCTCAAACAAACCTTAGCACGCTATCTCCTGGCTTTGGAGCCCATCACGAGCGAAGAGGAGCTGGAAAACACTAGACAGATAGTGGAGGAGTTCAGCAAACCGGGGGGCGCAGGAGAGAGGCTTCAAGCGAGCTTGGAAAGACGAGCGAAGAAGACTGAAAACTGGGTATATTTATGGTTCCTCATTCTTTTTGTTGCAGTGATAAAAGATAAATTTAGTGATTCCACCCCAGAGAGCGCGAGAGATTGTGCCAGCCATTGTCGGGATGTTATTATTATTGTGATACAAGTCTGTGTCACACTGCTATAGACAAGCCAGAGAGAAATAGAGCAGGAATGTGCCTGCACTGAGGGAGGCAAATCCAAAAGAGAGTGCTCTTTGGAGCCACTTACTATCCCTCCAAGTGGGCAGTTTCAGTGCAAGAATGGTAGTGCTCATTGTGTGGGGCAGGGAGTGAGTGGGATGGTCACAGGAGAGAATACTTCCTGCAGCAGAACCATTCTTTGCTCAGATCTTTTTGTTATGCCGTTGCTCCTCAGCTCTCTGACTGGTGGCTGAAGACGGCCTATCTGGATTACAGGCTCCCCGTAGTGATCAGCTCCAGCCCCGGAGTGGTGTTGCCAAAACAAGACTATCATGACCGCCAAGGGCAGCTCAGGTAACTGAAGCCGGTGGCTCCAATCGCACGGTGAGCTCGCGAAAAGGAATACAAAACACAGGAACAGGGGGAGGCCATTCAGCCCATCAAGCCTTAGTCTCAGATCTTGGCAGATGTTTTATTCCCAATACCTCTTTCCCATACCCATTTTTAGCTCCGACACCCTGTCTATCTGTCTGTTAGCATCCCTAATGGTTGCCCCTCTACAGCTTTCTGAAACAGAGCATTGAACATTTTCACGACGTTCTTTGTGAAGAAATGTTTCTCGACTTCTGTTCTAATTGTCTTGATTCTGGTTCGTTCTCATATGAAGGATGAGAGGAAAGAGTCGTCCACTCTGACATGTCAATTCTTCTCATTAGTTTAAATGCCTCACTCAAATCTTATCTCTTAACTTTCTCTGCATCGTAATAATAACGGGCTTCAGGGGTTTTCATGTGATCAAATTCGACACCATTCATTGCCCACGAGGTGGTGCTGTCGTTAACCACTTCAGCCCCGGGTACCACGTTTAGCCTAACAGTGACATGACTGCAAATTTTGCAAATGTTGGAGTAAAGGAGAGTTTATTTAAGTTTTATGTATGTAAATGCTGCCTTTATTGTGTTACAATAGTAATAATAATAATCCTTGCATTTGATATAGCGCCTTATCACGTCTTCGAGACGTCTCAAAGCACTTCACAGAATATACTGTAAAGTGGAGTGACTGTGTATTTTGTGGGCAAAACGCGGCAGCCAATTGCTTGTAACAGTGTCCCACAAACAGTGGTGAATTAAGTGACCAAATTATTATTATTTAAGGGGGAAATTCAATAAATATGAAGTGAAAAAACATTAAATATCAGATGGTACCAACTCCGCTACTGAGAGCTCTCTCTAAACTGATCCCCTTCCCATGCTCTTTCTCCATTGTATCTATGCTGGTTCTCACTCCCTAACTGGAACTCTGTATTCTAATGATGCTATTCATCTGCTCTTCATCTGCCCCCCCCCCCCCCCCCCCATCATCCTATCTGTCTTGGTGTTAGCTACCCCCGACTGGAGCTGTCTGATCCCATTCCCAATGTGCCTGCTCTTTAATATTATCGCTCCAAATTTCATCCAAATACCAGCGCAGCAGTTACACCGTGCTTCACTGGAACGCCGGTCTGTTTAGAACACAGATAGGGTTTACCCGATTGGTTCCCACGCTACAACTGGCCGATTTCCAGGTTATTTGGTTGCCAATCACTCACTTCCTATGTCTTGCTGGCTGTGACATGATGACCCCTAAGTTTGCAATTTAGCGTGGGAACCGGTCGGTGTGCAGGAAGTGAACACATGCAGTGAAATGGGATACAACTTCCTTGTTCTATGGTGGGCTGGGATTGTATGGACCCTCAACTGCTGCATTACTGTGAGGCTGCATTTTACACTATGCAGTCAGCATAAGGGACGCAACTTCTGACTGTATTAAAATATCCTGGGCTGTTTTTTTTTAAAACTCTCTTGTTTCCAGTCCTGCTCTCCACCTCCACAGCACAGCTCTCACAGGGTGACCCCTGTACAGAGTGAGGTTTGTCTTACAGATATTCCCGCTGGCAGAGACCCTAGCCGCTATTTCTGGATACTCCCAGGGCAATTCAGTTCACCTCCAGACCTCATTCATTTTCACGAGAGTATCAGACTCAGACTGCCAGGCTCTATCCAACACAGTGTTCAGCCTGGCTCAGTGGGTAGCGCTCTTGCCTCTTGAGTCAGGAGGTTGTGGCCTTAGGCTCCACATCAGAACTTGGAACTCGTATGGTCTGTTCTGACCCTCCAACGTAGTGCTGCGGGTGTGCTATGTTTTTGGAGGCGTCGTCCTTCGGATGAGACATTAAGCAGAGGTCCCCTCAGGTTCAGGTGGACATTAAAGATCCCATGGCACTATTCGAAGAGAGAATGGAGTTTCTGCCTCCCAGTTTCCTGGCCAACAGACTCCCAAATGAATCGGTCGCTCACTCCATGGCTGTTTGTGGGACATTGCCATGTGCAAATTAGCTGTCAAGTTTTACTGGAGGGTCTTGGATTCTCAAAGTGTATTTGGCAGGTCAAGCTTATTGTCCTTTGGTAAAGATTACAGTCATAGCCCCCCCTCTCTCTCTCTCTCTCTCTCTCTTTGCAGATTTGCTGCCAAGTTGATTTCTGGTGTTCTGAATTTTAAAACCATGATCGACCAGTAAGTACCAAATAACATTCCCTCCTTAGATTTTGCTTCACGTTTTGCTCCAGTCAAACCTGCCTGTGACATTCCTTCTTGTCTGTTGAACTGTGTTACAAAGCCGGGCAATTAAACCTGGGAGGGCTTTGGAGAAGGGTAAGGTGGTCAGCGCAGGAGTTCAGAGCGGAGCACACTGCAGATGGAGGGAAGGAGATCTTGAGAGCAAGTGGGGTGACTGCTTCTGCAGGAAGAAGTGGGTTGGGGAGAAATTGTGCAAAATGTGGGAGAACAGGAGGAAAGCGGGTACTGTATTTTCTAGGCCAGCCTGGACCAACTGACACCTGGCTTGGGCATGATATCCGTCAGGCAAACCGTTTCTAACTTCGGCTCCCTCCCTCCCTCCCAGTGAACAGCCCTGTCATTACAGCAGCTCAATCCACGGGAGGTGGAAATAATGCTGCAGTCTGTCAGGGAGCCTCTTTCAATCTGAGGGAAAGGTAAGCGGGTCTCCTTACAACAGAGTCCTCCCAACCGCCGGCTCCTGCCGCTGCCAAATACTGAGCCATCCCGCTTAGCCAGGAGAGTGGCCGTTCATGCTGCCAGATAGTGAGCTGTGAGGGAAGACTGTCTGGGAAGCCAGTCAATGAAAGCTCAGCTCAAGGATGGTCGAAGATGGTTTTGATCTGAAGGATAGAAGCAGCAGGTTTGAACTCATTGCACCACCATCATCGCTGATTTCTGAGCCCGCATTGCTCGTTCAATGTTGTCGCCCAGATAATGACTGTTCTCTCTCTTGTTTTCTCCCCTCCGCTCAGTGAGACTATTCCTGTTCAGTATATGAACGGGAAGCCACTCTGCATGAACCAGTTTTACCAGGTCCTCTCGTCCTGTCGCATTCCCGGATCTAAACGGGATTCTGTCGTCAACTACTCTAAGACTAAAAAGCCAACGCACATAACAGTGGTGCACAATTTCCAGGTGGGAGCTGTAGGAGTTGTATCTTAGTCTTTCAATACCTTTAATTACCTGTTTTAAGTTGTTGTTTTTCCTCCTGTCCACACTCAGTTCTTTGAGCTTGACGTGTATAACAGTAACGGCAGCCCCCTGACTGTGGACCAGATCTACATTCAGTTAGAGAAGATCTGGAACTCTTCGCTTCAGACTAACAAGGAGCCAATTGGAATCCTTACCACTGGCCACCGAAATACCTGGGCAAAAGCTTACAACACGCTTACTAAAGGTTGGTTATTCAGGCCGTGTACAGCAAATGCCAGGAGCTGTACGTAGATGAGATTCTGACTGTGGCCGAGTTGATAATGGGACAAGTTACAGGGAAACTTCATTTCTGTGTGATCAGTTGGGTAGTGTCATGCCAACTTCATTGTAAGAGCAGAAAAATGGCTGACATCAGTGTCGTGGGGTCACTCCTGATGTCACTGCTTGCGCGTTTACAGTTTGTACACTGAGACTCTCCCCTGTGTGAAGGGCGCTATATAAATGCAAATTATTGTTGTTGATTGTATTCAAGAAGCACCACTTGAAGAGCGCTATAATGGGGTTCCCCTGTGATCCAGTCTGCTTGATCTGCGTGTGTGGCCTTCATCTTCTGTACCATCCGAACTGGTGGCAGGCAGCCTGGTTCAGTTGGTAACACTCTTGCCTCTTGGTCAGAACGTTATGGGTTCAAGACCTTCACCAGGATTTAGGCTCATAATCTCTGCTGGCCAAAGCTCAGCAGTACTAAGGGAAGCCGCAATTTTGTGGCTTTAGTCCTTTGGGTGAAACAAATTTGAAGTCCTGATTGCTGTTCAGGTGAAAGTTAAAGATCTATGTGGATGTTAAAATGTTTTAGATTAATAAATTTATGATTACTATTATTTTTATTATTATTGATCTCCATAACAGGATGCTGGGCTATATTGCTAAATCAGGAGTCATACTCCAGCTCTGGTCAGGCCACACCTTGAATACTGCACACACTTCTGTGTGACATAAGGGGTTTGCCCAGAGTGCAGCACAGAGGAGAGCAACAAGGATGATTCCCATTGCTAGAGGAATAAGCTATGAGCATTGATTAGACAAGCCAGTGCTCTTCAGGCTTGTGAGAAGAACAATTAGAAGGGACCTCAGAGAGGTGTGTACAATTTTAAATGGGAATGGAACAATACTTTAGGATGTAACAAGACAGTAGAACAAATGGTCATATTTTTGAGTTGTAAAGGTGCAATTTCAGGACAGAGACCAGGGAGCGTTAATTTACCCAGAGCTAATCAACGACTGAACCAGGTTACCAAGGAAGCCATTTTTAAATGGACTAAAACACAGTTGATTAAAACAACGTTTGATGCAATGATAGGCAGCTGGTGGAGGGAGAACAGTAGAGTGGAGGTTCTGGAAGGATAAGATCGGGTGGGCTTTCTTCATCCAGACCAATGTTGTGATCTTGCATTAACCTCAGCAGTGAGTGGATGGTTGGTTGGTGGTTGGTTTACAATCAGCTGAGTTTAGGTATTGATATTGACCACAGTGAAGTGCTTGGGTGGATTTGACTTGTAGAAGGTTTATTGTGAGGCGATGACATCATGTTGAATTAATTGAACAGTGATCCTCTGTCCCAGTTATACACAGCTATTCACAAGTTCTATATTGAGACTGAGACTCTTAGATTGTGCCAATGCTTTATTCCTGCCACAGATAAGGTTAACAAGGAGTCTGTGAAGCGTATACAGAGGAGTATCTTCACGGTGTGTCTGGATGCCCCAGTGCCCAAGGTATCCGATGAGCTGTACCTGAGCCACGTGGCAGGTCAGATGCTTCACGGTGGAGGCAGCCGATGGAACAGTGGCAACAGATGGTTCGACAAAACCCTACAGGTACTACGGGGAGCGCTAAGGCGACTGGTGCTGTCCTTCAGATAAGATGTTGACCCCCGGGCCTTGTCTGCTTGTTCAGGATGGTCTGCTGCCTTGTGTCCACTTGATCACAGCTCTGTCCCATCTGCTTCTGTTCGTCCCTCGTTCCCCTCTGCTCCACCATCGGAGGTTGTGCCTTCAGCCACTGCGCCCAGAACTCTCTCCCTCAATCCCTCCGCCTTGCCCCCTCTCTCTCCCCCACTTTCAGGACCTGCCTAAAAAAGACCTTCCTTTTTCTTCATGCTTACGGTTACCTCCCTCTTCCCCTGTCTTGGGGTCAGAATCCACCACTGTCAAAGGGATGCCTCCCTGCGAGAAGGATGCTATATAAATGCAAGTTGTTGTTTTTGTTGATGTGAGTGAGTGATTGAAGCAAACTTGAAAATAACCTCTGTGGTTTTAGATACAGCACTAAACCTCTTCTAACTTGCTAAACTTTGCATTTGACTTGATGTAATGTTGGTTTTGTTTCTGCAGTTTATTATTGGTGAAGACGGCTCCTGTGGCCTGGTTTACGAACACTCTCCAGCCGAAGGACCGCCGATTGTCACTATGTTGGACCATGTGGTTGAGTATTGGTAAGGGCGTGGGTTCACACACGAGCACGTTACACTGAATCAGGAAGAATCGACCTGCGATAAGGAGAACTGACCATAGACTGAAAACATTCCTTCTGTTTCAGCAAGACCTCCGAGATGGTTCGATCACCAATGATTCCGTTGTCGATGCCAGAAAAGTTACGTTTCAACATCACGCCAGAGATCAAGATGGACATTGAGAAAGCAAAGCAGCACCTCAACATGTGAGAACCTTCTGTCGTCATCTCCCTTCCCCTCCAGCTGGAACTGAAGACCCATAAACACAAGGCACAATACAAGTGTCAGACTACCAGGTAGTGGGTAGATAACCTAACAAGCTTACACATGATATTCGGGTGTTCCATCTATGGATGCTGGATCCATTCACATCTTCAAGGCTGAGAAGGATAGATATTTGTTAGGTCAGGGTATTAATTGATACGGGACAAGGACAGGAAATTGCACTTGAGGTACAGGTACCACGCACCATGATTAAATAACCCATTGCTGAATGGCATCCCACTTGAGTGAGTTCCCAGGGATTTGCTGCTGTCTGTTGCACTGCACTCAAAAATGGGTGAAAGAAAATTGGCAAAGGGGAGGGAATAACTTGTATTCTGTGTTACCCACCTGTCTGTGTTCACTAGGATGGTGCGTGACATGGACATCAAATGCTTCACCTTTCAGCGATTTGGAAAAAATTTCCCAAAGTCACAGAACATCAGCCCGGACGCCTTCATCCAGATAGCACTGCAGTTAGCCTATTACAGGTATAACTATTGTCACTTTACATTACATTTACATTAAATGGCCTTCAGCCTTTCTGCCCCCACCCTTGGAACTCCATCCCACAGTTCCTTTGCCTCCTTCAAAGCCTGTCTCAAGACATTCCTTTTCAACTACGCCTTCGGTCACCTGCTAACCCTGTCTTCCCTGTCCCCCACCCCTCCTGATTCCAATCTTCAGCTCGGGTACAAACCATTCACTGTCCAGTCCCTTGGAAAGTTCTCCTGATGTGAAAGTGACTGTGTAAATGTAATTTGTTTTTATTGTTTACATCCTTTACTGGTTTGCTTCTCAACTCTAACCCAACATTCCTGAGCTGTTAGAACTGGGGCTGTGGGGCTCCTTAAAAAAATAAATAATGTGTTTCCAGTCTCTTTTTGCTGTTTGATGAGAGCATCACTGGATGAGAGCTAACTTTCTTCAGTTGTATGTCAACACGAAAGGCCCTCCTGATTGGCTCCACACCTCAGGTGCTGACACCATCATCCATGGTTGCAAGCTCCACCTTGCTAAGCCAGTCCATAACCTTGGCGTCTTGTTTGACCCTCAACTATCCTTTCTACCCCACATCCATGCCATGCATTGTCCCTTCTTCTTCGACCATGCTTTCGATCTCACTGCTTCCCCCCCGCCTTCCACCCTCCCCGATCCCGACCCCCAGCTCAGGTCCGAAGCACTGACTGTCCAGCATCTTGGAACGTCCTCCCGAGTGAAAGGCGCTATATAAATGTGATTTTGTTATTGTTTGTGTCTCCATCAGGATCTATAGCCAAGTGTGCTCCACATACGAGAGTGCCTCCCTGAGGATGTTCCATTTCGGCCGCACAGACACCATCCGCTCAGCCTCTGTCAGCTCTTCGGCCTTCGTCCAGGCTATGGACGACACACAACATCAGGTGGTGACACAGTTCTGAATCTCACTTTTTCCCATGTCTTTTGGGGGTAATTAATGTTGGTTGGCATTCACTGGGAAACATCTGGTATTTATTTAATATTTTAACTTTCATCTTTGGGGTTGAGTGGTATTAAGTGTTGCCCAGGCCCCTTTCACACTGTGGTCAAATCTGCCCTGGACCATCAGGTTAGCATTGGTCTCACTCTCTGATGGAGGACCACTGAGCTCCACCAAACAATAACTGCACCAAACCACATTATCCCTCTTCGACTCTTCAGAACTCCTGTAACGTGTGCCAAGCCTTCCAACAACAACTTGCATTTATATAGCGCCCTTCATGCAGGGTAATGTCTCAGAGCCTGACTCTGAGCCGGTGGGAGGGTGGGTGGGGGGAAGTGTCTGTATGGTGGTCGAAGAGGAAGGTTTTCAGGCAGGGCTTGATAAAGAGGATAGAGGGGGAGCAAGCCAGAGGGATTGAGGGAGAGAGTTCCAGAGTTTCGAGGTGTAGTGGCTGAAAGCCCAACCTGCGATGGTGGGGCGGAGGGTGCGAGGGACGAGCAGGAGGCCGGTGCCAGTCGAGCGAAGGCGCCAGATGGTGGATTGGGAAGTGAGGAGGTTGGAGAGGTAGGGAGGTGCCAGGGAGTGAATGGATTTGAACACAAGTGTGAGGATCTTGAAGTCGATCCGTTCGGTGATGGGAAGCCAGTGGAGCCTGGGCCAGAATTGGTGAGATGTGGGTACGAAGTTTGGTCCGGGTCAGTATGTGGGCGGCAGAGTTCTGAACGAGCTGGATCTTTTGAATGGTGGAGCTGGGGAAACCGGCGAGGAGTGCGTTGGAGTAATCCAAGCGGGAGGTGACAAACGCATGCACAAGGGTTTCAGCTGCATTTGGAGTAAAGTAAGGTCGGGGGCGGGCAATGTGGCAGAGGTGGAAGAAAGCGGTCCTGGTCAGGGACCGAATGTGGGGGGGGGGGAGAAGTACAGCTGGGGGTCGAACCGGACGCCTAGATTGCACACTAGTTCGGTGAGAGAGAACCCAGGGAGGTTGAGGAGTTTAGATCCGCAGGAGTGAAGGCGTTGATGGGAGCCAAGGAGTATGCCCCTGTCAACGTCTTCCAAAGGATATTTGACAAAGTACCACATTGAAAGATTCCTTCACAAACTGATGTCACTGGGAATCGAGGGGCATGGATTCATAATTAACCGAAGGTTCATTATGAAAACAAATTGGTAAGAATGGGGCGTCTCAGAGTTGGAAACCGAGACCTTCCTGTTTCTTCTATCTGAAACCTTGATTGCCAGACTCAAATGAATGATAATTAACCCTATATGTGACACTAATGGGGTGATATCCTTGAAAGATAAGACCAAAGGGCCTTTACCTAAGCAGCTTGTGATTATTTTTGGATCAGTTGATTATTTCACTTTGTAGTTAATAACTTTGAAATCATTTCACTCCCATGTTTAGAACCAAGAGAAGGAGACCTTACTGAGAGCGGCTGTTGAGGGTCACAAAGCCTACACGAACATGGTAAGGAAGTTCGATTTTTTTTTTCTTCTTCTCCTTCCCCCCCCTAGCCACCCCTCTCCCTGCCCACCACTCAGTGGCAGTCATACACTGAAGCTTCACCTAATCTGGTGTGCTCGGGGATATTTGCCAATCACTGTCTGGAGATGGGAAATGTTTGGTAAATCTTTACTGGGCTGCACATGTACCTGAGTAAATCTGGCGCTGGCATTTCTGGTCTGGGGAGTGTGTGCCTTTAAGTCACTACTGGGCTAAAAACAGCAACTTCTTAGTTCTATTGCTATAAACATCATAATTAATAATACTTGCATTTCTCATTGCAAGAGTCCTATAGTGTAGTGGCTAGTGCGCTCACCTGGCAACGACAGCACCCGGGTTCGATTCCCGGGCAGCATGAAACCTTAGGCAAGTTTCTTTACTCCACACGCCTCTGTTTGCCTACCAGTAAGTAGGAACTCGATTGTAAGTCTATTGGTGGATCACTTTCTGGTGGTAATAATCCCTCCAACAACGTGATAAGGCTCCATATCAAATGCAAGGATTATTATTTGACATAGCGCCTTATAACATCATCAAAGTGCTTCACAGGTTATATTGGAAGAGTCGTGTGTCTGTGTATTTGAATTTGAAGTAGTCTTGACTATATCCCACCACACAAAGTGCCCATAATTCAACAAAGTAGCAGAGTGCAATGAATCACGGAGAAGTTTGGGATCTGCGCAATGTTGAGCTTCAGTTTGCTCTTACTGCTTCCAGGCAATAAATGGCCAAGCGATCGACAGACACCTGCTGGGCCTGAAGCTTCTCGCTATAGAAGATCTGGTCCGAGTGCCTGAGATTTTCATGGATACATCCTACGCCATCGCTTTCCACTTTAATTTATCAACCAGTCAGGTAAGGCTTTCATTTGCCTCCTGATCATTGTGAGCACATGGTGATGAGAGTCAGGCGGCAGATTTTCATCCACCAGTGCTCAAGTTCCAAATCTCACCCAGTGTCAGGTTGGCTATTTTCCAACAAGGAGTGCGTGCTTGGGGACAGCAGCCTCTCTTCCTGCCCCCTCCCACCCACCCACCCACCCCTGACCTGGCAGCTGGGAGAGGCTGCCTTGTGGACTTTGGATTGCCAGCCTCAGACGTTTGTCATTGTTCTGTCCGTTCAGGTACCCGCTAAGACCAACTGCCTAATGTGCTTCGGTCCAACGGTGCCCGACGGTTACGGAGTCTGCTACAACCCCCTGGAGCAGCACATCAACTTCTCCGTATCAGCCTTCAATAGCTGCGCTGAGACCAACGCCGCCAAGTTAGCTCACTACCTGGAAAGTGCTTTAGTGGATATGAGAGACCTGCTGCTGCAGACCCCCAAGGCAAAGCTCTGAGTCGTGCTGTACCTGGGGATGACAGGATTAGCGTGCAGCACAGGCAGCTGATGAAATTTCAGCCATGTTTGGAGTATTGTTTGCTCTCTTTTGATTAACACTGTAAACACAGCCTTTTTATATCGGTGGGGGTGGTTGAAGAAGAATTGTAGCTGTTCAGCTGCCTGTAGAGCACAGCATTGCTAGGATTACAACTACTTTTTTTTAAAAAAAGAAACTTTGTGTGTTTAGTTTTTTCTAACGCCTTGGGACATCCTCCTGACGTTAAAGGCACTATATAAATGCAATTTGTTGTTGTAAATCATAAAATAAAAGCTAATGTGCGAGGGGAGAAGGCTGATGTAGGGGGAGGGAAACCAATGTGCCAGGAGGTGATTTAATTCAGCGTTTTGATTTTGCTAGGTTTGGACTAGTTAGCCAAGGAGACTGAAGAATCAAATCAAAGGTATGTTAATGTAATGTACGGCGTAAATCATGCTGTCACTGTCTCCAAACCAGTGGCACATTTCACAGGCAGCCATCTGTCTGTGATGGCAGGAAGATAACAGTCAATGACCATTATCAGCTGCTCCTGCAGATAGGTGGGCTCAAGGTATTTTGTATTATTATTATTTAGAAACCGCTTAAGCCTCTATATTTTACAGTTATTCTATAGGATAATCTATTATATGAACACTAGTAATTGTAATCTGTTGAGCGTGCTCCACTGTACCAAAGCTCTTTATTTTACACATTTCCCTCTAATCCTATTTTCCCATCTTTTCTTCATCTTGCTTAATGGCATTGCTTCTCAGGTGTCCAGCTTTGCTTGTTCACTCATTTTATTCTGTATCTACAGCCTTCTGTTGAATTGTACCTTCTCACAACCCTTTGTAGGAAGGGATGTTTTCTGGACTCACTTAAATTCTAGATTCGCTTTGCAGAATGCAGGTTAGACTGTAGCCCTGAGGAGTGAATCTGTGGCTCAATAAGTAAAGTATTTGGTTCCGTATCGACTCCCATAAATACAGAGGGAGAAGGAAATGTACAGTATTAACAGAAAGGAGGTTAATATTCACACGTTACCCCAAGCATCCGTGCCTTTTAGTTTAAGTAATGTTTCAGGGATGAGTAACAACAAAATAATTTGCTTTGGGACAAATATTTTCTGCTTACTCACTTCATCGTTGAGATGATAGCAACTGCCTGTATCTCTCCCGAGAGAGCAATGCTTAGTATCTCTGGGATATTATATTAAAGTACAGTATATTTTCTCCCTCAGTGTCCCTTCATCCAGGTTAGTGGTTTGGAGCTACAATTGGTTATACCGCCCTTGAGTTGAGGGGAAAATCAGCCACAGTTTGCGCTCCTAATCATGATTCAGAAATAAGGACACTTGGCAAGTTCCTGCCAATGCCTATGAAACCACCCTCGTAAAAGGAATCAAATGCCTTGATAGAGAACAATAATTTTCTTGGCTCCTCTCCCTTCTCTTTCCCACCCCCAGCAAGGATTCTTTTTTAGTTGTAAGATGTCAGAGTAACATATGTTGCATCAGACACTGTGCAGCGTTTGATTGTACTGTGATGTATTAAGTGTATTTTATACATCATATGGTGGTTTGAATATTGTAACCGAAGGTTTACTGTAAATATTTCAAAATGGTATTAAAATTCTTAATATATGGCGTTGCAATAATGTGCAGTTTTTGTAAATTGTAATACTACACTTTCTGGATGTAAATCTTTCTCAACCCAGGATTAAAGAAAGTTCAGGAAAAGTTGACACTGAAGAGGCTGGATTTTTGACCTCACTTTTGGATTATTGGGACGATTATTATTCTCTCGTCCCCAATCCCGTCCATTACAGTGCACTCAAGAGATGCTGTGACCACCAGGGGTCTGCCTTCTGCTTGTGCAAATTCCCAAGGGACAGAGATTGAAAAGTAGTTTTAATCGGGGATGGAAGAGAGAGTGCATACAAATCCCTCTCCATGTTACAGTGTACTGATCACCTCTACTTCAACACGTAGCTCAACATCTGTTTAAAGATATCTTAAGATCACACTGTAGGACTAGAAGCGAAATCAGACACCGCAAGGAAACAGAAAGACAAGCAAGCAGTATATTTCCGATAAAATACAATATACAATTTAGAACATTGATGCACGCTTCCCCTTGTTACAGAGACTGGTCCTGTTTGGTCGGTCGGTGTTGCAAATGGTTTCAACCCGTCCAAGAAAATCAAAGATCACATTTCAGTTTCAACACAAGAGCCGGAGATGTGGTGGTGGGTGATGCTCACCCTCGCTCCGGGAAGGAATAACTGCACAGCTCACCTGGGCCCTGTGACATGTTTTTTAAAAATAAAGTCAACTAAGATACTGCCCCCTAACCCCCAACATCTAAAAGGCCAAGATATGTCACTGATGCTCCATAGCAGGTTGAAGCACCGTTGACTTGCTCCTCGAGGGGGAAGCGATGAAAATGCTGGAGAAGGGTTGACATCGTCACTTAGGACATTCAGTATCAAGTATTTTACGGTCAGCTACAGCATGGTGGATGCAGACCAAATGCCATTAACTCTACCCCAATGTGCATTTCTTGCCACAAACCGTGATTGAAATTAGCTTTCTTGGTGAGTGAGAATGAATGCTCAGGAGTTGGCTGGGACAGAGCAGTACAGTATAACCCACCCTGTCACATGTCCAAAAGCAATACCTCCTCAACCCAGCAAAAGGGTTTGGCTAAGACGCAGTCTGTAAGATGACCCAAACTGTACCTATTTAATGCATCAGTTACAAGTCAGTCTCCCCTCCCACCTTCATTTAAAAAAAATTCTGATTGGGTTTTTGCTCAAGACTATTCAAGTGTCTTTGTGAATCTGAGCATCAATCAGATTTCCCTGCCTGGTCGGTGGGTGCTAGAGTACGTTGGTTATAGGATATATAAGGCGCATGCAGTCTCCTGTTCAGCTTAACACAAACACCACCCAAACTGCTAGTAAATCTCCCCTTACATCCTACGCTTAACTAGTCTCAATTTAGGCAGAAGGGTTTGCCAGCTCCAGTTGTGGTTTAAACAGCAGTGTTGAAGTGAATACCAAATGCCGTGCCCTAAGGTCCCTCCACTCAGATTGTTTGCCCCGCATTCATGAAGCGGGCAGGGAAGCTGAGGAAACCAATATACCTCGGGGCTGAATGAATGATTGGCCGATGGTGGGAAGAAAATAGTTGGAAATTCTGCTCGTGGAAGACAACATTGCTGGTTCGGACAGTTAACACATTAATCAGTCACGTGTGGGTGTGGAGGCAAAGAAATTCTTGTGGAAATCATGTATTAATTAATTAAAGAGCAGGGAACTGACCTCAAACCCACAAATAAGCGGTTACAAGCCTCACTTAGCTTCCCTTTGCAGTTTTCATTGTGTTAAGACAGGCCTGGGTCTCCGCACAAGCTCTCTAGCCTCTGAGCCGGGAGGAGGAGAGGGAAATGAAACACAATCAGACATATCTATACCATGAAACATTTCAAAACACTTCTCTTAGGTAAGTGAGATGGCACAACCCCTGTGCCAGCCAGTCGCTGTGTCCCTGCCCTGCCCCGCCACTTACATTTGTTATCAATCAGATGGCAAGTTTACAGACAGCACTAAACAACATAAAGGTACTGGCACCATAAGGCAGTCACAAGGTGAACATTACAGAGGACATAAAAGCAGTCTACAAAACTGTGCTACATCTAGAGGAAGCACTGTTCAAAATAGCCCTTCATTATGTACCTGAATAGCAATTAATTTAATTTTAAATACAAATTAAAAAAACATTTATGCAAACTTTTTTTGGATTTTTTTTTACACACACCTCACCAGACTGCGTGGGGAGTCAAATTTCTGTCAAGTTTATTCAACCAGACGGACCACACACACACACACACATATATATAGTGTCCTGGATATTAGTCACTCCAAGCCAAATGTTCATAAAACAGGAAGTCAGTGCTGCTCTGAAATTAGACATCTTGTACAATTGGTTGCAGAAAAATCGTGTTTTTTTAAAAAAAACAGGTGCAGTTGTATTTTGTGAATTGGGCTTTGTGGTGGAGCTCGTGGGATGATGCTAAACATGTTAAGACAACCGATTCTACAACTAGAAATCTCCCCAAGGAATCTGCTTCTACCCCAGCCAGACTGCACAGGCAGCCTCGTGTCAGAGAAACTAAAAAGCAGAGCAGCAAAGTCTCTTGCTAACACACACAATATCAACTGACAGTAACTCTCAGCTAGCTCCCAAAACCAGCTCTACACTTTGTAAAATGCATATCGTGACCAGCGAGTGATAGAAAATAAACCTGAGTAGCACTGGGGGAGTAACATGATGATTCTGTGTTACATCAGTTACACAAATGAGTGTCCGTCCAATGGTCAGTCGGCAACCTGTCTTCGGGTTTTGTACACTTCCACACTATGAAGTAGTTTTTCTTCCAGTTAATCACCATTTTTGAGTCCACTTGCTGATTTAAGTGTGGAGTCATACATGGCTAATGTATTTGTTTAATACCTAGCGGCTGCCAGTTAGTCACAGTGGTGAGTAAAGAGGTTAATGACCACTCATGGGAACCATCAACATCAAGAGTATTGCACTGACATGAAACTGCAAGTTGTTACAGATACCAATAACTCACTCGCCTCCGAGTCGGAAAGTTGTGGTTACAAGCCCCACATCAGGACTTTTGAGGACATAGTGTAGGCTGACATTCCAGTGTAGTGCTGAGAAACCCTGCATTGTCAGAAGGGCTGTCCTTCAAGTGAGACGTTAAACCAAGGACTCATCTGCTCGTACAAGTGGATGTTAAAGATCCCATTGCACTAGTTGAATAGAGAAGGGAATTTCTTTCTCCCAGTGTCCTGGCTGACAAATCTCAGATAAAATTGGTTGCTCACTTCATGGCTGAATGTGGGCCATTGCTGTGCACAAATTGGATGCTGCAATTGCCTACAAAATATCCAGTCACTTCACTTTATAGTATATTCTGTGAAGCGCTTCTGAGTGTTTTGACAATGTGATAAACTGCTGTATAAAAAGCAAGGACTGTAACTAAAGTTCTCACACAAAAGACGAACACAATCAATGCTCTTTTACCATTTCACTTACTCTTCATGCGTGCAGACACCTGATCAATCCAGGCTGCAGACAAAAATCTTCATCCCATAGGTCAGTTAAATGGGTGAACACTACAATTAATTAATCAGAATTAAAAGCTTCCGCCAATATTGCACCCCATCACTGCACATAAATCACTACATTCTGATAATCTCACTGAGAAAGAAACATAGCTTGTCATAGCACAGGCTCGAATATATAGAGCTCAAACCTGCAGTGTGCAGTGAGGGCAGGATCACTTTGAGCTCTCTAGATTTGAGGCGATGTTATGACACAGATCTTTTGGCTCATCGCTTCCCAAGAGCAATCTGCGGTGACACAGACTCTTCCAATAACTCAATCTCCTGAGCTGATAAATCACAGCAAAACCCAAGACAACCCAATCAAATCCCTCACCTATAAAGGGCTTTTTGACATTATAGGCACTGTGTCAAAAGGAAGGTTTATTACTGCTCAATTAAAACCCGGTCAGAAACTCCTGCTCTCAAAATAACAAGGGGTCTCACGCACCTCTCGTGTGAAAGGATAAAGCCGGCATGTGAGGTCAAAGCCGGTCAGTGTTCCGTCACACTCTGCTCAGTCTGATCAGCAGAAATACAGTGCTAACTCACACAAGTCATTTGTAGACTGTCATGGGGGGGAAGAGAGACAGAACTCTACTGACTATCTTTGCAGCTCCAGAATATACTGTACATTTTGTAGTGTTAAATCTTAGTATTTATGTTCACCTCCGTGCAAGCCACTAAGCCCCGATGAATGGAAAAATAAATCAAATGCAGAATGCTTTTAAATACACAAAACCCACCACCACAAGAACCTCTCCAGTGTGAGCAGCCTCACACAGACCTCTGCTCACTGCATCACAAGCACAGCCTTCGATTGGATTGAAAACTCAAGTGTTAATAAATATGTTATCATCGCATCTGGGCTGAGAAGTAGGTCAACGGATTAATTAGCAAACACGATGTTGTCAGCGGCCAAGAGCTGGAGACTTCCCGGCAATCTATCACCGTATCAATCTCAGCTGGGCTGCTCTTGGCAAATGCAGACTAAGTGGTGCCCTTAGATAGGGACCTAATAGCAACACCTAATAGCTCCTTACATATCTTCCATGGTCTCATTTCCCTGCTTTATCCTCAAAAGATCTCGTGAGCAAAAATCCATTTGCCTGCAAAGCACAGTCACTCCACTTTACAATAAATCCTGTGAAGCACTTTGGGACGTCCTCCTGACGTGACCAAATGTTAACATTATTATTTCCCACTCCGTTGCAGATGATAATGGTGCCAAGGAGCTAAGTGAAGAGGAAAAATAGTGTTAAGAGTGAGGTTTAATCAACATCTTTAAAGAAAACTTATGCCATTTGAAAGTGAGGGTTCTGCTGCCTGGAGTCAAGCCATGATAGGAACTCCCAATGAGGAGACAAATTTCCCTCCCTCACACACACTGACACACAGACACAGAGAGATAGGGAAACTCAGACAGACGCTCAGAGACAGACAGACAGACAAGACAGACAGACACGCAAACATACAAGAGCACACATGCACACACAGGATTTTTCCCTTTTTTTGTTTAACAATTTCAAATGTCTTGGTTTCCAAACGTTTATTAAAAAAGAAAGTGTGTTACAATACGTAAACTTCAATCAAGAAATTAGGGGTCATTTATAATCTTGCTTTATGAGTAAAATATAAAAAAAAACTATATTTGAGATTGTACCTAACACTGGTGAGCAATCTGTGCCGGTGGCAATAAAAACAAGCCTAAAGAAACAGCGGCAGCTCCCAGGATCAGACATTATTACAGTAGCTCACAGGGCCACAGCCCCTCACCCCATGGCCCATGATCTTGGTTACTTATGCTTCACTAATGTCTCTCGGAAATATGGTTCAGCATGTGGGAGTTTCTCTCTCTCCCCCCACCCCACACACCAACAACATCATTCCCAGTTCCTGCCATTTGTTCCAGGTGAAACTTTCCATCAGCCAATAAACACTGCAGCAAAATTCCATCGACTAACAGTCAAACTGCTTCTCATGTCGGTCTTACTTGATTAGCTACTACTCCAAAAAGCTCTCAAGGTTAGAATGCAACCTTACTCCTACCTATATGCCATTTTTGCAGATATCATCACAGTCTCCCCACCCTTAAAAACAATCTACTTTCTTGCTTTGCGTATTTAATATCACTCTTGAAGGCAAAATATTAGCTGGCTGTACATTTTAAGATGGAATGGTCAGGCAACGGAATCTGACGTTTCTTCTACTCTCCAATGTCAAGGTTTGGGCAGGCAATGGGTCAGATGCAAGGCACTGCCACGATGATTATGGCTAAACTCTGACCCGTTAAAACCGCAAGACCCTTCTCTCCCTGCCCATTCAGGGCAATGTTCCACTCTCCACACTCAACTATGACTAAGCCCCGAGAACAAGACTGCAAAAAGGGTGAAATTCCATGTCCAGGTAAAGTTCAGTGCTGTCTATGTTAGCTTATGCCCAGCGGATAATAGGAATAAGACCTAGCAGGTATATAGATTAGCCCAACCCACCCCCCACCCCACCGATCTACAACTCAATTCCTACAGCAACTCTCAAAAGAATTAAGCTGCTTCCTTGCTCCCTCCAAGGTTTGGGCTGCATTCACCAAACCCAACTCCCCAAGAACTTCCTATTCTAAACCATGATACCAAGTGATTGCCGGTTAATCATAACCATCATTACTCCCTCACATTGCAAATACAAAAAGTCAAGACGATCAAATGGAAACTACTGTGGTTGGACCAAATGTGTTCAGAGCAGGGAAGGAAGCAAGACTTCTGCAAACGCCCTTTCTGTCTGGCTCAGTGCTGCTACCCCTGCAATGCATAATCAGGGTTTGTTTTTTAAAATAAAGGCAATATCCATTTACCTATAGAGTTCTTACCCACAAGCCCAGTCAATCATCGCAGTAAACTGCAATGCAACAAGAAAATTTAAATCGTTCATTCTACGCACACATTGCCCCCAAAAGCAAGATATCTGAAATCAAACACAGAACTCCATCACACTGCCAATGTGCACTGTGTTTAAACTGGTTCAAATCCAGCCCTCGTACAATTCTAACATGCAGTTCAAAGCTAACAGCAGGTTGCATCGACACTGAATGCCATCGCTGGGTCGAAGGTATGTGTCAGTTTGCCTTTTGGTCCGTCTGCAAAATAAAATGATTAAAAACTGATGTGTGTATCCTCTCCCCGTCAAGGCTTGCATGTGTCCGCAGGGTGGTCCTTTCCAAATCACGCACCCCATCCTGCAGCTCACTGCATCTTTGTGCCCAGCTTTCGTTGTCTGTTTCTGTGAATGAGAAAAAGGACTCGCATTTGTATTTTGGAAGCAAGTTCTCTCTCTACTTTCCCTCAACATTAAACCTCAACTCCAACCTCACACCAAAATGGTTTCCTGGGTGCAAGGACAATGGTTTGCACGTTATTCAGATCAGGAGTTAAACTCTCTTACCGTGCTTCTGCTCTTGTGACCGTGTACTCAAACCAGAGGATGTTTGGAATCAGACTTGTGTCCCGGATCATGAAAATCTCAGACACTGGCCTTGACAGGTTGAACATGGAACGCAGAGGAGAGCGTGCAATTAGAAATTACCCCCACTCCACACCTGAAGCGCAATTTTTTATTTTTATTTTTTTTAGTGCATCCAACTATTTTTGGAATAAGCTTCTGCTCAAGATGGCTCACCAGTCACCCATAATCCCAGTCGTTGCTTTGCCTGAATCCCCGTCTCCCGGTGGATTGATTTCACGGTCCTCACTTATAAATTGCTCCGCACACTTCCTTATCTCTCTGATCTTCTCGTCCTCCACGTCATTGTTGAGCCTCCGCTACTTGGCAATCACATGCTGAATGCGCATCCCTCACCCTCTCCACACCACCATCACCCACAGCCGAGCTTTCACATTCCCTGAAAACCCCTCTCTGTCTCTCTTCTGTCATTTAAGTCCAGTTTTAAAATCTTAACTCCTATGGCCATCTCCCCTTCCCCTTCCTCTCTCCCATCTCACTTGCTCAGCATCCGAGAAGTAAGCAAGACTTTATTCCTACATAAATTCAGGCTGTTATTGTCTTTTTGAATACACTGTCTCGCAATCTTAAATTAAAAGTTAGCATTGCACACTAACCGTGGATAATAATAATATTCCTTGCAATTGATATAGTGCCTCATTAATAAGTCTTCGAGATGTTTCAAAGTGCTTCACGGAATATACTGTAAAGTTAATTGACTGTATAGTTTGTGGGCGAAACATTGCAGCCAATTGCACACAGCAGCGTCCCACAAGCAGTCGTGGATTGAGTGAATTAATAAATTCAAATAGCACTTACCATGTAGCTATCCTGGGGAATAGTGGTGTTAGTACCTCTTGTATAAAGATAAACCAGGCTCCTCCCATCAATCCACCTACCGCACCTCCATAGATCACCTGGCTCCATGAATGGTACAGCAGATAGACTCTGCAGGCCAAACACACAGAGAGAAGTCACACAATTCACTCCAAATCCGCACTCACCAAACTTAGTAAGAAGTTTTCACCCATCCTAATGTTGCAACTTTCACACTCCCGCATACAGCACATCAGTCCAGAAACATATTAAGCACTTCTTTCACCTCATATTTCTACTGTTCTCTGAGCTGCTTGGAATGTGGTCACAACAGTCCTTTACAGCAGCCACAGACACTGTGCTTCAGCCGCTTTGGGAGATAAAACAAATAAGAACGATGCTGCCACGTACCTACTATATGAGACGAGAAAGGCCGCAGTTAGCAGACACAACGATAAAATGTGCCTCCACAACATGTCTACAAATCTAGCGTTGTTGGTTTGGTGCATTCTGAAAAAAAAAACACTTTTGTTACTTCCTGCAACATTAACCATGTCCCACTCTAATCAGCTAAAAAAAAAGTCTCATCTCTCTCCTGTGACACACATTGCCACTGGTAAGTTGCCCAATGAGGAATCACATCGCATCCAAGCCCCCTGGATTGAGATCAAAAGCAGGAAGCTGTAGTGACTTTTCCTTCTTTAAACACTGACACCAACTGTACTGCCTCAAATAAGATCACCTAACTCAGCGCGTAGCAAACTTGCCGTTTATAGTGTCTTCTCATATCGAAATATCCCAAGGAGCGTCACAAGTAATTACCATCAAGTGTAGTGACTGTTTTGTAAATAAATGCACCAGGAGAGTCTCCCAAAAATCCACGAGGTGAATGACTAATTTACGTGGAAGTTTGCAGGCCAGGATTCTAGGAGACACTCCTTTCTCTTTTTGAATACAGTAGACCTCACACCAATAAACCATGTGACAATTTAACCGCACGGATCTCCCATGTGGAAGTTGAACAAGCAAGATACCACCAGAAAAAGCACCGTTTTGCACACAATACTCCCAGCTCGGCTCCAAAAACCCCTGACTCCAGTGCCCTGGGATGTCTTTCTGAATCAAAGGGGTCTATATAAGTGTAATTTGTTGTGGTTGTTGTTGGGTGAGGTTCGGGCTCAGACCTGACATTGCACGAGTCTAACAAACCTGCACACAGCTTGGCATATATAGCCCTAAAAGTGATTTATTTTGCCAGTAAGGAAGGTAACTCTGTAGAATTTTTAGAATACACTATATAGCTTAGAGTTAGAGAATTGAAAGTTCACAAGCTCACTATAAGGCTTTACTGAAATCCGAGTGGCAACACTAAAGCACACGCTTCCCACCAAACACTGAACGTACACAATGTGGAATTGTAATACTGTGAAACACAGCTGACGGAATACTATGAAACAATGAAAGATACGTACGTACCTTAAATAAAGGAAAAGGAATGAGTAGGTGGAAAAGAACCATATGAACTGGGAATGACTGGAGGGCATCCCATACTCTGTAAACAACGTTTTGTGGCCTCCTGGGTATAAAACATTACAGTTAGAAAAATAAAAAAACATGTTAAACTACATCACACAAACCCAAAGGAATTTTATGCTCATCAGGGTATAACTGCTCCAAGTGACAGAACATTTTCCAATGACTGTAGCCTGAATGAAACGTACTCCCAGCTCAGCTCCAGCATGGGCTCGACACAAAAAATAAAAGTGCTCTACTAATATTATACCTAGCCTTACAATCCTACAAATGACAGGCCATTCTATCTGTGGAGATTTACACTACTGCTGACTTAACCCCAATTTCCTACTCCTTCCCCACATCCTTAAACAGACCCTTCTCTCCCAAGCAAATCTGCGGAAACACTACTTCAGTGACTGAGTAGTAAACAGGCTCCCTAGGGAGACGGTGGAAGCAGAAAATGTTGTTTATTTCAAGAACAAATTAGATAAGATTTCTGCTAGAAAGTAATATCTGGGGATACAGTATATAGTTGGGGACACAATATGTCAAGCGACTGCCATGTGAACTAGATGGACCTTGGGTTTTATTTCGCCAGCAAATTCTTATGTTCTTAATTAAGCAAGAGATTTTGAAAAAAAGCGTGTTCACAGTTGGAATGGGAGAGAGAAAGGCAGTGTAGGCAGATGAAAGGCAGCCAGATTGACCACCCCAACTTCCTGTACAGTCACCTTCTCCAAGACATCACACTTATGGTTTGGGATTTAGATTACGTGGGAACTAACAAATGGAAAGGCTAGACTGGCTGGCAGCACTCCCATTCTCAGTGTAGTGTTAGGTACCTTCTACCCCTCTGCTCCCAAGATGCCATTTCAAAACATGAGGCGACAGAAGCATCACAGAAGCACACAGACTAACATTTTACATCATGTGCCAACTCAGCCAAAAAGCTTTATCCTTTGCATTAATTGTTCCATTTTAAAAATGAATAAACAGCAAATCTGGATGACGCGATTTAGAGAATTAGCTTGGAGGAGTTACGGATCAGTGCTAAATTAGTACAATAATGTGTCAAACATGACCGACTAAAAAAAGGGTCATTACTTTACTTCTATAAATCTGCTTCCTCGCCACAAAATTACCAACTGTTCCAAGCGAGTCTGTGCTCAAGCTTAAATAAAATTGAGCACTTCATTGTACCGTAAAATGTGGTGAATAAATCGCTCCTCTACTTAAAGGTGCCATTTCAGCACAAACACCAGCTGGTTACAAACACAAGCTAGGTCAACTCCAGCAGTTACCCCATCGCACACCCTGAGGTCCCCAAGCTTTGGCTCTCAATGACCTGCACTTAATACTCTCCGGGATTAGGCAAAGCAGGTGCGTCCCTCCAGGGAGAGATAGCGCATTCTATTCCAGACACAGGGAAATTTCCATATATATGTGGCATACATATGTGGATCTCTCAGGCTTGGATACACTCAAGCACGGCGACAGATTTATACATTAGTTACCCAGCTGACCAAAAAAAGTCTGTATAGGTCAAAGCCACTGCCCTATATTTACAGTAAAACATGACTAACAAAAGAGAAGTTGTATTTTTAAAGCGCCTTACATCAGTAGCATTTCACAGGAAATTACGGCAAAGTGTAGGAACTCATTTGGTAGACGAATATTACGACATTTGCGTCAGCAAGTGCCGCCCACAAGCTGGAAATGAGTGAACATGCAGATTTTGTAGCCCTGTCTTTAAACCTCCCAGCGAGCCTCTCTCTTTATTCTGGACAGAAAATACCCAGTGCAGCAGGCAGGTCTTACCATGACATGGTCTGGGCTCTCTGATGATATTCTTAACTATCCAGTTCAAGCCTTCGTTTAGTACCAATCCGCAGAGGAACGAAATCTGTAAGAAGACAAATTGCAAATGTAATTTACAATGTCATCACATTTGTAAGATGGAAACTCGCTGCTCTGCTCCATCAGCTGGGGCTAAGTGAATTCAGGGAAGCACATGACTCACATACAACAACAACTTGCATTTATATAGCGCCCTTCACACAGGGTAGCGTCCCTGAGCGCTTGAAACTAGTCCACTGCCACTTGTCCAGTTCTACTGCCCACGGGTACATGAGACAATTAGTAACAGTGGAACAGGAGGAAGCCATTCAGCCCATTGTACTTGTTCTACCAGTTTACTGGATCTTGGCAGATCTTTTTAATCTCATTGCTTGCTTATTCCATATCCCTTAGTGCCCTTACTTCCCAAGCATTTGTCTATCTCACTTTTAAACATCCCAATCCATTCTGAATCTACCTCATTCTTGTGGGATACAAGAAATGTCTTCCTGTCTCACCTACCAGTTACTATCTGGAGATAAACAAGTCTGAAGATAACAAGGGACTTTGCAAACTACACAGGTACTGTTCCGGAACTCACAAGATTAAATATTACTTACAACTTTCAAGCTTTCATTATAAATCAATACTTTACTATATCCCGACCAATTTTGTTCTGGGAAAGTGGCATTCAAATGCTTGACAGATGTTAGGAACCCGCCATCACACAAACTGCAACACTGACAGCAAGGCACGAACGGCAGTATGATACGAGTCTGAGATTTCAACTGTGAGCTGCAGCATGTGATCATGTTGCAAACTGATCCTCCCTCAGTTATATCTGGCCAGAAGAATTTAAAACAACCGAAGACGACATTCCAAACATAAAGATGATCACAGCCTGATGACAGGGCAGTGCCTGGTCTCACTCAGCACTTCCCCCTCGGAAATGAAAAGGAGAATAAAAAGCCCACATGGGTAGCTTTCCATGCAGAATGTAGAACTGGGGGCCCAGTGGGCAATCCTTCTATTATTAACAACTGCAAGAAATATTATTGAAGTATAAAACTTACAGTGTGCAGCTCCCTCTTGAACACGATGAGTGTGACAAAACCAAAAAGGATAAATACTGGTAAAAGGCTTAAATGTGCAAGAACACGTCCCGTGACGTCATCTGGGGAACAAGAAAAAAGACATTCTGCTTAGAAATGTGCAATGTAGCAGGAAGCAAAACAAACCTTGACACAATTTTCTTTTCTCAAGGATATGAAATCAATAAGAGCAGCACTTTGCACTTACACAGCACCTTTCATGTAGTGTTTTACAAAGATGGAGAGAGGCTGAAGCTTTATAGGGAATTATACTTTCTTGATACGTTTCAAGGGAGGAAGGGGAAACGATACAAATAACTATCCTTGCATTTAATACAGCCTTATCACATTATCAAAAAATCTCAAAGCACTTTACAAGATTTACTGTAAAGTGTAGTGACTGCGTATTTTAGGTGAACACAGCAGAAAATTTGTGCACAGCAATGTCCCACAAATAGCCATAGAGAGTATGCCCAATTTTTATCTGATCCAGGAGATAAAAAAGATCTCTTTTTTTAAAATAGGATGAGATGCCATGAGATCTTGAATGTCCACTTGAACAGGTAGATAGAACCTCAGTTTAATGCCTCATTCAAATAATGGCATCTCTGGAAATGCAGCGCTCTGCTAACAATGCACTGAAGTGTCTGCCAAAAAACTCCAATATGAATGCTTCAACCCTCAACCTTCTTTCTTAGATGCTAGACTGCTACCAACTAATAATAATCCTTGCATTTGAACTAAGCCAGACTGTTACAACCTACTGGTAAATAGTTTTGTCGGCTTTCAGAAAACACACACTGTGTACCATAGGCACTCTATATAAATAAATAAATCGCTAAATTAGGGCCAACAAATAGATTATTCAATTAGGACACAGCCAATTTGAGGGGAACAAAATGGAAGAAAGTCAACTGAATCAGCTCTTTATGGTCATCCTCGAATCCAACACACATGGAAAACCTCACAGAGCTTAAATCTCCAGTTCCAGCTACTGAGAACTCACAGAAGCAGAGAATCATATCTCCCGTTATTGTACACTGGCAGCTCTGGTTATAATGTTAAACATATTCCACAATACATGATTTCAATCGCTTTACAGACTTCCTTTTACAGACCAAGATGATTTTATCCAGTGTTGGCTTTCTCTGTGTTTGTGTGTAAAATATCGCCTGATCTGTAAACAGATAACATTGCAGCACCGACTGCTTTGTACTGGAGCTGACAAGGTTCAAGTGCATCCATTAATTATGGAGCTGCATTACTAAAGGCTGTATATATATTCATGGTTAGTTGAGGAAAGGAGAGAAGAAGCAGAAAGGAATATAGGTGACATCATTTCACAAGCATCTATTTGAGGAGAAAATATAATCCTCTTCTCTCTTACAGGCACTGATTTATGCTAAGGTACAGTTACACCATTCTCACCACCATGCCTATTCTTCATCTGTGAGTATAGATGGTGATTGCTAGAAGATTACTCAACTGTGTGGGACGAAATCTCACCCAACACTCACACAGTACACGAATACCAATCGGGAAACTCTCACTAGCCCAGTGACACTAAAGGCCGACTTTAACGTCACTGGGACAGTGAGGGTTTCCTGAGTGGTCGAATTGCCTTTACTTCAGCCCATTCTCAAGAGTCAGCTTCAACGCAGCCCAAGAAGCAACATGTAGGACCATTCCGGTGTGTGACAGACTCCCAACAATGGCTGGAGCTGCAACATTCTTCTTCTTTATTCATAATTTACAAACAAATCACTTCAGCATTTGGGATAAAAGGGCACAAAACCAAATGGGAAATAAAAAAGAAAATTGAACCTCAGAAAAATGTCAAGTTATTAGTATTATGGGAACAAGCAGTGATTAAAAGCACTCTGAGATGCCGTCTGGCGTGAAGGGCCCTATATAAATGCAAGTTGTTGTTGCGGGGAAGGAGGAAAATATCTTCCAATTATATCAACACATCAATTATCATGCATAAAAAAAATTCCACACCCATTGCAATTTGTGCCCACAAATAAAGAAAAAACCGAGAAGGATGATGGAAATTCAGAGTGGTCAGGAGGTGGAAGTAGTGAATAAGTTCACGTACCTAGAAATGTGCATTTTCAGGAAGTGAAGGGGGAGGGGACGTGAACAAGTCCATATTCACTGGCAGGCAAATAAAGGCATTTATCACTCCCCCCCCCCCCCCCCACCCCTTAATACAGCAGTACAGCTAAACTGGGAATTCACTGTGATCACGGTTTGAATTCACCACTTATCACTCCTCGGCATAGCACGTTTGGAGTGTAAAACACCTTAACTGCGTTAAACTCCACGTGGCTTTACATCACATATTTTAATTTACTTTCAGCTTTCAAGATTCACCTTCATCTAAATTAGCATCAAAAATTTTGGTCTGCCTTTATTTCTGCTTCTAGAAAACAAAGAGACTATCCTCCCTGGAGGGAAGGTAAGCTGGGTCTCCTTGGAGCTGAGCTGACTCCCAAGGTAGCATGCTTGGCAAGAATGTCAGGATTGAGTCAATCTCTGTGATGGTCTTGGTAGCCTGACTCCTGAGCCAGGCGGGTCTATAGTGCTCCAGGGCACTGATAATAATAATCCTTGCATTTGATATAGCACTTTTCACGTCGGGAGGACGTCCCAAAAAGCTTCACAGAACACACTGTAAAGTGAATTGACTGTATATTTGTGGACGAACGCAGCAGCCAATTGCGCACAGCAATGTCCCACAAACAGTCGTAGATTGAAAATGACCAATTTATTATTGATTTTGGTTTTGGAGGGATTATTATTAGGCTCTGTGTGGAGTGACAGCACTGGTGGCCTGACTCATTATAATAACAATCCTTGGATTTGATATAGCGCCTTATCACGTCTTCAAGACATCTCAAAGTGCTTCACAGATTATATTGTAATGTGAATTGTCTGTATGTACTGTTGGCGAAACAGCAGGACTTGGGTGTCACTGAGGGCAGGGATTCTTCATGCTCAGCTCCTGTTAAGCCTGCAAGCCTCAGCTCTAACAGGTAGGGTGGTTCCAGCTGGACAAGCAGCAGGAAACTTGCCAGAAAGTGAGTGCTCTCGATGGCAAGCTACGCAGTTTCAGCCGGTTAAACTCCACCACTACCCCAATACGCTATCCAACGCCCCCAACCATTAGCTCTCGTCAACCTGTTATTGAACCTCTGGTATTAGGTTATTGGCTGCAATCCCTCGAAGGAAGAGAAGGTGCATTCCATTCCAGACTCGGGGAAATTTCCACGTGTCAACGGCGTACAAATGTGGAACTCTGGGTCTGTTTTTGGCTACTCTCGTGCACGGCGATGACCTTCCACATATACCGGACACAAAAGCTGACCAAGAAAAACCCAACTGGGGCTTCAGCGCGGCCGGCAATATCGCAATGTCCAGCAGCAGCAGCAGAGTGCAGTGTTATAACTGCTATTCTTTGTTAACTGTGCCTTTGATTCCTCGGGTCCTGCACTCCCCCACATCAGGTCAGTGCAGCTGAGGGCTGGGGCTCTGAGGGAGGGCCAACCTTGGCCGCCTGGTGCGGAGAACGCATGCGCCACGCGGCGAGCCGCGCATGCGCCCTGGGCCCGCGGCCTCACCAGGCATGCGCAGCACCCACTCGGGGAGTGGGGGGGGGGGGGGGCCGGGATCTGGCAAGGCCCGCACTCCGCGCCCCCGCGCGTGCGCGCACGCAAGACGTGCGATTCGAAATGAATGGCTCAGTATTTGGCAGCGCCCGCCCGCCCGCCAGAGACGCTCAACTCTGCTCCTCAGGCCTACGGGGCCAGGTCTCGGCGGCCCCGCCAGCGGCCCGAGCGCCGCCTCCAGGCGCCGGGATAAATTCGAGGAGAAGCGGACGAGCGTCCGGATAAATATTGGCGCCGGAGGCGGCTTACCTGCGGGGTATTCGACGTACGTGAGGGACAGCGGCTGCCACGGCTCCCGCTCCCCGGGAACCAAGCACTCCTCAACCGCCGCCATCCTCCCCGCGTCACGTGCACGCACCGCTCGCCAACCAGCGCGCCTGCCGAGCACAGCCAATCGCAGCGCGGCAGGTAGGGCAGCTCCGCCAATCAGAGCAGGGCACCGTGCCCAGTCAGCCTATCCTAATGCAGCAGCCGCCGGGCGGGCGATCTCAGCCAATCAGAGAGCGAGAGCTCGGTTCTTCCCCTGTCCAATCACAGCACAGACATGCCGCGTGAGCATGCGCACTGGAAGCAGTCTTCCGCCCCTCCACTTGACTACCATGACTTTCTCTGCAGCCCTTCCTAACAGTCACTACACTTATTAATAGTCCTTTCCTTTTAGTGCCTTCCACGTGAGGACGACGTCTCAAAGGGCTTCACCGATACACTGTAAAGTGTAGTGACTGTGGATTTAGCTTGCCAATGTGTCAACCAATTTGCACTCAACGTCATCCCACAAAAAGCCATGGAACCGTTTTATTTGGGGGATTGTCGGCCAGGACACCAGGACAGAGAAACTCTCTTCTCTTTTCAAGTAGCGCCATGGGATCTTTTAAGGTCCACCTGGAAAGGCAGACGGGACCTCGGGTTAACGTCTCATCTAAGGGAGAGGACTTCCAACAGACCCAATGTGGGGCTTGAACCCAAGCCTTGTGATGCAGAGAGGCAAGCGTGTTACCCACTGAGCCAGGCCCCTGTGAAGCACAGCTCAGAGTCATATGCCAAGGAAGCGGGGTGGGGGGGGGCAGCAAAGGAGTCATGGGGAGTGAGAAGGGCATAAAGACAGATAAAGATGGAAGAAGAGGGAGGGAGTACCAAATACTAAAGCTAGAGATGTTCTGACTCATATGCATTGTATCAAACGCAAGATTTTTATCCAGAATATCTAAAGATAATAAAATACACCTTTGGTAACGAGGTGTATGGATTCAATGAAGTCTCACCCCAGGACACACCCTCCCCGATCCACACTGATGCTTCACTGTTTTTTAAGGTATTATCCTTCACCTGAGATTAAACCAAGCACCTGCTTTTGGAACATTTCCTGCCACTAATTTAAAGAGCTCTCCTGGTGTTTGGCAGGTACCTATTCACTTAGACAAATGTGCCAAAGAAAAAATAAATTTAGTCAGTTATTCTCATCTTTCCAAAGGCATTCCTCACCCAGCTCCTGAAAGCATATATAAACAGTCTCGAGATAATTAAAGAATAAACTTAATCTTAATGATAGAGGATCAATTAGTGAAGGAATCTAAATGATTAGAAAGTAATTGTTAAATCTCAGGGAAAGGGGATCAAGTTCAGGCTTATCGTTTCAGTCAAGTAATTCAAGTGAGTTTGGTATGAATCCAGAAACCAACTCTAAGCCAGTTATATCCTTGGCTTTTATTTAAAGGAACGATTTAAAGGATTGGTATTATTGCCTAAGGCTCCCATGCATAGCTCATTTTTAACAAATATTCTACAACTCTACACCACTACAAACACCAGATGAGTTTCTCCCAGTCCTGGCCAACAATGCTCATAATAAAATTGGTTATTCACTCCATGACTGTTTTTGGACATTGCTGTGCGCATATTGGCAGCCATGTTCACCCATAAAACACAGTCACTGCACTTTACAACAACATGAAGTGCTTTATGAGGAAGGGGAAGGGAATTGGTCATTGGGGCATTCAAAGAGACAGGTTTTGAGGTGGGACATAAAGACAGTTAGTGATGGGGGCGAGATGGTATAAAGGGTGGTAGTTCCACAGCTTAGAGGCATAGGATCTGAAAGCTCAGCCGCTAATGTTGGTGTAGATTGTGGGCGGAAAAGATCAGAAAGATAAGGAGATGCTGGGTGGTGGAGAGATTTATAGGTAATAAAGAGTTTATGAGGGAGTACCAAGAGACACCTATCCCCCTTGCACACAGACACACAAAGAAAACACAGGATATTCGTAGAACTTGAAAATATTCAGTGATTTTGACAGGTGAAGGATTACACCAGTAAAGATTTTCTTTTGTTGTGTGAATCGATGCATTTTTATTTGAAATACACGTTTATGGATACAGGATAACAGTAATACTGTAAAAAAAGCAATGAAAAATCACAAGGCAGAAAGAAAAGGTTTTACATAAAAAGAGATAATTAAAAAAAACTTTGAAGCAGGCACAAACCTACACTTAAAAGAATAACCGTTTCAGACACTTCATTCTTATTCACCCCAATCCCTAACTCATTTGCAAACTCCTAATTTGTTTTTAACAAAAAACTCCATAGCAGCACTGAAAGACAGAACCATCAACCAAACTAACTGAGGCTGGTCTGGGTATCAAGCCATCAAATTCAAGACAGTCAAATAAGTAGAGGCAATACTTCCAAAATTTACCAATTTACCCACCGTTTTTTAAGTTTGGTAACCGCATGTACAATCCAATTCCAGTGTAGATTCCAGAGAAGGTTGGGATGGGATTTATAAAAAGTACTTGCATTATTTTTTTAAAAAGCACCTTTACCCCATTGATACTCCTCACATAGATAATCACAGATGACCTGTGCCATCATAGTATCTCATCACAGATACTCCAGGATCAGGTGTTTTTGCATGGCCTTGGACTTGATCTAAACCTGGTGCAGATTTCGTAATAGTACAGGCTTCACTACTTAGTTGCCAATAGAGCTCTGCTTATGGTCAGTACTTGAAGTCAGTGATAGACTAAAAATTAACCAGTATTAAATATTGGTCCATAACAAACAAGTCCACTTCAGTCCAGTTGGGTAAAGGTATCTGTCCCCTCCAGTTCTAGAAGCAACCTTGTGATAGTGTGTGGACCATACCATTTCCATACCCATTTGAACATGCCCCAAACCAGTTAGCAATGTACGATATTCTTAGGATTAAGTAATAACCGTGAAGCAGTAGTTTACAGCAACACAGAAAGTCAAGCAATATTAAAATGCCAACAACAAGAAGGTAAAATACACCACGTTATTGGGCACCAGCCTTTAGGATTTTATTTGCCCTGTTGAAGGTATGAATGTGACTTTACCTGGGTCGTTCAGACACTGAGGACGGGTGGGTCACCTGCTCTCAGATCACCTCCAACAAAACTAACTGAAAAGGAGTGCGCACCTGCTCTTCCATTCTCTCCACTCCACATAATGTACATGGTGTCCGCAAAGTCCTGTTACTCTCCCAGTGCACTAACCAATAACTGAAACATGTGGAAGAATGATAATTGCATTTAGAAGTACTTAATTGTAGAAGTGTTTAACTGTATTTAGACATCCAGAGGATCAGTGGGTGTGTGAGCACCATCTTTTTCATGGCAGATAATGATCCGTCTCCATATTTGTTGCCACATCTTCCGTAACATAGATGGAGTGAGGAAGTGAAATGCACCTGACAGCTTGTTTCAGCTTCTCTGTAGTCTCGTATCGCTGTTTTGTAACAGGGGGTGGGGCATAACATGACTTTGTGGACATCCTGTAGTAGTCTCTACTCTAATTTTCCACAGCTAGAACTAGGAACTAAACAGTGCAAGGGTATTGCAGTTTCCACTGCACATCCCACCCTGACTCACTTTAATAGTGATCCCAATTATAAGGCGATTGGAGTTTGCCTCCAAACTTTTCCAGGTTGCATTTTTTGTTGCATTTTATGCGACGCCACATATGGCATTAAAACCCCCCAACATGCTCAGCACCCACAGATCACATAGCATAAAACTAGATTAAACACACAAACCTACCATACTCTGATCACAGAAAAAAAGGATATGACCAGCACGGAATCTGGCACAATGGGGCACTGGTAGACTAAATCATCTACAGTCCTAAAGAACACATATTGACAATCGATGATGACTGCTGGTGAACTGTGTGGATAAATTAGTTATTTTGGAATCGATATCAACACAAAGCAGCAATGATCCATTCAGAAAGTCATTTGGACTGACCGTAATCTTCATTTCCCTGGATCAGTGTCTCCAGCAAATCAGTTCATTCCTGATTTTCAGTCAATTGCCTTTTTTAAAAAAATTAAAATCCAAACTATTTATCGTCCAAGAGATTAAAAATAACTCCCGTGAGGTGTTCTAGTTTAAATTGCGATTGGCTCAAGTGCAGTGTCAGGACAAGGACATAGGTTTAGAGAATCTACTCAGCTTCTTCTGTTTGTGCTGCTGGAATCTGTCCTGTTTCTAATCCCTGTAAAAACAACAAAATCTCTGGAAAATCTCATGTTCTGATCGCATCAGAAACATGAGCCACGGAAAGCACGAGGGGCTGGGAAATTGCTCAACTCGAGTTACAGATTTCAGGAAGTGGGCAGTGGGCAAGCAAATTTCAGGTTGCCAGTTGATGAATGGCAAAGGAGGTTTTTACAGCAGTGAATGTTTCAGTGGTTACAGGGTTACAGTACACATCAGCAACCCTCTCTTGGACTGAGGAACCCTTCCTGCGACATTACAGAATACATGTACTCAGAAACCTTCAATACAAGCCACATTCACGGAGTATGAGATCAGGCAGTGGACACTCAGCCACAAGAGCAGCTTAGACTCCTCTCAGCATTTCTAACTGAGGCTGCCTGCTTGGTGTTGAATGTTTGGAACAATGAACTGAATGGACACCAGGTTTAAACGCTCTAAATGCACCCCACTTAGGACCCTTACACCAAATCAGTGAGGAAACCTTCGCCCCATCAGTCTGGGCTGCAATACAATGTCAAATTCCAGCACTCAGAGGCAAAATAGGCCAGAGGCAAAACCACTCAGCCCCTCAAGCCTCCCTTACCTAAAATCCCGTAAGCTTTCCCACATTACTGCACAAGACGGTAATGTTTTCTCCAGTGAAGTGCAAGCACTGGGTTGCTTTTGGACGGATTCCAGCTTCACATCAGGCAAAGATAGTCACCCACTCAATGCTCCCTCACGCCTCCTGAACACAGTCACACCGCACTTTGGTGCTTCAGTAACTCTGTGGTAAGTTCAAATAAAAGTTATCTCTTTTAAAAATCTAGTATTTTTGTTACCCCCCCCCCCATAATACATTCGTATTGTCTTGTTATCATCGTTTCAAAGCAGAGAGCAGACTAAGTGTAAAATAGACCATTTACAGATAGTCCCCAACCCCACATTGGGCCACAATGATATAAAAACACAGGGTTTCCTTTGATTAGAGCTTCTCTCAACTCACTGGTCAGTAGAATCTCTCAGGTTAGTTCCAGGAGGGAAGTTCAGGCTGGTCAGCCTAACCCCACATGCCCCCCCCCCTCCCCACCATCCTCGAGCAGAGACACACAAAGCCTCAGAGAGACACGCTCTGTCCTTTCACATTGTCTTCATGTCGGCTCCTCATGGCTGCTCGAGTCTAGGGCCAAACTGATAGGGATTTTCAGGGCTGACTGAGCAAAACCGATCGGTGCCAACGAAATGAAAACTGCTCCAAGTGGGTCTGGAACAGCACACACATACACACACACACACACACACACACACACAACACACACAGGCCTGCTGGAGGTTGGCCTCATTTTGTGAACATCAGTATAACAGTAAACCATTAGCCTTTCTCCTTTTGCAAAGGGGAGTATCTACACCCCCGTCCTCCCCAGTCACAGTGCCGATATTCCTCAGAATGAGTCAACCTGACTGTGTGGCAGAATCTAGGAACTGTTCCTCATTGCATCTCAATCCACTGATTCTTCACCAAAAATTCCTTCCGATTCCCTCTTCAAAACCCCAAAAATGATTTGCTTTAAAAACGAGTGACCTTGTGCGGGGGTCACGCGAGGTGGGGGGCTGTCAGAGGTGTGTTGTTGGTGGGAACAGCCCCGTTCAGCTCCCGCATGGCCTCGCTGCTCAGGTAGCCCAGGAGGATCTCGCTCCGTCGCCGCGACAGCTGTAGGATGTCGTCCGCCAGGGCCTGCACTGTGCTGTAGCGGACCTTGTCCAGGTCAAACATGTCTTTCAAGTACTGAACAATTTGTTGCTACAAAACAGAAGAAGCTGCTGCGTCAAACTATAATTCACCGTGGGCATTTCCGATTGCCTCCCTTTATGCTTTCTCCTGAGTTTGTGTTACACAGGAGCAAATGGACTGCTCTCTCCCAATCCTTCGTTACTCTCACTACCCATTCCTCATTCACACTTCACCAAATAGCTCTCCAGGTTATCCTAGCTCACATTCCCCTCCTTATCCACATTCACCCTACTACACTCAAATGAATTGGATGCTCACGTGGTTGTTGCTTATGGGACGATGCTTTGCCTCGATAACAACAACCTTCATTTATATGGCGTTCTTCACATAGGGTGACGTTTCAGAGCACTGCACAGTGGACGAGCAAAGGAGGAGGAGGAGGACTATTGGCTCCATCAAAGAGTTAAAATAAAAAATCACTTCATTTGTAACTAATTATATTTTGTAAAATGCTTTGAGCTGTGCCTTTTTACGGGAAAGGCGCTTTACAAAAGCAAGTTTGTGTTTTATCTGATACTCTCTTGAAAAAGCTGACACAATCTGCCTTCCTGGACTAAGTCCGGGGTCCTGAACTCAATCCCGTGTCCCATGGATGTACAACGTTTTACTGGCATTAGTTTAGTTACACTTCAGTCACATCTCCCCTGACCTTCTCTTCAGTGTGGTCCAACATGCTGACGTAGTGAACAGCAAATCCCCAGCCACGTCCAGACACTAACCCCCACCCCCTCCAATCTCAATGCCAACGTCTTTGAAGCTGGATGAGGATCAGGGATGATTTACTCTCTCAAACCACCAGGCAATTAATAGCCCCAACTACTTGTCCTGGCTGAGATCAATAACTCAGGATTCAAACCTGTGAGTTTCGTATTGAGCTGTGTGAGGGGAGGACCCGATGCTAAGCCCCATCTATGTCGCTCTGTATATAAAGTGTAAAAGTTTCTCTCACCTTAAATATTGTGCAAACTTCACCTAAATGCTGCTTGGGTCCAAGGAAACCCCAGGCAAGAACAGGACTAACGTGCTCCGAAATGGAGTAAAAGTGTGAGATGAAGCCATCAGGGACCTGTGGGGCCGAGACACAATGTAACTGACTGCATTCATCATCAAGAGTATTTCACATCAGGTTCAGACCTGCGAGACCAACTTATCTTAAAATTTAAATTTGTACCGAATTGTGGAAAATTCTTTTGATTGGGTTTGAATTTGGAAGCCGCTTCCTTTTGAGGACTGCAGCAAACCAGAATTTTCCACCATTCAGTTGTGGGGTGTTAAGATTTTAAGATAAAAGGATCTTCTCGTTTCAAATTCCCTCCACCTCTGTGACCTCCTGCAACTCTACCGCTGCTCAGAAAATATTGACTTGCTTCACGTCCCCCGCCTAACCATCAGCGAGCGAGCTTTCAGCCATTCTGCCCCCTTTCTGAAGCTCTGAGTTCCTCCGGCTCACCCCACTCCCTCCCCACCTTTTTAAAAAAAAAGCATTGTGAATGTTTTATACCCCAGGTACAATCAGTTATTCACTCTATGGCTTTTTGTGGGACGCTGCTGTGCACAAAACAGCTGCCGTATTTGCCTAACAGAAAATAGTCACTACACTTTATTGTAAATCTTGTGAAGCACTTTGACCGTCCTCTCATTTTGAAATGCAAGGATTATTAAGATGAAATAGTCTCATTGCTTTCGACTACTGACCTGTAAAAGCCGCCTCTTTGCTTTTAATACTGACCAGCAGGCTGTGGCGAGAGCCTGTGAGAGACACAAAGAGAGACAGAGAGAGGACAAGAGTCAGCAAAGACCAGAGATCCCGAGAGCCTTCAGCCACGGCTTGGACAGCGCTCAGTGTCGGTCACTGACCGTCTCCTTAAAACTGTCTGACAGCCAACGGTTCCGCAAAACGGCGACCACAGAGGAGGGTGGGTTTTCCAGATCCTCAAAGGCGTCCATCAGGATAAAATCCAACACGATGTCGAAGAAATTCATGGACACAACCTGCAGACAAAAGGTTTGCCATTAACTCCCCTCCCGCTGACCAGGTGCCAAGAGGTAAAAGCAGTCACTACAGTAGAGCCCGATATCTGCATGAATTGTGACCATCCTGTATGGCAGATTATGGAGACGGTCTTTGTATGATCATATAATGGGTCTGTATGTGTGGGTGTCTGTTTGTGTCTCTGATCTTTTGCTCACCTGGATCGGATCTTGCTCACTCTCATGCTGCTGTTTCAGAGTCGGTTAAAATCACGATTCCGGTTATCCAGATAACTAAAAATATCTATTGCATGGGGCATCCCCGATGGTGAAGCGGATGTAGCTGCATCTAACGGACCGCAAGCTCATTGGTTTGCTGGCCTCAGCGGGCGGGGAGTGCATGGGGAGGTTAAGTGCTCTGGGACGCTAGAGGTAGTGAGTGTGCACGGCAGCCAGGTGAGGAGAGGTCAGGCCAGGCTCAGCTGGGAGAGTGAGTGGTCACTTACCGGACGACACCCAGCACCCAGCACAGGGAGGCTGGGCACGGGGAGAGAGGCCATTGGGGAAGAAAGATAGAAAAAATAATTGGACACATGAAAATTGAGAAAAGAAATTGATTTACTTGCCATGGTAATGGGGATCTGACGACAAGGTGGCGATTGTGAATTCTGCTTGGAAGGCTGTACCAAAGCTTCAACTTTTAGGAACAGTGAATAAAAACTGTTTAAAGATAAGAACACCCTCTCGCTGCAAAGAGAGAGATATCAGGCCTTACCCCACGTCCTTCCAGCTCCAGCTTTGTGGACTCCCAGGTCTCCTCTCTCTCTGCGTACTCCAGCATCTCTTTGAAGGTTTCCTGGAATCTGTTGACATTCTGCGAGAGACGGATTGAGGCTATAATTGTGCTGCCACTTTCCCCTACACGTGCATAGTGACTCCATTGACTGGGCATTAAATCCTGTGAAGCGCTTTGAGACACCCTTCCAACGTGGTATGGCGCTATACCAAATGCAAGGTTTTTTTATTATTGTTGTTATATTATTAATTATATTGATATTATTATCATCAACTTCTGTCGCGTCCCGATTGACCCGATCCACTCGGCCTTTGTTTTTCAGGAGAGAAACATTCATGTAGGGAAGCTTTTCCTTTTAGCCATCACCCTGAACTTCTGGAATTAATCAAAGTTTCACCTCCCCTGTTAGAACATGCACTTTAGGGAGGTGGATGTGCAACTATTTCACAATACGCATGCTGAGGTGATTGGGAGAAGTTACCTTGCCAGCCCTGGACATCAGCCCCATGATCATCTGCTTTCCAATGTCACTGAAGTACATCCTGTTGGTTTCATCCTGCAGCAATATCTGTCACAGTCACAACAGGTGCCTTTGTTAGAGGCAGCACCAACACATTCCACCTTCAGACACTGGTCACATTCCCCCCTCCCCCCTCCCGACAGAGAAGCTCAGACACGGGAAGTCAATTCTTCGGTAATGGAGAATGTTAAAATCCCCGTGGACTCACCCCCTCCCCCAGAACATTTGCTCCAACCAGCAGTGTGAACTCTGAGGCAAATGGAAGGATCTGTTGTCTTTCCGTGCACTGTATTTTTTCCAAACCGCCCCTCTCCCCAAGGAAAGGGAGAGAGAGAGAACTGGGGGGCTCCGAGTAGCCAGCTGGAGGTATACTAGCACAGGTAACAGGGAAGCTGAGCTCCCCCCTATTGTGTGCTTGTGTTGGAGATACACCAGCCCCCAATGAAGATCAGGAAGATACAGTACAAACCAGCACAGCTCACGAGCAGCTCCGTTACCTCGAACGCTTGCCGCACGCAGTGTAGTTTCGCCAGGAAGTCCTCGTCATTGTAACACTCCAGAACCTCCGTCCTGAAACACACGAGAACATATCCTGGTTACCATCAGGGATGATACAATGCAAAATTACATTTGTATAGCTCCTTTCACGTCGGGAGGACATCCCAAGGCGATGCCTGTTTTAGCGTTCTCTTCGGTCTCTTCCCACCTTCTCTCCTGAATGCACTGACGTGGGCTGGAAGCAACTGCATGCTTGTCTGAACCCAAGTGGCCATTCTTTTAGTGTGAGGCTAGACAGTGAGCAGTGTGGGCAGGATAGCCTCAATTCCCATCGCAGTTCACAAATCAATGTCCACACACTTTCTAGCAGGGGATGATGGGCCTGGGCAGCGATCAGGAGCAGGAATCCTAACCTGAACGATCGACAAGCCACCTTACTCTCCTGCACAAACCCCATGGCTTCTTCATACACAGCAGATGGTCTGGACGGCTGGAACCCTTCCTCTCCCAGCGACACATTATCCAACAGCTGCCGGATTAGAGAAAATAAAGACACAGACATTACTTACGTTTCTCTCAGGGAAGACTCAGGACAGTGTAAAACTGCATTCAGAGCGAAACATTCCCACACCCCCACATCTCTTGCTGTATCTGTCTGTCTTGCTCTATCTCCATTTTAGTGGTTGGATGGGGAGGGAGGGCAGAGATTGGTCATTTATTTATTCCCTGACCTCAGAGCTTCAGCATTCACTGCCATACTCTGACACTGTCACATCATGTTACAACACATTTTTCTTTCGTGAATCCGGGTACCTTGACACATGCAGACGCAACCTGCTTATCCTGTTAGGGCTTTGGCTCTGTTAACAGGAGGCGAGTGGGAGGATTCCCTGCTCCCAATGACTGGTCTGCCCCTCCAAGTTCTACCGATGAGCCGAGCTGGACTGGTTTGTCATCAGTAGCGCCCTGGAATACCCACCTGGCTCAGGAACAGGACCGGAGACCATCACAGAGGATGAACTGTGTGTACTGTGCTCAATTGGCTGCCGCATATCGCCCACAAAATATACAGTATATCCTGTGATGCGCTTTGAGATGTCTTGAAGACTTAATAAGGCGCTATATCAAATGCAAGGGTTATTATTATACTATTTAACTCAATTTAAAAATTTCATTGCCAAACGTGTCACTTTGGAGCCATCTCAGCCCTGGGGAGACCCTTTTTGCTGAAACTCTGAGCCCAGTGAAGAATGTACAGTACAAACCCACACTTCAATCATAGTAACCACCGCAAGCAATACACCCTCTCCATATAGACATAGTTATTCACTGTGGCAGCATTGGCACTCTGAGCTTACACCATAGGCTCTCTCTCCCCATACATACATATATATACTTGCGTATAAAGGGTAGGAAGGGACATGGAGTAAAGAAGGGATTAAATGTTCTCCAGTAATCTGATAAAAAGATGGCTTGTCACCAACTCACCTCGGCTGCTGAGAAGAAGGAGTCGTCTGAAGTGAAACTGGCCTCATCGTCCATACGGAATCTCCCAGCTTCCTCCCCTAAGGGCATGGCCAGAGCCCCAACACTGTCTGTACAAGGACCAGAAATACAGTGTGAAGGTTTCGCACAACTGGAGAAATAAACCGAGTGAGTCCCGAGGCCCCCTCCTCTATTCAGGTGGAAGTTAAACATCCCGCCATGCTATTGGAAAAGAGAAGGGACTTTCTCCCTACCCTCCACCCTCCCTGATCCCACACTCCCCTGCTTGGGTCCAAATCCCTGACTGTCCAGTGCTTTGTGACGCCCTCCAGTCAGAATTGGTGAGGGATTTGGGAGATGGCTAGATAGTCAGGGAGTAAAACTATTAAGAGTGAGGAGATGAGATTAGGGGCAGTCAGAGCATGTGGACATGGAATGTGGTGGAGCTGCCTGGCTGGGCTGAATGGTCTTCTCCTTATCCTAACTTGTCTCTCACGTGGAGTCACTCAGAGACTTACCAAAGTCACTCAGTAAGTTGTTGGAGGGTATTGTTTCTCCAAGCTCCTCCTGCAAGCGATACGCTCTGTGAAGCAGTGCTTCAAACTTCAGTGCAAAGTCCCTGTTCTGCGATTCCTGTTGAATTATTTACAGTTAATGGTCCCAAGTCAAATGTAAAAATAATCTTGATAAAGTTTCCAATCTCACTCAGTGAGCAGAGAGGACCACTGGAGCAGGAGGAGACACACTTTCCTGGGGAGTGGAAAGGGAGCTTTACTCTGGCTCTAAACCATCCTCTACCTGACCTGGAACACTGCTGGACAGTGTGTGTGTGTTTATCTGAGATGCTATTCTGCGTGAAGGATGCTATATAAATGCTAGTTGTTGTTTTTCTCGCTTGTCTTGCGTGTGTGTTCCTGTATCTCTAACTGTGATGTGAGTATGTGTGTGTGTACGTCTGTCTCTTTTTCTCTCTCTCTGCCTCTTATCTGTGAATATGTAAGTTCTCCCCGCTCTCCAATGTTGAATCACATTGTCTAAGATATCATTCCAATGTAGTGCTGGGGGGGTTGTTGTGTTGGCTAGCACTCGTGATCTAAACGCCTACATAGAGACTAACCCCAGGGCTGAGGCCTACCTGTAAGAACTGGACCTGTACATACCTCACCCATGTCCCCGGCCCCTCCATGGGCCCCCAGCGTGACCAGGTTTTCCTTCCGTTCGGTGCCTGTGGCTCTCAGATATCGGGTGTTCAAGGCTTGTTCCCATTTCAGCAAGGCTTCCTCAAACAGCTCCATTCCTGCCCAACACAAGGACACAGTGATTCCCCTCCTCCACACAATCACACCATTTGCTAGTCCTCGGCTCTCGCCTGATGTAACTGTTCCCAAGATTGAGCCACAGTCTGGGAAGGTCCCCTGTATATAATAATAATCCTTGCATTTGATATGGCGCCTTATCACGTCGTTGAAACGTCTCAAAGTGCTTCACAGATTATACTGTAAAGTGTAGTGACCATGTATTTTGTGGGTGAAACGCAAAATACTCAACGCAATGCAGTATAATCCCCGCTCTGTGTTGAGTTATGACATTAGGCTCGGAAGCAGGCGGGGCTACAGTTGACTTCAATTGCTCTGGGCTGGAGGAAAATCAGCCAGATACCATCTACCCCCCAACCCTCGCCCTGCCCATCACTCTCCCCGCCGNCCCCCACCCATCACTGAGGAAGCTGCCCATTGATGGCAGGCACAGTACCAAGCATTATTCACTGTTACTGTAAAGCCAAACATCTCACCAAGAATGTAGAGATTCTCATTGTTGGAGTCCTCGGTCGGCTCCTCCTCCTCCTCCTGAACGCTACCCGGCCCCTGAGGAGGTGCAGGCCCTGGGCTGGACAGACCAGCCCCTCGCACCTGTCAGTAACAATGGAAAATGCACCTTCAAATGGAATTGAAAACGCTGACACAAAGACATATGTTCGTTCAAACATCCGGTTATAAAGCTCCGCTCGCTTTCTGAACTGCCTGGGAACAGAGAGACAATCAAGCTCCCCTGAATGGCCTCTTTAAACACTGAGGTTCCCCTCCTTCCCCTTTGGTGAGCATCACAGCATCGACACATTAAGAACGTTAGGATTCCATGTCTACACCAGCTGATCTTAGGCAAAGCCACACGGGATGTGGCAATGGCTTTATATAATATATAATAATCCTGGCATTTGATATAGCGCCTTATCACGTCTTCTAGACGTCTCAAAGCGCTTCACAGAATATACTGTAAAGTGAATTGACTGTATATTTTGCAGGCAAAACACGGCAGCCAATTGTGCAGAGCAGTGTCCAATAGTTATGGATTGAGTGACCAAATTATTTTTATTTAGTGATCCCAGCTGGAGGTGGGGAGAGCAGCCTAGCTCAGCTGGCAGTGTTCTGGCCTCTGGGTCAGGAGCTTGACTTCACAGTCTAGGCTGTCACTGCAGTGCATTGTCAGGATTGCTACCCTCCAGTTGAGACATTAGACATCTCGGCCTGTCTCACTGGAACAGAGTGGGGGTGGGGACGCTCAGTGTCCTGGCCAACAATCTCCAGGTGAGGTAATCATGGATGTGTGCAGGAGCTCGCTCGAGCAAACTGCTGTGATTGCTTCCAAAACAGTCACTACACTACACCGTGATCAGCAATTACCTTATAGCTTTTTGAGATGTTCTGGTTGTTGTGTTTCTTACGATGAAGTAAACGAGTGGCACAAAAAAATCAGGACATTCGGACACTGACATTATCCAGAGTTATCCTGGGTTAGCCACGGATAGGAGAGGAAAGAGTGGGAGATCGACTGACTCTCACATACCAGCTGAGAACTAGAAAAGTGCAGAGCTGATGGAGCTCTTGGTCCCAATTACTGAATTTGTTAAAAAGATATTTCTGTTCCTCCTATGAAACCTTTGTGATGGGTTTTGTGAACAGTCGGCAAGTGAAGTCCTTACCGATGACAAGCTGTGGGAGGAACTGGAGCGGCAGCCGAGCACACTGGAGTTGACGGCGCTGAGCGTGTTGTTACTCCTGCTGCTCGGGCTCTGTACTCGCTTCGTAAGATAACCTGTCACGGAGAGAGAAAGAGAGAGAGCGCGAATGAGAGAGAGAGAGTGAGAGCGCGAGTGAAAGAGAGCAAGTGCGAGTGAGCGAGCGAAAGAGCAAGCAAGAGCGAGTGAGACAAAGTGCGAGAGAGAGAGCAAGAGCGAGATAGAAAGAGTGAGCAAGCGAATAAAAGGAGAAACAAGAGGCTTGTCAGGGAGAGTGAGAGAAAGCTTTAAAATAATCTGATAGCGAGCTTTTCACATCAGGAAGATGTCTCAAAGAGACAAGATTTTAATGTGAAATGTAGTATTATGTAGGCAAACGCAGAAGCTAGTTGTGCCAACAGTAACATCCCATGGAGTGAGCAACCAATTTTATTTGGGGGATTGTTGGCCAGGACACTGGGAGAAACTCCCTTTTCTTTTCAAATAGTGCCCAGTGATCTTTAATGTTTACACAAACAGGTAGACAGAAACTCAGTCTCATCTGAAAGATGCACCTCCAGAAACACAGCAGCTCCCAGCACTGCACGTGTCAATCTAAACTGGTGGAGTTCAAAGTCGCAATGTGGGGCTTGAACCTACAACCTTCTGACTCAGAGGCAAGAGAGCTACTAACTGAGCCACGCTGACACACAATTTCTATAGTTTCTATGAGGAACCAACGCGTGGTTGTTTGAAGGTCGAACAAGCCACAAGCTGATTTCAAACGTTATCGAACTGCCCGTCACCAGGTTGGGAACTCGCTGTGTGATCTCACTGCTGGGTAGGTTGCATTTGATATAGCGCCTTATCATGTCACTGAGACGTTTCAAAGCACTTCACAGGATACACTGTAAGGACTATGTATTTTGTAAATGAAATACGGCAACCAATTGCGCACAGCAATGTCCCACAAACAGTCATGGAATGAATGACTAATTTTATTTGGGAGATTATTGGTCATGACACTCGGAGAAACTCCCTTCTCTTTTCAAATACAACCATGGGATCTTTAACATCCACTTGAACAGGCAGATGGGATCTCAGTTTAACATCTCATCCAAAGGTCTGCACCTCCCGACACTGCAACACCCCCCAGCCCTGCATTGGAGCGACAGCTTAGACTGTGATTCCAAGTCCTGATGTGGGGGTTGAACCTTCCGACTCTAAAGCAAGAACGCTACCATTGCGCCAGGCTGACACAGAAAGAGAAGTGACAATTGCCTCTGTCTCACCTCTCTTGGTAGCCGGCAGGCTCCCCACACAAGGCAGCAGTGTCTGAGATTCCTTCAGTTTCTGCGCATCCTGTTTTTTCCTGCGTCGCCTCCGCTTCAGGTGATGGGCTGTGAGCGCCAGAGCCACCGAGCCCAGTGCCGTGGCAAACAGAACCTTCTTCAGCCCCGGAGACAGTTTCAGTTGCGAGAAGATGGACTTGAGACGGCAGCAAACCAACAGTATTTTACAGTCAAGTCGCAACAACGGCTGAGAAAGCAACAAATCTTACAAGCTACCTTCAGGTAGGAAAGCTATAACGGTACACACATACACTCGCCTGTATACGGACACACACACACATCCATCAACAACAACCAACAACAACTTGCATACGTCCCAAGGCACTGGACAGCGAGGGGTTTGCACCTGAGCTGTAGGTTGGTATCAGTGAGATCGGACACACACACACTCTCTCTCCCTCAACAATAACTTGCATTTATATAGCGCTCCTCATGCAGGGCAGCAGCCCAGAGCGCTTCTGACATGAAAGGCGCTATATAAATGTAATTTGTTGTTGTGTTGAACTGTTAATGTGCAATATTAAAGAACAGGCAGACGGGACCTTTCGGGCAGATGCACTGGGTCACAGCCTTGGGCACAGGTTCACATCAGGTTTCTCCACCATCTCAGCAAACGAAGAGTAAAGGACAGAGATCGTAGTTGAAGTCATCTTGGCCTGTGCTCTCACTCCACCCAGTAGCACATTGCAGAACTGCAGCTTCAGAGGCAGGTCACCCTGTATGTGTGTGTGTGTGTGTGTGTGTGTGTGTGTGTGGGGCTAATGTCTCCCTCCTAACTCTGAGCCCTACTGCTGACTGACCCACCTAAGATCAGTTTGGCTTTTCCCGTGAGGCCATCGATTCCTCTTTACACGTGAATAAATGGAAGGTGGAGGAACGCATTTACACCCGAAAGGTGACTGGGTCAGCCTCGGTTTGCTGATCCGCGTTATGATTAAAAACATATTTATGCGACTTGTGGGTGACATCAGAAACTGAAGTTCAAGGAGGCAGTGTCTGATTCAACATCAAATTTAAACTCCCAACACATCGCCCTGACCAGCAACCCCAGCCCATTGCCAACAACGCACAGTTATACAGCTCCTTACCTGGCCGAACGTTGAGTACAGAAACACTGGGATCTCAGCCACGGTCATCGCCAGAGCCTGGATGATAGACGTTCCATCCGTTCTCCGCAGCGCCATCGCACACTAATGTTGTCAATGGCTCCTCACACAACACGTGATCGGGCACCGAGCCCTCTGTCCTATTTAGCCTGAGCAGATCCTTTCATCGGAGTTTCAGATTCAGCATCGAGACACAAGAAAACACAAGGTCCTGGAGTATCAGTAAGTCGGCCTGTTCACACTGCTTCCTCCTCAGTGACCTGAAGGTCAAACCGTCTCCCAGCCTCGGTGATTAGCGATCTGCAGCTCCTGCTGCCAGTTTCAAGAGGAGCTGAACACGACAAGCTGGGGAGATCGATATTGGTTGGTGTGAGATCTCTTCCCCACCTCAATGCAGAAATAGAGGGACACACAATAGACAGTCTCACTATGGGAAACAGGCAACAGCGATTGAGAGGCAACTGTCAAGTGATAAGAGGCAATCACAATAACCGATTCACAGGACAGAGCCCACTCCCTGTGTGCTCAGGTCCCTCCCAGGCTGCCTCTCCCAAAGTCAACTACGCCACACTCGTGCGTGCACTGGTCTCTGAATCCAATTTCAGATCTTTACACTGGAGTGTCAGCCTAGTCTTCAAGCTCAAAGTCCAAACTTGGGATTTGAACTCACAACTTTCTGACCCTTTAGGGTCTGAGCTGGACTGGCGCATCAAATAGAGGTTTAATCTATAAAATCCTGCACTGACTACAAATTTCCACTTATGCTGACAAAATAAAACTTGATTTTGCATTGAAACATCTGGCATAAAGGGAACACGCCATGACAGGCTGGACAGAAAGATTATTGCTAGTCGCTCAGCCTTGCTCACAGGGCAAGGTTCGGTCACGGTCAACAATGTAAAGAATGCTGAGGCTGACAGTAATAAAAGCCAGCTGGCACCATCAGCCACACAGCGGAAACTCCGAGCCCAAAGTCACCCACACCCCTCACGCAGCATCTGGTGTCAGGTGTGTGTAACACAATCCCAGAGTTCAGGTAACGGCAAAGCCAGCCACTGCTTTGCTGTCCTGGTTTATAGCACAAATTTGATTCCCCTCCAATGCAACATTCTCTCCGACTTGTGTGGCACTCTCTCGACCACCAGAGGCTGCTCCTGAACTACGTGCATCAACCTGGCGGCTCCACTGAATACTGTATCCAGTGTCAAGACGAACAGGTAAAGCAATGGTCAATCAGGGTTTGGGCAAAGTGAGGTGGAAACTGTGGCCTTGTAAACTATTGCTGTGGCTCAAAGCAGCCTGAGTAAATGGAGAACGCAAAATCAGTCAGCTTTTTAAAGCGGGTGAGATCCAGATTTGCTATACTTAGTGAACTAAAGTTCAGGATCTAATGAAGGTGTTGGCCGCTAATGGTATAACGGAGGGGATCGAGGGATATGCAGAAGGCCGAAGCCAGCCGTGTGAAGGGGGTGGGGTGGGTAGAAGAGTGGGGTGTGAGAGGTGCTAGATCAGCAAGTCACTGGGTTTTGCTGTCCACACTTCAGTTGATCACACACTTCAGCTGATCACACTGCTTATGACTATTGTCAGAACCACATGGACTTTAATAAAGTTTGAAACCAATGAGATAAAGGATTACCTTTGACACAGGATCGGGCTCTCATCCCACCGCTCCGTCAGTCATCTTCAACCCCACTGTTGGGGGACACCATATGATTTTAGTCTCTGTTAGTACATGATAATGGAGTTATCGTCACGTTATGAGCTACATTGAAAACTGCACAGTTTGGAACTCGGTCACACCTTTTACAGCGCCTCATTACGTCAAACAATCAAAATGCACTTCACAGGGATTGCTGTCATATCTGTTTGTAGGCAACAGCAGCAGCCAGTTATACCAGTAAGGTCCCACAAACAGCCATGAGGTGAATGTCCAATTTATTTGTTGGCCAGTAATACTTCTCATAGTTTAGCTCATTCCTCCAACACTGGGGATCATCATTTGTTGCTCTGCACTGTTTCTAGGGCCAGAGGTCCTTACGTCACAGTGACCAGAATTGTGGACAGACCAGAGCACTGTAAAGGCTGAGTATGATGTCTGGGGATCTAAGTTCAGTTGATTTAGCAATGTAACCCAGCATCCTGTTTGCCTTGTTTATTGCTGAGTATCACTGTCTTGTCAAAGCGAGTGAGGAACTAACACTCTTAGGTCTCTTCACGTTTTGCCCACAAAATATACAGTCAATTCACTTTACAGTATATTCTGTGAAGCGCTTTGAGATGTCTCGAAGATGTGATAAGGCTCTATATCAAAGGATTATTCAGCTTCCCACTTGGCAAGTTCTATCCCATCCACGCAGTGCTTATGTTTCCTGTATGTAGCACTGTAATAATAACAATGCTTGCATTTCATATAGGGCTTTTCACATCTTCTAGACGTCTCAAAGCGCTTCACAGAATATACTGTAAAGTGAATTGACGGTATATTTGTAGGCGAAACGCAGCAGCCAATTGCACACAGCAGCGACACACAAACAGTCTTGGATTGAGTGACCAAATTATTATTGTTTTTTTTGAGGGATGATAAATTGTGGGCAGTCCAGAGAACGAGCCCACGACCTTGGTATTATTAGCACAAAGCTCTAACCAACTGAGCTAACTGGCCTGACTGTACCCTGCATTTGCCTGTATTAACCTTCAGCTGCAGACCTACCCTGGTCAAGGTCACCAAGGACATTCTCTCCATCTGTGACCGGAACTCTCTGTGCCTCCTCATTCGCATTCATCGCCTTGATCTGTGCCCTTGACACAGTCAGCCATCTTATCCCTCTTCACCGCTTCTCCTCTGCTCCACCTTCTCAGTTCTATCCGGTTAATTTCTAACATTATTGGCTCCAGACATTTACACCCAAATGACATAAGGATAAACCGGCCTTTACCGTAGTTCCCCAGATTATCCTTTGCCTCTTGCTTGAGCATTGGCACCAGCTCTGCCACACTCCAACCCTCTGGCACCTAGCCAGTCTCCAAGGACGTTTGGAAGACCACCGCCAAGAGCCTCAAATATCTCCTCCCTGCGTTCCTTCAACAATCTGGGATACATTCCATCAGGGCCCTGTGATTTCTCAATGTTTAGTTCCTCTAACGTTTTTTTAAAAGTATGGTTTCCTTTTGGATCAAAATCCCAAGTAGCTGTTCCATCACTTGCAGGCTTGCTGAGGCCAACACTCTACTCGCTGAGCACCCAGGCTTCCCTTCAGACTATCCAAAGAACTTCTCCCACACCAGGCACCACGAGCCTTCCAGCCCCGTCCTCGCTCAACCCCAATGCCTCCCCTCACTCCCCCACCCCATCCAGCGGATTGAGTTCAAGATCCTTGTTTTCACCTTTATTAATTCCCTCCACGGTCTCTCTCCATCCTATCTCTGTGACCTCTTACAAAGCTGTCGGCTCCCTTCGCTCGGCAAACAACAGCCTCCTTCACACCTCCACTCAACAACAACAACAAGATTCCATTTATAGAGCGCCTTTCACGTCGGGAGGACGTCCCGAGGCGCTGTACAGTTGGGTCAGGATCTGAGCATTGCGGGGAAATGGTCAGGGTGAGGGGAGGGAAGGGAGGGAGGGAGCGAGGAGGGGGGAAATGGTCAGGGTGAGGGGAGGGAAGGGAGGGAGCGAGGAGGGGGGAAATGGTCAGGGTGAGGGGAGGGAAGGGAGGGAGCGAGGAGGGGGGAAATGGTCAGGGTGAGGGGAGGGAAGGGAGGGAGGAGGGGGTAGAGAGTCGAGAGGGGAGCTGAAAGCTGAAGGTCCACTCAATCCATCGGTGGGCAGACAAGCCTTCAGCCATTCGTCCCCACTATCTGAACTCCATCCAACTCGCCATCTCCCTCACCTCAGTCAAGACCGACCTCTTTGACTGCGAGTAACGTATTATCACACACTGTGTTACTGGGTATATATAATGCATGAAATGACCTCACATTTGGGATTGGGGGCATCTCTCACGACAGAGGGCATCTTAATGCGCTTCGCGGGATTCACTGTGTAGGGTAGTGACTGTGTGTGGGTGAACATACACAGCGATGGCCCCCAAACACATGGGAGACAGCACCAGAGACAGGTGAGTCTCTCCTACACACACTGTGTCACTCCCTCCCTCCCTCTCACTCTCCCTCACTCCCTCTCACTCTCCCTCACTCCCTCCCCCTCCCTCACTCCCCGCCCCGCCTCAGTCCCCCTCTCTCTCACACACTCACCTGGTGCGGCGCCGTCACATTTCCGACCCCGGGAAGGAGTGACGCCCGTCCTGACACCGCCGCCCAACCCGCTCACCGGAAGCACGAGCCCGGACAGACACCCCGCCCAGCCAATCACACCTCACGCTCCGCGCGACTGTCCCCGCCCTCACCTGATAGACGGAACATTCGACCAATCAACTTGCCCCGGCGGGGCCTGACGCCTGACGTCACCAAACCAATGGGACGGCAGAGAAGGCGGGCCCGAGGCCACCGGGATTGGTTGAGAGGTGAGGGGCGGGGCCTGCTCTGTCTGGGAGTGATTGACAGCTGTTGGGTGTTCCAGCAATGCAAATACATCCTAATAATAACAATAATGATAATAATAACAATAATGATAATAATAACAATAGTGATAATAATAACAATAGTGATAATAATAATAATAACAATAATGATAATAATAACAATAGTGATAATAATAATAATGATAATAATAATGATAATAATAATGATAATAATAATTCTAGCATGTGATACAGCGCTTTATCGCATCACTGAGACGTCCCAAAGCTCCTCACAGGATATACTGTAAAGCCGGGGCGGGCAATTATTTTGGCTGGTGGGGCCACTTCACCAGCTGTGGTAAGCTTCGCCGGCCACGCACTTAATATAGATGCAAATGCTTAATAACAGCTCCAAATCAAGTCGTACACTTGTACATGCATAAAATAAAGTCTATGTAATTGACATTCATTAAAATTAGGTTAAATAAAAACAACTCATTGAGCAGACATTTATTCGATATTTATTCACATATTGATGAGAATGTGAGAAGCTCACGCGATGGGAAGAATGAAAGCGCTGATGAGCGTTAACCAGACAATTGAAGTCAGGCATCGCCTCCGTTGTTGCAATGCGGAGTATTGCTGCAAGGTGGTCATCAGTCATCGCAGATCTGTTTTGATTTATTGAATTTCATCACAGAAAATGTCTCCTTGCATATGTATGTTGATTCAAACAGCACAAGCATCCTCCGGGCATGAGCCTTTATTTTTGGAAAGGTATATTCATTAAGAGAGGTGTACAAACTGGGAAGCGGCACTGATTTGAATTGCTCTGCAAGCAATGGATCACATTGCAGGTCAGGTCAATAAGCTCGAGTTGGAGGTCAAATGGAGCTTTGTCAACATCAAATGAGAAAGGTGAAGAGACCAAAGACAGGTCAGTTTTGATCAAATTGAAATCCTGGAATCAGCGAGAAAATTTGGCATGTAAGTCAAGTAGTGACGAAGTACACTTTGTAAGGCTTTGATCGCGAACAGTAATCTGCTGCAAAGTTGGAAAGTGGGCGAACTGCCTGTTTCATATGTGACGCAATAAAATAAATAATTTTGTCATAAATGACTTGACACTGCAACACAAAATGTGCACAAAGGCCCCCCCCTTCCCATTGGAGTTTTGAATTCAGCTCATTCATGTGGCCCATGATATCAATGACTTTCTGGGACTGAACAATCTATAATTTTTTCTATCGCTAGACACAATGATGGGCCAGATAGAATCATTTGGCGGGCTGGATATGGCCCGAGGGCCGTATTTTGCCCATCCCTGGCCTAGCCTGTAAACTCAAAGTTTGCAATACTTGTTCTCGAGCTCCCAGACACAAGACTCATTACTGCTCTTTTTCTAGTTAATATTTACTCAAACCAACGAGTTAACATCGAACTCCACCTTTAATGGTAGTTTCATGTGGGAGAGCACAGAATTCAAACAAGGGGTCACATTCGCTAGGTTACACAATTTGTGAAATGGTGGGGGGGGGGGGGGGGCGACACGTTAAGTTTATTTTGACTTGAAGGGGTGATCTTATCAGGGTTTCTAGGATGAATGAGGTGAAATTAAAACGTGTTAAAGCCACACTTCCCAGCTCCCCCAATATATCCTGTGCTTCTCTGTTGCCTACCTCACCCAGGAATTTGCTTTGTTCAGGTCTGTGCCAGCTGATCTCGGCAGATCTGACCACTAGAGAGCACCACCACATCAATTATAAGTCCTGCAAGTGGCATTGCTCACCGTAATACTGCAATAATAATAATAATTGAGGTGTTTAAAATAATAAAGAGATTCGATAGGGTAGATGCAGAGAAACTGTTTCCTCTGGTGCAGGAATCCAGAACGAGGGGATATAATCTTAAAATTAGTGCTCAGCCTTTTGGAATGAAATCTGGAAGCACTTTTTCAAACTAAGGGTTGTATAAATCTGGATCACTCTCCACCAAAAGACTGGATGCTGGGACAATTGAAATCTTCAAGACTGAGGTGGAAAGATTTTTGTTAGGTCGGGGTATCAAGGAATATGGAGCAAAGCCTCAAAGTCCAGGCTGACTCTCTGTGGGAGTGCTGCATTGTCAGAGATGCCGACATTCAGATGACACGTCAAGAGGAGATCCAGACCCCTCTGCCTATTCAGGTAGATTTTGAAAACCTCACGGCACTTGGAAACATAACCCCCACTTTGGCCCACAAAAACAGTCACTACACTTGACAGCAACAGTTACTGTGGAGCACTTGGAGATGATTTGTTATGGCAGCCTTATAAAAAATAAATTCTTTCCCATTCAAGTTTGATTGGTTAAATAGAAACGATTCTATGGGGTGGAGGGGGATGAGGGTCAGCAGGGATATCTCGGAGCTGAACTGGCTCCAGGGTAACATGTGTGACATGTTTGGCAATGGAATATCGGAATCAAACCAGGTCTCTATGATGGTCTCTAGTCTAGTTCCTGAGCCAGGCTGGTCCGCAGTATTCCAGGGCATTGCTGAAGACAGCATAGCCAGCCTGGCTCATCGGCAGGACTTGGAAGGACAGACCAGTCATTGGGGGGGAGGGTGGGGAATCCTCCTACTCAGCTCCTGTTAACCCTGGAAGCCAAATCCCTAATGGGAATGTGAGCTGGTTAGACTCCAGCAGTTACCCCAACGCTCTGGGGTCCCCAAACCTTGGCTCTTGCCTACCTGCGACTAATATCTGCTGGAATTAGGTAAGGAGGATGCATCCCTCCAGGGAGTGCACATTCCAATCTGGATAGAGGGAAGTTTGAATGTGTAGGTGACATATGTGGAGATCTCAGCTTGATTTGGATACTCTTAAGCATGGTGATGGGTTTCCACATTTGTCAGGTACCTGACTGACCAAAACAGGAGAGTTAATACAGTCACTACAACCGAGGCTTATAGAGACCTTTCCTGTCTCAAAGCCCTTTACACAGGCAGAGTGGGGAGTGGGGAAGGACGGGCTAACCGAAGTGTGCAGGGGAGGAGGGAGAGTTTTGAAAACAGAGAACGAGGCAGCGGGATTTGAGCAAAGAATTCCAGAGAGCGGGACGTAGTGCCTGGAAGCTCAGGAGCTGAGCGTCGACAGCGAGGAACATGAGCTGATTTGCGACACTTTGAGACACTCTCACCCAATGAATGAAAGGCGTTATTAGAAGCGTACATTGTCGGTGGCCTGACACTATCTATGTATGTGTGTGTGTGTGTGTGTGTGAGTCGGGGTGAGGGTTTCCTCTCCGAGGACCAGGGTGAGGGGATAAAGATGCCACCGCAAGTCATTGCATAGTCTCCAGTCACATCGGCTAAAAATACAACCTCATGCTTCCTGTCTTTACTTTTAGTTGTTTTTGCTGGTGATGAATTCAACTGCAGTGCAATGTTGAAAGCCTGTCCCACCCGTCTCTCTTCACCCCCACCCCACCCCCTTCCTGGGGTAGCCTCAGAGCAGCAGAGGACTGTAGTGAGGCGGGGATGGTGGGGGGGGGGGGCTGGTGCTTACTGTGCGGAGACCCTGGTTACCTCTCTCTATACACTTCACGGTCCTGATATAACATACTGTCGGAGGAGATCGCAAGGTCAAGGTTCACTGCCCCACAGTCCCCTATCGCAGCATCGAGCTGCTTATTAAATGAGTCCAGTGTCCTGCCCTCACCCACCCTTCCTGATAACCACGTGCCGGTTGCTAATTACCCTCTGGGTAAATAACAACAACAACAAATTGCATTTATATAGCACCTTTCGCGTCAGGAGGACGTCCCAACGCACTGGGCAATGAGGGGTTTGC